TGAGTCGACGGAACAGTGTCAGGATAGTGGAGAGGAGAGAGAGGACTAAACCAAAGTATTGAGCAGACTAGCTAGCATCAGGGATGCACGTGGGGGATGTTGGGGACAGGGAAAGAAGGGAGGACGGAGAGGATGTGTGGGGAAACTGGAAGGAACACTCAAGCATTTGCACACCTGGGTTTTGTTTGAGAGGGGATTGTGAGGGAATGGTGGAGTGGGGATGGTGGAGAGGGGATGGTAGAGAATGGGGAACTGGAGGACAAGAGAAGAGGGCACAAGGACGAGAGACAAGGAGGACACAGGGAGGGGATAAGAGGAGGAAGGCAGGCGTTAACTGAAATTATTGAGAGCATATGCCTAGAGCAACGCCAGTCAATGCCAGTCAATGGCAGTCAATGGCAGTCAATGGCAGTCAATGGCAGTCAATGTCAGTCAATGGCAGTCAAGTGACTTACAGAGGACAAACCAGTCAACGCCCTCGGAGCACGGGGGGGTGGTGAGGGAGCCCTTGTAGTGAATGTAGTTGTGCGCACCGTCCTGCACGCCATGATTCAAGCAAGGTGATGATGGGTGATGATGGGTGGCGATGGGTGATGATGGGTGATGATGGGTGGCGATGGGTGATGATGGGTGATGATGGGTGATGATGGGTGATGATGGGTGATTATGACGACGGTGGCACAGCGAGGGAGGTGAAAGGTAAGACGTAGCTGGTGAAGTCAAGCTGCAAATGACGAAATGGCAGAAGGCGCGGAGCCATAAAGCATGCCAGCCAGTTTGAGATTATCATAGTAACGAGACTCGCCATAGGCAAAGCGTGAACTCAGAGAGAGGCGCTGGTAGTTGCAGCAGACAGGACTGTATTATCAGGCTCGGCAGAGGCTTAGAAACGCACCGCTCTGTCAGGCTTGGGGAGGAGAGGCTCGGGGCTGATCTGGATCTTGAGGCATTGCTTCAAGGGCTTGCCCCCACCCACTGCTGGCACCTCGAAACACTCCACTGGACCCGCACTGGTGAGGGAGGGAAGAGGGGGAGGAACATGGGAAGATGGAAAGGTAAGAGGTGGGCTTTTGACGGGCACTGCCCGTTTCTAGGGCCTGGCACCTCTCTCTGCACTGCAGGCGCATCCGCGGGGTGAAAGAGGACGCGTGCGAATAGAGTGCAGTTCGTGAATTCGAGGGTAAGCGTCGAGTGAGGTGGGTGATTTCCCTTTCCGCTGTAAACTCATTCGCGTCCTCGCCAATTCACTCCAATTTTCACTCTCACTCAAAGCCGCAGTGTAGCTGAATCCAAATAGCTCGCAGTGCCGCACTCACATCTGCTTAAACTTCTCGTTGGGCGAGAAGGCGAGAGCCGCCTCGAGGCAGAGGTTCCGCGGAGCCTTGGGGTCCGCCTCCAGCATGACCCTGCGCGGAGGGCGGAATTGCGGAGGGGGGATTGCGCGGGGAGGGAGAGGGGGGTGGGGAGAGAGGGGAAGAAGGGGAAAAATTGAGGAGGGAGGGTAATGATGGCACTGAGGGCGGAAGCGGAGAGGAGAGAAGCACTACTGCCATTTGGAATGTGTGCAAGCAGAGGAAATGTAGACAGATGGAGAGGGTTTGATTTCGAGCTAGAGTATGCGGAGAAAAATCATTGTTGCTACGCTAGAATTAGGGCGTAAGGTGCTTACCCTACGACTGCGAGCTTGCCCTCAGCATCGCCTGGAAGAGATGGGCAGATGGGAAACAGCGAGGGAAGCGAAACAAGGGAAGAAGGGAGACGAGTGAGTGAGAAGCAGCACGAGCCAGTTTCGAGAGTCGCTCGCAGCAAGCATGGCTGAACCCCTCTGATGGTGCAGCAGCGTTACATAGTAGAGGAGCGGCATGTTGTTCAATAACGTACGGTGGACAGGACATGACATGAGATGACATGATACGGCGGGCGTACGTACGGTGGACGAGATGAACCTCCATGGCGGTACGGATGCCGTTGAACGAGTGCTCGCTGGGCGCGTGGAAGTGGTACTGCAGCAGCTCCAGCTTGCGCCCGCCGATCTCGCACGTGTTGCTGCCGCCCGGGAAATTCACCTGCGACGCGAAGGTAAGAGAACAAGCGTTAAATAAACGCTAAAAAAAAATTCGCGAAAATTATTTCAGCTTAGAAATGGGAAAGTTGAGTGAAGGGAGGCGATGTTATGATGTTACGGAGGCGGAGGACAAGCGAAACGAAATTGGAAGGGGAAGTGTAAAATAGTAGCCACGAGGCCGCTATTCAACACTGCAACCCAAGCTGAATGCCGTAGCGCGCCATCTCAGCGCTCATCTCTCCTATGCAGACTCTGCGCGATCAATATCATGTATTTCCCAGCTGTCTCACCTGCATGGTGCCGTGGCCAGTGTTGAGGAACGTGGCATCGGCGCGCTTGTACCCGAAGGCGAGCTTGCCAATGCTATTATCCGACACGATCTTAGGCGCCGTGAAGGAGATGTCAATCGGCGACTGCGCAGCGCCAGTCTTGCACACCGCACCCCACTCGTTGGGTCCTGACAACTCTCCGTAGCTCCAATCAGCAGCGAGCGCGGCACCCATGGATGGCGATCCCGAGTCGCAGATTGGGCAGCCGACCACGGCGGCCATGCCGGCGGCCATTCCGCCGAGAATCAATCGCCTGGACACGGCGCGCTTCGTGTGGGTGTGGGATGTCGCGTTGTTTCCATCTGAGCCCTCAGCCTTAGCAGCGCACCGAGTGGACAGAGAGTTACGGGAGGCGGAGGATGCGGAGACGGGGAACGCGAGGGTGCTGGCAGGTTGACCAAGGAACTGGCTGGCTTCCAGAACGTTCTCGGTCTTCAGTGCACTTGGAAGTTTAGCAGCGACTCCAGCAGCCATGGCAGCCATTTTCGACGAAATGCTGGTCGAAAGAAAAAAGGTCGATATGGTGCAAGACTGCTGCGGAAGGAAACTAGCAGCTAATTGGGTGGACAGAGCTCACGTACAAATGATCTGGTCAATTTAGTTCTGTCCTGACAGCAGGCTAAGTAGTGAGTAGTCAGTCGCCTACCTAGTCGCTTGTGTGTAATGCAGCCTGCTTTTCCCATTCAGGTGGCTACTCGACACTGGTCTTCAATTCACGTACTGTAGTACGGTTTCGTTCGGTTTATTGAGTTCCAGAACTATGAGTTCAGATTACCGCTCCATACCGTATCCAATATTTCTAGAATGCACTGAAACGACCGTTGGTCAAAGGGGTAGACGCGCGTTGGAGTTCGTTTTCACGGCTTGATGAACTCGGGTCGGTTCGAAAGCTGGCGATTGGACGGGAGCGATTGGTTGTGGTGAAGATGGAGCCTCGAAGTTGGTATTTCCCGATCAAGACGGACTTTTGAACAAAAGCTTGGGCTTCGGACTAATTCGTGGTGTACAAACTTCGAGAAGATCCCCCACGATGAAAATGATGCGAATAGCGAAGCGCTGGTTCCTCCAATAAAATGCACCTGCCTAAGTGGCGAATCCACGTGGATTTCGCCCTTGCGGATGGGAGGGCCAGCGACATACTCGCAGCTGACATGACGTGGCTGGAACTGCCTATCTCACGCTGACAATTTCTTCTGAATCAAGGATAAATTCAGACGAGGGGTTGTTCTCGTTTGTGGACTTCTCTGGCACGTTGCAGTAACAAAATTCAACTTTGAGTATGGAAATATAAACTCAGTTATAACAGTGGGAGTCTACGAGCACTATAGAGGGTACATCCGCGTGGCAATTCATGATTGTGTGGAAGATACTCTCCTGGTTCTGCAGGCGTTCCACCAGTAAACGCAGGGCACTGGGAGTTGAACGCCATCCATCCAGCACTACTCTGACTTCAAGAGCAAGCATTGACCAATCTGGGAAACCTGACAAGGACTTTAGGGGGGGGACGACATGAGCTTGGCCCAAATGATGCTGCGGAAACCAGTTGTTGTGAGCCCCTAATATTCAGCTGGAGTACAATATTTATCTGTGCTGAGATAGTTCCGTGAAATTTAGCAACCTTGAAGTTGGTGACTAGTTTCCATCAAGCTTGCCTCGAGCTTGCCGACGGCGAAAATGGCTGCCGTTGCTTCACGATTCTCCTCCACTGCCGTTCTTGAGAGGGCCCAGTTGCGCGAGACTGAAAGGCGATCTGCTTCCGTAGCTGTTTGTACGTAACCTTCGACGACTCCTCGATTGCATTACGGATTGTAATTTCTTCCTAATCCATCATGCTGATGGCACATGCAGCGCTCTAGGCACGGCCACTATGCTTAGTGCCAGAAAGCTGCACAACTATGCTGATTTTGTTATTTGTTTCCCTCCCTCATCGCTCCAGCCTTCAATGGCCTCAGACGTGAGTCTACGACAGCACTACCATCCCGATCAAACCGCATCGCCCGCCGCCGTTCACGGTACTCAGTCGCACGTGCAGCAAAGAGCAGTGATTCCTCTGATCCGTCATCTGCTCCACTCGCCACAGTCACACAGTCCTCCTCTACTCCGGACCTGTCTTCCGCTACTGCCGCTTTGAACCGCCTTAAAACTAATATCGTTACATTCACACAGTCCACCTCCACTCCAGACGTGTCCTCCGCTTTAGCCGCTGCTCAGCCTTACGCTCCATCCGTCCTAGGCGCCGGAGCGCTCGGTGTTGCGTCTTATTTAATTGTCAGAAAGATCACATCCGGTCCTGCTAAAGCGGAAGCGGGCGCAGAAGCTAAAGCAGCTCCTCCCAGCGGCATCGTGCCACGTGCCAAGAAAGTATGTGCATGGAAAGCAGCCTTACTTCCCATTTACAGTTGTTTCTACATAACCTCTTTCAATACCTTCTCACGCTGTGGCTCAATACGTCGAAGTATTAAGCTCGCTTCCAATTCACGGAATTGAGTCACCATCCCATTACTGTTCCGTTGCAAATCTGCCTCCTTTCCCCCTTCAATTGCGTCATTGCGCTTCGTCATAGTGCCCCGTTCGCCCTCCAGGCCGCAACAACTGCGCTAGCGGCGATGGCGGCGACTTTCCCGCGGGCCATGCAGGAGGAGGCTTTCATGAAGGCCGTGAGCCAAGAGCTCAGCAAGCTGGGCTTCAAAAGGTGAGCTCGAGCTTCGAGCGGTGCACTGCAACGTGGGGCACGTGGTAGACCGAGGGGTGATTGGAGGCCGGTGGGCTTAGTACTAAATCGGGTTTGCACAAACATCAGCATGGAATGGATCCAGGGGTGGGTAAAAGGGAGGAACGGCTCGGTGCTGAGGAGGGAGGGCAAATGAAAGCTTGAAAAGAAAGGAAATAACCGAACGGCAGTGGTTAAATTAGATTAGAGGGGAAATTGTTACCAGAAGAAAGGACTTCTACAAGCTGGACTGTGAAGAGCTCTATCATAGCCCAATACTGTCAAAAAGGAGGGCGTCACTGACATGGCTTAGCTGCGGACGGACCGTACCAGTACAATAGTTTGTCTGACAGTGGATGTTGCAATTTGGGCCTACTTTCCAGAGCAAACGTCCTTCCTTCCCACCCCCTTTCCGCTCCCGCCCTTCCCCTCGAACCCCCAATCACGTCTCTTCCCTCGCCATTCTCTTCCACTCACTCCGCCAGAGACAACTGCATTGCGCTGGTGTTGACATGCCGGGACGAGGTGTGCCGGCCGGTGGTGAGCCTGGTGGACCAGGAATTTGGGCTGTCATTCAACATCGCAGGGCTGGGCGGCGTGCTCAACTGCGGCTCCACGGGCTTTAAGGCTGCAATGTCGCACTCGCCAGAGTTTCGCTGCGAGACCGATGGGACTGTGAAGGAGAGATGTGAGCATGATGGGGCGTTTGTGATGGGTCCTTCATGCATTAAGGGGTCATTCATTGTGGGGCGAGCCGGCATGGGTGGGGGAGTCATGCGTGAGTGCTGTCGTGGATGGTGAACGGCCATGCATGATGGTTGGTCGTGAGTAGTGAACAGCTGTGCATGATGGTTGGTGACGATGAGGGTCAGTCATAGGCGTTTGCACCATTGTCTGCTGCATATGCTTGTCCTTGCAAGCATCAGCAGTTCGTTTCCCTGTGCTTATCTGCCTCTCATTTCTCCCACCAATCACCCTCCCTCTCCCTCAGACATCTTCTTTGCCTTCCCTCACGTGTCCATCGGAGAATCGGGAGAGGTGGGATCGCTGCTGCGGCGCGGCCGAGGCAAGCCCTCCAGTGCATGTGGTGCGCTGATTGCCATTCAGAACGACATCAACGCGGGCAAGGCAACGGTGTCGGACCCTTATGACGAGGAGTACGTGCTTCTTAAGAAGAAAGTCAAGTCACTGGTAGGTAACAGAAGACAACCTGAGAACGCAAGGTTGCTTCATGTTTGCATTCCATGTCTATAGCCCTCACTCATGATTGTTCCACTTCCATTAAAATCTGCACAATGATCAGGATTTTTTTTTTGCGGATGCCATTCTTCTCCCCAGATTCTACGGCGGGGAGGTTCGGAGTATTCATTGGTGGAGGTGACTCGTGCTGCACTGGCAGCCATCAATGATGACCTGGAAAAACTCATCTCCCTCACTGTCGACCCAGCCACTGCTGACTACGCTGTGATCACAGGCGTGCAGATTCACTCGGGCAACCAGGTGAGGCCGGAGTATTGTGGTCTTGACTCTTGAGTGAAGTGTATCGCTTTTGTTTCTGAACCCTTTTCTGGTTTGTTGCAGATTCCCGGAGAGCCATTCCGCATTGAGCGGACTTGTGATTATATTGCTCCTGACATGATGTACGCGGTTGTAAGAGGGCAACGGTATGACCTGCAGCTGGAAGCCAATAAGGAGGACTTGGCAGTCCACTCTAGTTAGAATTATAAGATTATACTACAGCTGAATACTAATATAGTTCATGTGGTGCGCGAGTAAACATCTTTACATCATGTTTGTGTTCATGGTTTGGTTTCTATGACATATTGTCTCCCTTGTCTTGGAGAACATAGTATCGGTGACGTTAGGAGTGTGGTGGATGTTCTGTACGCGACCTCCGCACCTCACACTTCAAAAATTGCCGATTTACAACTTCCAATCTGCTAAATCTCCGCCCTCCGTAAGCGTGACTCACCGTCCACGTGGCGCCGATTTATACCTCAGGTTTTATCCCCCTCGGCTCCCACCCTCGATCGTCTCTCCACCAGTCACAAACTTTCCTGCCGTCAAGGCGAATCAGTCCACAAGATTCCTGGATCTACGTGCGCCAGCGGGAAGTTCCGCGCCACCGTCACTTTCCCCCTAAACTTCCGCGTCTGCTGGCAGCCTTCCCCTTTTCTCCCCCATCTTTCCCCGTTTCCCCCACTCCATTCCACGGCCATTGAACAGTATGAAGCCAGTGCTCACTCTTCTAAAGCCAGCATTTCTAAATAGCTTCTGGGCTGGCTGGTCCGCCATGATCCTAACGATCGAGGCAGTGTAACCTACATTATTCCGTCTTGTGATTTCGAAAAATAGTTAGGAGATCAGGACCGCAAGCCATCCCGCGATAGCGCTTTTTAACTCGAAAAGCCTGCAGAGGCTTTGGTTGAGCAGCTGAAGTACTGGCTGGGGTCAGGGTTTTTTCTTAGGGAGTTGATCAGTCGTGCATGGTTGACAATGCTAAGGACGGTAGCTCCACAATTTTCTGGCTCTGCAGTAAAAGCATCTGGAGCAGCTCTTCGTGAAAGAAATGAATCATGTCAGCGAAATGCTCACAACCTCACTCATTTGTCGAGATGTCAACATCCGGTTCAAATACCCCTAAGGACCGCTCTTAGACCTCAGATCCCCTCGTCATTGTCATCTCATCCGCATTTATTCCAACCTCTCCACAGATCAACCAGGCGCAGCTCTTTAAGGGCTCTCAGTTCGTTGTCTGGTGCTACTCCATTTGACGATGCTCTCGAATCAGAAGACGAGTCCATTGAGCAGTATGAAGCACGGCTGGAAGCTAGAAGACAGCAGCTGCAAGCAAGTGGAGCGGCCGTTACGAGCAATCCCGTTTCATCGACAGGTAGCATGGCGGAAGCGTTTGAAATAACGCCTCAGACGGCCATGGGGATCACGGGTATAATCAGCATTATCGCTGTAGTAGCTCCTTTCTTCATGAGCGCGTGGAATCCCGCAGCTTCGCCTCACATGAAAGGCCTCACCTACCTGACGCTGCTCCTGGGGTTCTACATGGCGTGGAACATTGGTGCGAATGACGTGGCAAACGCAATGGGGACGTCAGTGGGTTCGGGAGCGCTGACGCTACGCCAAGCGGTGCTAGCAGCGGCGATCTTGGAGTTCGGCGGGGCTTTCCTGGTGGGATCGCACGTGAGCCACACGATGCAGAACGGAATCATAAAGGCAAATGTGTTTGCCGGGAAAAACGCGATGCTGTTCACAGGGATGATCTCCTCTCTGGCAGCCGCAGGAACGTGGCTTCAGGTACGTGCAATACTAAGTGCCATTGACGCTGGGGTGTTAAGGAGACACTGATCATCTAGGAGAAGGTGATGGTTAGGGTGAACAATGCTGAGTCTATTTACCAGAGGAGGAAGAATGCGAAAGGAATGGTGCCGACGTCATGGATCCGAAGAAATCTAAGCTGACCGGCCCTTGTATTCCTCCACGATGCACAGGTTGCTTCGTACTTCGGCTGGCCGGTATCGACGACGCACTGCATCATCGGGGCAATGGTTGGGTTCGGCATCATCTTCGGCGGCTGGAATGCCGTCTACTGGTCGTCGCTGGCTCGCGTGGTGTCGTCGTGGGTCGTCTCGCCTGTTCTCGGTGCTAGCATCGCCTTCATCGTTTACAAGTGTATCCGAAAGGTATGCACGTCCTTAGGCAATCTGGTTAAAAACGCTCGATGCCTCAAACAATAGCATCGTCACGTTCATCGTCAACAAAGTATCAGGAAAGATCTGGCTGTTTAAGCGATGCCAACATCACCGTGCAGCATTTAACAATGTAAGATGGATGGAAGTTAACTGGAGGCTGGATGATTTCAATTTCCGATACACTGGGACGAGGGGCAGGAAAGAATAGCTGTGAACGTAGCAGTGGCCGGTGGTGCGAGTTATTGGCGCAAGGTGGAGAGTATGATGTCCACGGGGGAGCGGAGAGCAATGATTCAAGACGGCAGAGACGAGTGGGCGTTGGTGAAACCTTGTCTCGTGGCTGGACAGTAGCTCTAAATTATTGTAGCATGTTGTTACCGAACAGGTACCTCGTCCTCGTCCCCTTGACTTCTGACTTTGCCACTCCTTTTTTTTCCAAACTCTTCCACTCCCTTTCTCCTCTTCTCTTTCCCCCCCACGTTCCCATGCTGCCACCTCTCCCCTTCCGCTTCACCCCCACCGCGCCGGCACCACACTCAGTTCGTCTACAGCTCGTCCAATCCGGGGCAGGCAGCGTCGACAGCGGCGCCGATCCTCGTCTTCGCGGGTGTCTCCGCCTTCTCCTTCTTCTCGCTCTTCACCTCCCCGGGGGTCCTCCTCCGCGCCTGCGCGCTCTCCCTGGCCGCGGGTGCTGCTTCCGCGGTGGCCATGTCCGCCGTGGTGAAGCGGCAGATGGGCGAGCTGCTGGGGGAGTTCTGTGAGATCCCCAAGCAGTTGGAGGAGCCGAAGCCGGAGAAGGGCCGCGGACCCATGGGCACGCAGCTGCGCATTGTTTATGGCGTGTTTGGTTACCTGCAGGTGCGTGGGCGAGGCTGTAGTCAAGTGGGAGGGATACAAGGATCAATGGTCGGCTCACATGAGAGGAGAGGAGAGTGTCTGGAGTTGAATAAAGGGTTGCGGGTCCATGGGCATGCAGCCGGACGTTGTGTATGGCGCCTTTGGATGCTAGCTGGGGGGAAGGATGGGCCATGGGAGGTGCATGGCTGTGTTGCAGGAGATTGATTACTGTCATGTGGCATGTGTGATTCTCGCACATTCAGTTGCCCAAACCTGGCACTTCATGCTACCCGTTGAAGCCCGGTTAGTTTTAAGCTGACCTGGCTCCTGCTCTGTGTTGTTCCATGCAGGTGCTCTCTGCATGCTTCATGTCATTTGCTCACGGTGCAAACGATGTGGCCAACGCCATCGGCCCCATCTCAGCTGCTCTAGCCATCCTCGCCTCCTCCTCCGCATCCATCCCCTCCTCATCCCTCGCTGCCGCTCCAGTGTCTGCCGGCGTTGCCACTCAGGTTCTTATTTGGGGCGGTTTTGGCATTGTGGCTGGTCTTATCATCTGGGGTTACCGTGTCATTGCAACAATTGGGAACAGGATCACAGAGCTCACTCCCACCAGAGGATTCGCAGCAGAGTTCTCAGCGGCTACAGTGGTGGTGGTTGCATCCAGACTGGGTCTCCCAATCTCTGCCACGCACACACTTGTTGGAGCAGTGATGGGAGTGGGCCTTGCCCGCGGTATTGGGAGTGTACGGGCCGATGTGGTGAAGGAGATTGTGGCATCGTGGCTTGTCACCATTCCTATCGGAGCAGCGCTGTCTGTGATGTACGCCTTCCTGTTCTTGAGAATTGTTCCTGGATTTATGTAGGCTTGCATGTGCTTCTTATGGACCCTTGTCTTTTCTTTGTTTTAGCAATAGTGCATGAAGCTGTTGCCTGTAACATTAGTTGGATTTTGAGTAATAGCAGTTCAAATTAGATGTTCCAATCAACTGGTAAGGCGTATTTATTATAAGGTGAGCTCCAATCGAAGCTCTTGTCCAACTCCCTCCATGCCAACAAATACTCTATATTTGGGGAATCAAATGCTGCTGACCTGTAAATGTGAGCAGCATCGCTGTAAAGAGGTGTATCTGGGTGTCGAACGTTTTTCAGAGCTGGTAGGAACTGGTTGAGCTGACAGCCACGTGGAAAGAGTTGCCAGATTACGCTTTCCAGATTGCGCTTGCGGAACTCATGGTGCTGTACTGGAACTTAGCTAAAACCCGGACTGTACACTGGAAACCAACTTTTTGAGAATCCCGCTGCCTACCAGCTTCACAGAAAATGGATTCTCCATGAGCCATGTCCAACCAACCACCCACACCAGCAACAACCCAGGAACGTACGACCTAGAGGACTCTCTTGTCAGCACCACTTACTCGCTAAAGCTGAGTACTTCTGCGAGTACTGACGTGGATCGAGCTTCAATGAGGCTTTAGTTTGACGTTTGGCGAAGCTGTCATAGTTGAATAGTCGGTCAGCGAGTAAGGTGTTGTCGATCGGTTTATCTAGGGAGCGATAGCGTACCAATGGATGCAGCAGCAGCGAGCCGAGGGAAGCCGGCGAAACCCTCAACGAGCAGCGCTGCGGAGAATGAGAAGAAGCAGAGACAGCGCGTGAAGAAGGAAGTGTGTCAGGAGGTGGTTCGGAAACTCCAGGAAGCCAATCATCCATGTATTCAACAGCCTAACTTCGAGGAAGCCCTTCAGGCCCACTTTCTCCGCTTGCCTACGAGGTAGGGTTTCATGTGTGTTTTTTTTTTCTCTCACTCCCTCTTTTCTCTCGTTTCATAATCACTTTGTGCGACGGACGAGTCAGGCACCCGACATTCGCCAGTCAGATTTGTAGAATACCAGTTTCAAGCCACGACCTTTGTCGACGTCTTGGTACGCATTGTTACTCATCATTTTGATGGTTCTACACATTGGATGTTATCCGAATCATGAGCGACGATCTTCAACATATTGCGAAATACTTCTTCCTTGATCTCCGTCATGAGTGTTCTGTTGGTCTGTAACTAACGTCTTCTATGTCATACCTGAAGGTCTACCCCGTTCGCGCATAAAACATGTCCATCATCCCGTCATTTTATTTATAAGGCCTTGAGTAATTTTTGGCTGGTTCCATCCGTACTCCTAATGCTTACCCCTTGGTGAACATGCTCTGGTGCTTGTCACCTCAGTGATTGTCATAAAACTCGAGTAAAACATGGAATGTGACAATCATTGTCATATTTCCAGCATGCATTTACATCATATTATTGAATGTGACTGATTGTAACTGTCAAAATTATTCAATAATGTGATTGTATCGTATCCGTCCGATTCAGATACGCCCTGGATGTGAACACGGAGCGCGCAGAGGATGTGCTCACCCACAAGCGGCTTCTCGAAGAAGCTTCGAAGATGCCTAGCCAGCCGGTGGTGCATGTCCGAGCCGTGCGGGTAGGTTCGGAATCGGGGTTGAGGCAGACTGTCTGGGATTAGTCAGGAATCGGGCGAGTTGTAATTGTTGAGCGGCAAGTGTACGTTTACGGCAGGTTAAGGAATTGTACTTTCATTTGCTTGTGTGACTGGCCTGTCGGTCAAATCCTCCCTCCCACCCTTTCCCATCATCCTACCTGTCGGCGCGCAGGATTTTGATGTACCATGCCATGCATCATGTTTCTTGCACTATTCCACACCAATTCTCCTTTGCTGGAACCTGCTCCGTTTGAAACGTCCCTCTGATCCCCTCCGTTTTTGCCAAGGTCACTGGTCAGGCCAGACCAGGCACCTCAAAATCGGCTCGGCTAACTGCATTGCACCCCCCTCCCCCCGCTTCCCACTCCCCCCCCCCCTCCCCACACCCCCCTGCCCCCTCTCTCCCCTCCCCCTACCCAAAACCGCTCGTTTTATGCTCGGCTGAGCCCTCTTGCAGTGCTGTCTTGACCTCACCCAACCATTGGCCATCTCTCCCTCTTGTATCTCTCCATTTTTTAGATGCCTACAGAATTACATGCTAGATGGTTGCCGCCGCAACCTCGTAGTGTCACTCATTTCTCTCCCTGTCTGTCTCTTCCACGCGCAGGTCACATCGGCCCTGCCAGGGGGAGCTGATGGCGCTGCGTGTTGTGAGTCGACTCAAAACATTTCTCCCCGTCTTTCTCTTCCACACGCAGGTCACGTCGGCCCTGCCAGGGGGAGGCGATGGCGCTGCGTGTTTTGAGTCAATTCAAAACATTTCTTACCCTGTCTGTCCCTTCCACGCGCAGGTCACATCCGCCCTGCCAGGGGGGGCTGATGGCGCTGCAGGGGGAGGCACGATGGAGACTGACGAGGCGGTAGCTGAATTCAAGCGCCAAGGGTAGGGATGTGAGGCTAGGGGCTGTGAGTGTAGAGGCTTTCAGGCTAGGGCTGTGAGGTTAGGGGCTGTGCGGGTAGGGTTTTGCCGGTGAGACTCTGAGATTATGGTTCTGAGGGGGCTGATGGCGCTGCAGGGGGGGGCAGGCCACCATGGAGACTGACGAGGCGGCAGCTGAATTCAAACGCCAGGGGTAAGGGCTGTGCGGGGAGGGTCTGTGTGGTGAGGGGCTGTGCGGGTAGGGGTTTTCCGGTGACGATAGGGTTCTGAGGAGGCGATGGCGCTGCAGGGGGAGGCACGATGGAGCCTGACGAGGCAGCAGCTGAATTCAAACGCCAGGGGTAAGGGCTGTGCGGGTAGGGGCTCTGAGGGTAAGGGCTGTGCGGGTAGGGGCTCTGAGGGTAAGGGCTGTGCGGGTAGGGGCTCTGAGGTTAAGGGCTGTGCGGGTAGGGGCTCTGAGGTTAAGGGCTGTGAGGGTAGGGGCTCTGAGGTTAAGGGCTGTGAGGGTAGGGGCTCTGAGGTTAAGGGCTGTGCGGGTAGGGGCTCTGAGGTGAAGGGCTGTAAGGTCAGGGTTTTGCCGGTGAGGCTCTTAGGTTAGGGTTCTGAGGTAGCGATGGTGCTGCAGGGGGGGTAAGGGGGTAGGGATGTGAGGGGGTAGGGATGTGAGGGTCTCTTACGCATTGTCCTCCTCAACAGATTAAGCTTCCCGGACCTCCCCCACCGGTTCTTCCTGCTCCCTTCTTCCCCTTTCCCAACTCCTTCCCCGTTTGCTTCATTCAACCCACTTCCTTCTCAAGACTCCCTTGACCTCCCTCCGTCTTACCCCCCTCTTTGCTTCCCCCTCCCGCTCTTTCCCCCCTTTCGTCTCCCTCCCCCGTTCCTCCTCCCGTTTGTCCCCCAGCATGCTAGCTCCGCCAGCGTTCGGGTCCTCCCCGAATCTGGACTCCCCAGTGCTGGCGGGAGGCGCCATGTGCGCGGGCGGGGCAGGGGGAGGGGGGATACCGGAGGGTGCAGCTGCGAACGCGGATGGACATTCAGACGGAAAGGGGTCCTTCAGGTGAGTGTGTGTGGGGGAAGGGATGGATGTATGTGAAGGGGTTTATTGAAATAGTGTGAAGGGAAGGGGGACTGTGTGAGCGTATACTCCATGCGTCCCTGCTTCTGCTCCCCTCCCATCTCCTCATTCCTGTCCTCAACCTGGAATGTCATTCCCTCATCGCCTTATCTTCCTCTCATACCACCTCACCTCTGTCCCCACTCCCCCTCTCTCCCACCCCCCACCTTTCCTCTCCTCCCCCCTGTTCCCTCTTTTGCGTTCCCCATCTTCATCACTTCTGATCCTCCTTCCCTTCTTGCTTTCCCCCCTGCCGCCAGTTCTCTCCTGCAGGTGCCCATGCACGAAGTCACCTTCTCCACTGTGGACCGCCCCAAGCTGCTCAGTCAAGTGAGTCAACCCCAGTCAAACGCGAGTCAGGTCAGCCAAACCAAGTCAAGCGTCAGTCAAACTGGTCAGGACAAACCCTGCGCAACCGAAGCCTTCCCGACTTTGAAACTGCCCCTGCTATGCTCTCTTCCCATCCACCTCTCCCACCTTAAACCCCCCCTTTCCCCCCTCCCCTCTCTCCCTTCCCCCCTCTTCCCCCCCTCCCCTCTCTCCCATCACCCCCCCCCTCTCCCCCTCCTCCCCCAAGCAACTGTCTGTCCGCAGTGCTGGCAGTCGTGGGGCTGAACGACCAGGTTTGAGGTGTCTCAAAACGCGCCCCTCTCCTCTCCAACCCTCCCTCCTTTCCCCCTTCTCCCCTCCCCCATTCTCCCCCCTTCCCCCCACCTTCACCCCCCCTCCCCCCCTCCCTCACTCAATATAACAGCTCTCAGCAGTGCTGGCGGATGTGGGGTTGAACATTCGCGAGGAGCATGTCATCTCCACCTCCGATGGGAAATGAACGAAGATGCATTGGTACTCCACCCGCACCTCTCTCCTCCTCTTTCCCTTTCCCCTTCTCATCCGTCCCCCAACTACAGCTCTCAGCAGTGCTGGCAGACGTGGGGTTGAACATCCGTGAGGCGCATGTCTTCTCCACCTCTGATGGGCTCTCCCTCGACGTCTTTGTTGTTGACGGCTGGCCCTCTGAGGTGCGTACATGCGTGTGATGATGTGCGATGATGCGTGTGTGCTCGTGTGTGTGTCTTCTCGTTCGCCACCTCTGATGGGCTCTCCCTCGACGTCTTTGTTGTTGACGGCTGGCCTTCCGAGGTGCGAGTTTGATGTGTGTGCTCAGCTCATGCATGCGACTTCTCATTTGCCACCTCCTCCACATGCCACCTCTTCCACATGCCAAATCCTCCACTTGCTGCCTCCTCTCCACTCTTTCAGAACTATAGTCCACACCTTCTCCAACCCTTTCCTACCACTTGCTTCTTCTCGCTATCCCATCCAATCTTCTCCACGCTCTCTCCACCATCTCCATGCCCTCCGCCCCTTCCTCCCACCCACCTTCCTCTATGCCCAACCTCCGCGTTATCCCTCCCCTCCCTCCTCCCATGCGTGCTGGGTGCCAGGATGTGGTGGAGATGCGGGCGGCACTCATGCGAGCAGCACAGGTAAAAGTCTAGATCCTGTCCTGTGAGTCTCTGTAAAAGAAATACCTTGTAAAGGCGGCAGGAGCTGGTGGGGATGCGTGCGTGCGGGCAGGTAGCAGTACTCATGCGAGCAGCACAAGTAAAAGTCTAGATCCTGTCCTGTGAGTCTCTGTAAAAGAAATACCTTGTTAAGGCGGCAGGAGCTGGTGGGGATGCGTGCGTGCGGGCAGGTAGCAGTACTCATGCGAGCAGCACAGGTAAAAGTCTAGATCCTGTCCTGTGAGTCTCTGTAAAAGAAATACCTTGTAAAGGCGGCAGGAGCTGGTGGAGATGCGTGCAGGCAGCGAGCAGCACATGTGAGCAGCGCACCGCAGCACAGCACAGCACCGCTCTGCACCACATATGCACTCCAATGCACTGCACTTGCAGCCTGAGACGAGCGCGGTTTGTCACACCGCTCAGCAGCTGAGTTTTGAGATATCTCAAAGTCCTGTCACACCGTGCAGCAAGCTGCTCGTCATTTGTGCAACAGCTCTCACTGTCACTATCACGTTTTAAACCCACCATTGCCTCGCCCTTCCTTCCCTTCCGTTCCATTGTTCTTTCCTGCCTTTCCTCCCCCTTCCGTCAGCAAGCGGGCGAAAATGGTGCGCAGTCAACCCTTCCAGAAGCATCCGGCCAATCAAATCCCGCCATGTCAGAATCCGCAGGCGTGCCCATGTCCACGTCAGCAGCCACAACAGCGGCAGCAGGACACGTGGCAGCCTCCAGTTTGTCTGGAGCGGATTCCCGCGTGCGCATCCCATCGGACGGGCGGGATGACTGGGAGATTGACAACGACCAGCTGAAGCTGCAGCATAAGATCGCCTCAGGGTCGTTTGGAGACCTGTGAGTGACGTGGGAATGCTGTGGCCAGTGTATCACTTTTAATTCACGTAGAGAGACGGCATGACTGGGAGATTGACAACGACCAGCTGAAGCTGCAGCATAAGATCGCCTCAGGGTCGTTTGGAGACCTGTGAGTGACTTCAATAGTGTGGCGATTTTTGTTCTCTTCAGATAGGGATGCGTACCTATGTTTGGGTCTCTTCACGTGTTTTTCTACCTTCGCCTGACTACTTCCCTTTCCCGCAGCTATTGAGGCACGTAGTGTGACCAGGACGTGGCGATCAAGACGAGAGTGTATGTGCACACACTACCAGTCCTTCAGTTTCCTTACGTGTCTGCCTTTCCGTGTCTTTCCTTCCCCACCCACAGCTACCGCGGCACGTACTGTGGGCAGGACGTGGCAATCAAGATTCTCAAGGCGGAGCGGCTGAACGACTCATTGCAGCAGGAGTTCGCTCAGGAGGTCTTCATCATGCGGTGCGTGGGGAGAGGGAGGGTGAGTGGGGTGGGGGAGGGTGAGTGAGGAGAAGCAGACATTGTCCACAGCAACTTCCTCAGGAGATGTGCATTGGGCTACCCTTATGCAAGCATCGTGGACGAGAGTTCGCTCTGTTCAGGAGGTTTGCATCAGGCGATGAGTGAGGAGAGGAGGTCTGTGTGCAAGCTATGTTTCGCCTCTGCTGTGCACATCACCAGTTTCGCAGGGTCACTTTCACACTTTCTTCTTGCTCTGTTGTTCAACCTTAACTCTTTTCCCCACTCCCCAATGCAGGAAGGTGCGGCATAAGAATGTCGTTCAATTTATTGGGGCGTGCACCAAGCCCCCGAATCTCTCCATTGTCACCGGTGAGCTATTTGATCACGTGCTAGAAGTAGTGTTCTATTTGATCACGTGCTAGAAGTAGTGTTCTATTTGATCACGTGCTAGAAGTAGTGTTCTACTTGATCACGTGATAAAAGTAGTTTTCTGAGACGTCTCAAAACGCTACTTTTATTTATCACGTAGCCCCCGAATCTCTCCATTGTCACAGGTGAGCTATTTGTTCCCCAAGCTATATGGTGTGTGTGTGTGGGTGGGGGGGGGGAGGAAGAATCCTGGGGTGGGTGTGGGCGTGTATGACGCTAGCTACCCATGTGAGATATCCAGTCCAGAAGCAAGATTTGCTCGCCCTCCTTCCTATCACATCCACACGGTTTGCATGGTGGGCGGGGGCATCGTATACAACAATCCACTAAGCGTGTTTCTGTGTTTTCCCCGTTGCCCTCTTCTCCCTTGGTCCATTTTTTCCCCTTTCCCATGCCCCCCCTCCAGAGTTCATGGTGGGCGGCAGTGTGTACGACTATCTACACAAGCACCGCGGCGGCATGAAGCTACCCATGGTACTGCGCGTGGGCATGGGAGACACTCACTCTCTGCTCATCTCTCCACCCCCTTGTTCCCTCGCCCCCTTGTTCCTTTCTTCCCTTGCACCCTTCCACCCTGGCCTCCTGGCCTCCTGGCCTCCTGGCCGCCTCAACCCGCCTGCCCCCCATGCAGAGTTCATGGTGGGCGGCAGTGTGTACGACTATCTACACAAGCACCGCGGCAGCATGAAGCTGCCCATGGTGCTGCGTGTGGGCATGGACGTGGCCAAGGGAATGGACTTTCTGCACAAGAACAACATCATTCACCGCGACCTCAAGGCGGCAAACCTTCTCATGGATGAGAACGATGTGAGTGAAAGGTTGTGTTGGGTTGTGTCGGTGCGGTGCTGTGCAGTGTTGTGTGTGCTTGTTTGGTAGTCGGTTGGGTGCGTGTGGGAATGGACTTCCTGCAAATCTGCTCATGCATGAGAATGATGAGAGCAACAGGGCTGAGGGCAGAGTGTGGTGTGTGCTTCTGCTTCCGTGCATGAGTTGGCGCTGCGCATGGGCTTGGACGTGGCACAAGGGATGCACCACACTGTGCAATGGACGTGAAAGGAATCATGCACAAAATTCCAGTACCTCACGCATTCCTGTTCTTTCATGGCCCTGTGTCTGCCAGGTGGTGAAGGTGGCGGACTTTGGAGTGGCGCGAGTGAAGGCCAACAGTGGCGTCATGACAGCAGAGACTGGCACCTACCGCTGGATGGCACCTGAGGTAACACCTGGATGGCATCTGGTGTAAAACCCGAAACATCTCAGAATCTGAAACATCTGCACTGAAACACTATTGCATGGCACTGAACGTAAACACGAGCATCGGACATATGACCCCAAGGCAAACACATGCAAGTCTCTGCTCTCCTCCCCTTCTCCCTGGTTGCGCACCAGGTGATTGAACATCGGGCATATGACCACAAGGCAGACATCTTCAGCTTCGGCATCACCATGTGGGAGATGCTGACGGGCAAGGTGAGATGCTGACGGGCAAGGTGAGATGCTGACGGGCAAGGGGAGAGTGAGGATGGGAATGTGAGCTGCTGACGGTGTATTTTGAGTCGACTTAAATACGTGTGTGGGTTTTGCGGTGCCTAAGAAAACTTACGCATCACCATGTGGGAGATGCTGACAGGCACGGTGAGAGTGAGACGAAGGGAAGGGCTTGGTGAGGTGGGATGTTGGTGTAAGGTTGGCTGTTATGGCTGCTATGGCTATTATGGCTGTTATGGCTGTTATGGCTGCTATGGCTGTTATGGCTGTTATGGCTGCTATGGCTGTTATGGCTGTTATGGCTGTTATGGCTGTTATGGCTGTTATGGCTGTTATCGGGCAACACGATGGTGGTGTGGGATGTTGGTGTAAGAATGGCTGTTATTGCTGTTATGGCTGTTATCGGGCAATACGATGGTGGTGTGGGATGTTGGTGTAAGGATGGCTGTTATTGCTGTTATGGCTGTTATCGGGCAACACGATGGTGGTGTGGGATGTTGGTGTAAGGATTGCTGTTATTGCTGTTATGGCTGTAATCGGGCAACACGATGGTGGTGTGGGATGTTGGTGTAAGGATGGCTGTTATTGCTGTTATGGCTGTTATCGGGCAACACGATGGTGGTGTGGGATGTTGGTGTAAGGATGGCTGTTATTGCTGTTATGGCTGTAATCGGGCAACACGATGGTGGTGTGGGATGTTGGTGTAAGGATGGCTGTTATTGCTGTTATGGCTGTTATCGGGCAACACGATGGTGGTGTGGGATGTTGGTGTAAGGATTGCTGTTATTGCTGTTATGGCTGTAATCGGGCAACACGATGGTGGTGTGGGATGTTGGTGTAAGGATGGCTGTTATTGCTGTTATGGCTGTTATCGGGCAACACGATGGTGGTGTGGGATGTTGGTGTAAGGATGGCTGTTATTGCTGTTATGGCTGTAATCGGGCAACACGATGGTGGTGTGGGATGTTGGTGTAAGGATGGCTGTTATTGCTGTTATGCCTGTTATCGGGCAATACGATGGTGGTGTGGGATGTTGGTGTAAGGATGGCTGTTATTGCTGTTATGGCTGTTATCGGGCAACACGATGGTGGTGTGGGATGTTGGTGTAAGGATGGCTGTTATTGCTGTTATGGCTGTTATCGGGCAACACGATGGTGGTGTGGGATGTTGGTGTAAGGATGGCTGTTATTGCTGTTATGGCTGTTATCGGGCAACACGATGGTGGTGTGGGATGTTGGTGTAAGGATGGCTGTTATTGCTGTTATGGCTGTTATCGGGCAACACGATGGTGGTGTGGGATGTTGGTGTAAGGATGGCTGTTATTGCTGTTATGGCTGTTATCGGGCAACACGATGGTGGTGTGGGATGTTGGTGTAAGGATGGCTGTTATTGCTGTTCTGGCTGTTATCGGGCAACACGATGGTGGTGTGGGATGTTGGTGTAAGGATGGCAGTTATTGCTGTTATGGCTGTTATCGGGCAACACGATGGTGGTGTGGGATGTTGGTGTAAGGATGGCTGTTATTGCTGTTATGGCTGTTATCGGGCAATACGATGGTGGTGTGGGATGTTGGTGTAAGGATGGCTGTTATTGCTGTCATGGCTGTTATCGGGCAACACGATGGTGGTGTGGGATGTTGGTGTAAGGATGGCTGTTATTGCTGTTATGGCTGTTATCGGGCAACACGATGGTGGTGTGGAATGTGGGAAGGAGCAGGTATGGATAGCAATCATGTGTTCATCGTATAACAGCCTAAAACTATCGTTTCACATCCCCTTGTTGCCGTCGAAGCTTGTCCTCACACTTTTCTTTAACAAAGTAGTTTTCATCTGCTAGCCCTCCAATTATTTAACCTCCCTTCTCCCGGGCCCCCTCCCCCCCGTTTTTCACCCTACACCACCCCCATTCTTTCTTTCCTTACTCACGTGCACACACCCCCACCCCCCTCCATCCCCCTCCTCTCTCCCCCCCCCACCCCCCCCCCCCCCCCCCCCCCCCCCCCCTCCTCCTCTCAGCTGCCCTATCCAGACCTCACACCCTTGCAGGCAGCAGTCAGCGTGGTTCAACGAGTAAGTCCCCGTCCTCCTCCATCATCCACTGTCATCACCATCCCTCCCTCCTGTCACTCTCACCTTTCTTTCCCCCTTGCTTCCCTAGTCCCACCATGGTTTCACACCTGTCTCAGGGCCTGTATGTACGTCCCCATTCCCTGTCTCTGTCTCAAGACCTGTCAGGCCTTGCTTCCGTGCCTCCCCGTTACCCCAAGACTCCCTGCCTCACCTCCCTTCCTCCCCTCTCTCTTTTTTGCTCACTTCACTCTCCCTTTCCCGCTCCCAGGGCCTGCGTCCGCCCATCCCCAAGGGCACGCACCCGCGGCGGGCGGATCTCTTTGAGCGCTGCTGGGCCACCAACCCTGCTGACCGCCCCGAGTTTCCTCTCCTCCCTGACTCACTCCCTCTCTGCCTCTGCCCTCCTCCCCCGTTCCCCATTCTCCCCTCCCAGGGCCTGCGTCCGCCCATCCCCAAGGGCACGCACCCGCGGCTGGCAGATCTCTTTGAGCGCTGCTGGGCCACCAACCCTGCCGACCGACCTGAATTCTCAGAGATAATCCGAGTCATTGCCGAAATTGCACAGGAGGTGAGATCTCGTTTGGGTTGGGTTGACTTGCCACCCCCACAAAGCAGCTGTTGATTCCCGCCTGCTGGACCTCCACCAACCACGCCGATTGCCTGATTTTTTTAGAGAACATCTGGGTCACTTCCCATGGTCGTCCTGTTTTGTTATCACTCATCTTCTACCCATGTTGCGTGACTGGGGGGGGTTTTTTTTCCCCCTTGTGGTGCACGTCAGCTCGAGGAGGATGGAGAGGCCGACCAACAGAGACGGGAGAAGCGCGGAGGGTTCTTTGCATCATTCAAGAGAGCAGGGTCAGGGCCTAGATGATATTGCTCAATGGAAGATTGTGCGAAGCTGCTACCTATTGAACAACAAAGAAATAGCAGATTTGCAACGGAAGGAAAGGTTGCTGGAGGTTGAAATTCATGTTCCTGTACTGTTTGAGAGTTGGACTTTATATCCAATGTATGCACTTCAAGTTATATGGTCATTGTTTATCCACCGAACCCAACCCCGCGTAATATTCATTGTTCTATGCAAGCGGCTTTGTTCACTGAATGAGCACAAATCGCTGAATGGTGACTGACTGCTAGGGGATCGAGGGAATGAATGCAGACACTCCACATCATGAATACATTGGTACCTTGACGTTTGCACAGCCCCATGCCAGCAGACACCCACGTCAGCAATGCTTACCATCCAATGCAACACAGCCTCTCAATTGTCAGCACGAGAAGTGGGTTTCCTGTCGCGGCTCGATCCCAATTTCGCGCTGACTGGCACATTCAAATCCAGCATAGCAGGCCCAGCAGCAAACTGAGCAGCGCGGCAATCTTGAGGCCTGGATGGCTCGAGGAAGTTTGGGACTCTGCTTCCTAGTTTACCTTGAGCTCTCCGCCGGCCGTTCAGGGAAAGATGGCGGTCCGAACCGCCAGGAAGTGTTCACGAGGCCTTGAAATTGGACCGTCTCTTCTTCACTTCGCCGTAGTTCCATTTTCCATCGACTTCGTAGCCCTTGAGTTTGTCCGCTTATCCCACAACCTGTCACTGACAGTTCAAACTGTACTTCGGATATCGCCGAAATTGTGATCACTTTTGCTGCACCTGCCATTTGTTCGGTCAAATAAGTTCACTGTATCGGTTCGCGTTATATCTCCTCAGTGCGTTACTGATTGCTTAAGTTATTATCGGCGGTCTGCCGAGTCATGGGTATGGCTGCGCAGTTAGTTCCGCCACGGCTTCTCTTCCGTCAGCTGTTTGAAAAGGAATCTAGCACCTACACCTTCCTGTTGGCTGACGAAACTGCACCGAAGCAACCCGGCGTGGTAAGCACGACCTTCATCTCAGAGTCATGCCTCTGGAAATCAACATATTCTTACACAGGCTAACGTAGTATTTTCAAATATCCTTACCCGTTACTCGCTCTGTTGCCAGCTGATCGACCCCGTTGACTTGACCGTTGACCGCGACGTGCGGCTAGCTGAGGAGCTCGGAGTGACTCTTCGTTTCGCCCTCAACACACACGCACACGCAGACCACGTCACTGGAACTGGTCTGCTGAAGGTATCCCAGCCGTTTTGTGAAAATAATATACTTTGACGGAACCTTGAAGGGTGTGTCGATGTGGTATAGTGGTGAGTATCCTCGCCTGTCACGCGAGAGACCCGGGTTCGATCCCCGGCATCGGCGCTACAAAACTTTTGGGGCTTCTCACTGCGTACCTCCCACACGACTGTCCATCAAAATAGCTCGCCATTCCATATTTTTGTCTTCCGACTCTCTTTATCTTTGTCTTATCCCACTAACCTCCCTCCGTTTGTCCAACATCCACTCTCCCTCCCCATCCCGATCAAAGAAACGGGTACCTGGCATCAAGTCCGTCATTTCGTCTGCTAGTGGAGCTCGAGCTGACGTGTTGGTGGGCCACGGTGACGTCATAGCCTTTGGCAGATTTGGCCTCCAGGTGAATTAGTAGCAAACACTGTGTTTCTGTATGTACTCTTTTGCTGTATGCAATCACGAGTAGGATCAGATGGACAGAGTTTCCTTGGTTCGTGCTTAAAAAGATCCTCCCTGACACTAGACTTGAAAGTTCGCTTTTGCAGATGGTTTAAGTTTGGTATCTCCAAGGCATGACGATCTGATTCCCAAATCTGTCTTGCAGGTCCGGTCGACACCAGGCCACACGAATGGGTGTGTGACATATGTCCTGGTGGAGCGTACCGAGACAGCCGCGCCGTTTGCAGCAGCACTAGAGAACTCTCTTGAAGGGAACGTGTGGAGGGCAAGTGATGGAGGTTTGGAGCGCCTGGGAAGTGCTGGGTTCTCCTTTGACAAGCTCTTAACGAGGATGGCGTTCACCGGAGATGCGTTGCTTATAAGAGGATGTGGAAGGACAGACTTTCAGGTGTGTTTTGTTAAACTCCAGGGTCTACTTTGCTCTTTCACTGTTACAACTGCATCCTTGCAGCAGGGGCATGCACATGCTGAAATCTATCTTTTCTCATTTTCCACTTCATTACTTGCATCCTCCAATATCTAACATCCTCTGTACATTGTTCAGGAAGGAGATGCTGCTGAGCTGTACCGTTCAGTCCACTGTCAGGTGAGCTGATAACCAGATCAATGGAGCCATAATGTGGATTCAAATCATGGTTATATGAGCAGGATAAACAGGATTCGTCCCCCTTTTTTGTCCCTCCAGATATTGTCACTTCCACCAGACACGCTCCTGTACCCTGCACATGACTACCAAGGCCGAACTGTAAGAACCAAATTACTTTTTGCCTGCTATTTACGAATGCAACTGTGCATCAGCAAATGCCACCTTGGGTTTTTTTTGTGAATATATTGATATAGTGCTGACATGGATGAACCCCAATGGCAGGTAACATCAGTGGAAGAGGAGCGAAAGCACAACCCGAGGCTGACAAAGGGCGAGGTGAGAGAGCTAGGGGATTGGCTCGGGAGAGGCAGTCTGACAGATGTTCCCGTGAGGATTTGTCCCAGATAGCTGCTGCATTGCATTTCTCCTTGTGCATTCTCTCGCTGTAATGCCTGTAACCTGTGTTGCTCCAATCTTAAACCGTACTCTTGATTGCTGTGAGCAGGAGGCGTTCAAGGCTATCATGGATGGTAAGCTCTAGTTTTGTAGGCTATGTTTTTTCCTTCCTGGTCATGTTTCTACACCAGATACTCTTCTCACGTTCTTCATCCGTATGCTTCTGTCCTCTGTTCTGAAGGTCACAGCTACCGTACATGGGTTTCTCCTTCATTTCCTCACCTGTATGCTTCTGTGCTTTCTTCTTGCCACATGTCTCTCGCTATTTTGTGTGCACGGCATGTCTCTCCAGGCCTAGGGCTGGCACCACCAAAGAAGCTCAAGGAGGCACTTCCAGCTAACATGGCTGATGGGGTTGTGGAAGAACAGAAAACCACAATTCTGGCTGCTTAAATGCTGAAGTCAGCTGGATGGTTCTGGACAGGGGGTTTTACATCGTGTATATAGGTTCTAGTACATGCCTGGCTTTTTTTTAGGGCACCGGTAGTACTTGTTTTTCAGCAGCGACCATGTCTAGTCCAGATAGATTTCGTGTGTAGCCCCTTCTTTGTGTGAATGTTGAAGCTCCTCTGCTTGCACTCCAGTAAAGACTTGTTCTTCATAACACTGGTACAGTCTTGCTGTACATTTTCTCATTACCAGCTAGATATTGTGCATCTCCCTCGTCTCTTCAAAATTCAAGCTGACCAGACCAGGTTTGAAGGGCCTTACCGTATTCCCACCTGCTTTGTTGAAATGTTTTTACACCCAGCACTACAGCACTAAATGGCACCCTATGTACCTTACAGGTGGGAGGCGCCTTGGCACAGGAGCAATGAAATGATTGGAGATAAAAAGATGGGCTGCTAAAAAAAAGAATAAGGAGCAGGGTTACTAGAATCTAAAAAAAATAACTGGATTGATACACCCAGGGTGGAGGACGTCTGATTTGTAAGGTGGTAGAGTGGCTATTCATAATAGTGCACTGCCCACTCTACCAGTAAGTAAGAAGCAGCAGTAGAGAATTGACAGAGCAACTGCGTTGAGATTGGGCAGAGAGAGAAAAGCAGTGGCATCGGGGAGGTGGCGAGCTTCCTTGTGCGAGGCAATTTCTGAGCCGACTCATATGCCAACACGGTCAGTGCAGCGACTAGAGAGGCGGGCCGACTCATATGCCAGCAAGACCAGCAACAGCACAGAGTTGCAGGCGGCATTTAACAACCCTCAGAAAGCACCATACGGGCCGAGGGCAGCCTGCAACTCTGCACGGCAATGCAGCGAGTGCGAAGCGACTTGTGTGCCGACCCAAAAGACAGCGGGGACAGCAGAGCAGAGAGTCACGGATGGGGGCGAGTCGTGCTGACACTCGTCATGGATGGAAGAGAGCCATGCCGTGCCTGCTGCGTTGAAACCATCAGGCGTCTGGAAGACTCGGTCGACTGGGAAGGCGCCTTCGGATTGGCTTGGCTTGACTGGGTTGACTTGCGGTTGACTTTGAGCTTGACTTGATGTTGACTTGACGTTGACTTTGAGGTTGACTTGAGACTGACTAGAGGGTGACATGAGCTTGAATGGAGGTTGAGTGAGCTTGAAATGAGATTGTCTTGAGGCAAACTTTGGCTTGACTTGAAGAGAGAGCATTCGGAGTTGACTTGACGGATGTACTCGTTAGAAGCAGGTTCTCTAAGCGCGCACGACCTTGCGCTTGCGCACTTCTGTGGCCAGCGACTGAGCCACAAAGGACCTCGCCCACTGCTCCACCTCCTTGCCACCCATCGCCACCAGCTCCTGGGAGGATAATCGACCAATGGGAGGGATGGACAGACGGATGGGATGCGGTGAATGAGATGGTGAGGGATGGTGCCTCATAAACCCTCGCCCGCTGCTCCACCTCCTTTGCCCCCATCACCGCCAGCTCCTGGGGGGAGGGCAGAGCGGGGGGAAAGGCCGGAAGATGGGGGTGGGTGGGCAGAGAAAACCCAGCTCTAAGGCTTTCGAGAGATCTCAAAAACAGAAAAGTCACCGATTCCTCGAGGCTGCTCAGCAAAACCAATGACTACCAATAGTGGTGATCAGAGAAAAACATCACCTCTCTCACAAACCGACTTACCAGCAGTGCCTATTGGACGCCTCCATGACTACCTCGACAAAGAGGCTGGTGCCGACCTCGCGCTCTGAGGCACTCATGGAGGCATCCACATAGGCACTGCGGATGGCGCGATGGATGGCTAACAGCTCGAGGCAACTCAGCCTATAACTACAACTCAGATGGGTGTCTAGGGAACTGCCTCACCTCGACAAAGAGGCTGGTGCCGACCTCGCGCTCAGAGGCACTCATGGATGCATCCACATAGGCACTGCGGATGGCCTGTGCGTACTGCTGCAGCTCGTGCTGTGAACACTCGTGCTGGGGGAGGGGAGGGGGGGGGGGGGGGGGGGGGGAGATAGAGAAGAAAGGAGTTTGGTTCAGTGAAGCAGACAACAGGGAATATGGTGGGTGGGTGGGTGTTAGTCGGCGATTCTGTGTTGCTCCCTGCTCAGTACACATAAATGTGAGGACATTCGATTTAAGGCAACTCAATACAAGTGTCAGCAGCACAAATATACATGAGAGGATATAAAAAAAGACAACTCACAATGCAGCAGCGGAAACATACGTGTGAAGCAGAAGCACGGGGAGAGGGAGGCCCGGATGCAATGGCAACAGCCAGAGGCTTGGGTGCAGCCACGTTCGGCCGGAGCAGAGCTTCGGCGATGTAGCCTCGGGCCCAGTCCTCACTGGCGCCATGTAGGACGAGCTCCCGGACCAATCCGTCCACTCCGTGCTGCTGCTGAGCTGGCGACGCTGACGTGTCAACGTACGACGGGAAGAGAGCCCGCGCGTACACCTTGAGGTAATTCTCCCGCTCCTCGGCCGAACGATGCCGCCCACCACCCGACGCCCTCCTGCCTACAAATTTCGTGCTAAAAGCAGACGGCGCAGCTGCTGCTGCTGCTGCTGTTGCTGCCGTCCCCACCGCTGCTTCTGCTGTGACTGTTGCTGTGGAACGAACAGGTGCAGCTGCTACGGCAGTGCCGGTTGCAGTGGCGAGGGCAGGGGCAGAGGTGGCGGTGCGAGAGGAACGGGAGGAGCGAGGGGACTTGAGGGAAGCAAGAAAGGCAGAGAGAGTGTGAGAGGAGGAGGAGAGGGAGGCAACGGCGGAGGAGGGGGAGGAGGAGGGGGAGAGGGAGGGGGAAGAGGAGGAGGAGGAGATGGGGGAGAGGGAGGGGGCTGAAGCGGAGGAGGGGGAGACGGGGGAGAGCGAGGGGAGAGCGGCCTTGAGTGCGAGGGAGGGTGGCGAGGCGGCCATTGACTCGAGCGTGTGCTGGATGTTGGCGAGCTGAGGGAGGGGGAGGGAGGAGGGCGTGGGGGAGTGGGTGGTGAAGACACGGTTTGAGAAATGGAGGGGCAATGGAAGGGGCAGATGGAAGGGGCAGATGGAAGGGGCAGATGGAGAGGGGAAGCAGCCATTGACTCGAGCATCGGCTGGATGTTGGCGAGCTGAGGGTGGGGTAGGGAAGAGTGGGTGGAGGTAAGTAAGAGACAGGGCATTCGAAATAGAGAAGCTGTGGGAGGGGGATACGGGAAACATGGAGAGAAAAGCCTTTTAAAGCGGTGCTTAAAACAATGGGATACATGGGGAAAAAAGTCTCACCATCCCTTGTGCATCTTACCTTACTCATCATGTCGCCAATCCCTGCCAACGACCCCCCACTGCTGCCGCCACTCACCACCCTCTTCCCCTCATCTCCCTCCCGCTCCCCCCTCTCCCCGTTTCCCGGCCCCCCCTCCGCGCCTTTCCCCATCTTCGCCCCAGCCTCCGCGGCCCTCCGCAGCCCCTCCTCCCTGCTCCGCCGCCTCTCCCCCGCGTCCGCGCCCACGCGCGCGCACAGCTGCGCCACGCGCGCAGCCTCCTCGTCCGCGCGCTGCTGCGCGAACGCGAGGGAAGACACGAGCTGCGCCTCCATGCTGAGCAGCGCCGCCGCGGAGGGGGAGGGCGCGGACGAGCGCAGCGAGTTCAGGCGAGCCTTGGTCCACGCAACCGCCTCCAAATACTTGTCCCATGACTCCTCCGCCTTGACCTGGCGAAAGGAAGGGCGAGAGAAAGAGAGCAAGAGAGGGACGGAGAGAGGAAGGCAGTTGAGGGTGAGTGCAGACGCGCCTTGGTCCACGCGACTGCCTCCAAATACTTGTCCCATGACTCCTCCGCCTTGACCTGGCGAAAGGAAGGGCGAGAGAAAGAGAGCAAGAGAGGGACAGAGAGAGGAAGGCAGTTGAGGGTGAGTGCAGACGCGCCTTGGTCCACGCGACTGCTTCCAAATACTTGTCCCATGACTCCTCCGCCTTGACCTGGTGGGAATGCAGGGAAAGAGAAGAGAGGCATGGGGATTGCAAGGGGAGGGCGCAGTGAGTGCATGGCCGGTGGGGGGTGCATGGCCGGTGGGGGGTGCATGGCCGGTGGGGGGTGCATGGCCGGTGGGGGGTGCATGGCCGGTGGGGGGTGCATGGCAGGCAGCAGCAGGTGCATGTCAGGGGAGGGCGCACAGCAGGTGATCTTACCAGTTCCAGCAGGTGATCTCACCAGTTCCAGCTCTACAAGAGAGAGTGCTGCCGTGTCCACCACAGGCGGCAGGGGATGCACGGCAGGGCAGGGCAGGGCAGGGCAGGGCAGGGGAGGGGAGGGCACATGGGAGGGGAGGCAGCAGGGATCCCATGGCAGGTGCTCTCACCAGTTCCAGCTCCACAGGGGACAGTGCTGCCGTGACCACCACAGGCAGCAGCGGCAACGGCTGCTGCTGCTGCCACATGTCACTAGGAGATGCATGGCAGCAGGAGGTGCATGGCAGGGATACAACGTAAGGGGAGGGAGGGTGTTCTCACCAGTTCCAGCTCCACAGGGGACAGTGCTGCCGTGTCAACCACAGGCTGATGAGGCTGCTGCTGCTGCGGCTCCTCCCTTGCGACCTGCACTGGCTCGCTCTCCTGTGCAGTTACTGCCTGTCCAGTTGTCGCCTGCGCGGCTGTGCTCTGCGCCAGCACACCGTGACGCTCTGCCAGCGAGCGCAGCACCGACAGACGCACCTGGCGGGGGCGAGCAGGGCACACGAAATGAATGGGAATCGGGAAATGAATAATGAGAGGGGAAATTGGAAAGAGCTGCCTGCGCGACTGTGCTCGCGAGTGTGCTCTGCGCCAGCACACCGTGACGCTCTGCCAGCGAGCGCAGCACAGACAGACGCACCTGGTGGGGTCAGTGACAGAGAAACGGGAGTGGGGAGTTGAGAGTGGGAGATGGGAGAAGAAGATACGAGAGGAAGTTGAACGAGAGATGAGAGAGGCGCACCATGTCATCATGTCATGAGAGAGGCGCACCATGTCATCATGTCATGAGAGAGGCGCACCATGTCATCATGTCATGAGAGAGGCGCACCATGTCATCATGTCATGAGAGAGGCGCACCATGTCATCATGTCATGAGAGAGGCGCACCATGTCATCATGTCATGAGAGAGGCGCACCATGTCATCATGTCATGAGAGAGGCGCACCATGTCATCATGTCATGAGAGAGGCGCACCATGTCAGTAGCCCTCCCCGCTTTCCCCCTTCCCCCGTTCACCATTCCTCTCGTCCATTCCCCACCTAAGCGGCGTGGTGTCACCGACTATCATCGTCTGCTTTTGAGGACGGGAGTAATGGCGCCTCAAAAGTAGACACCTGAGCAGCGTGCTGTCGCCTTCTCTGATGCTTTTCAGGCGCCTCAAAAGCACGCACGCACGGACGCTGCTCAGGCTTTCCCCACCTGAGAATCACTTTTGCGAATTCTCAAAAGTTGAGGCGCCTCAAAAGCACGCACGCACGCTCCTCAGGCTTTCCCCACCTGAGCAGCGTGCTGGCACCGCCTCTCTGGTGCCTCTCAACGCCTGCCCACTGCAGCCGCTCTCTCTGCCTACAACCTTCCCCAAATCCTTCCCCACCAAATCCTAATCCCCAATCCGCACCTCCCACACCCCATTCCCTGCCCCCATCCTCTCCTCTCCACGCCCGGTCGCTGCAGCCGCTCTCTGCCTACAACCTACCACCGTCCCCTTTCCCGATTCCCCAGTCAGCCATCCTCACTGCCAACACCCACCTGAGCGGCGTGCTGTCGCCTCCTCTCAACGCCCGGTCGCTGCAGCCGCTCCCGCTGCCTATGCCGCCCCGCCCGCAGCGCCTGCACCGACCCCGCCACCACCCCCTGCTGCGCGGCCCCGTGCGCGCCCCCCTGCGCCTGCGCCTGCTCCTCCTCCGCCTCCTCCCACTCCTCCTGCGCCTCTCCCTCCGCGTCCGAGTTGCCCGGCGCATTAGACGGCGCGTTAGACGGAGAGGACGGCGCTACAGCCGTGGGGGTGACGGTGACGGCACGTGGAGTGACTTTCCCCTCAACCACGTCGGTCACACGTTGCCGCAGCTGGGGAGAACGGGGGGGAATGGGGGAGAACGGAGGAAAATGGGGGGAACGGGGGAAAGGTGGGGGAGGGGGGTGACTACAGGCGCGTGGAATGACCTTCCCCTCAACCACGTCGGTCACACGTTGCCGCAGCTGGGGGGAACGGGGGGAACAGAAGGTGGTCGGAGGGGAGGAGGCGGGTGAGAGGAGAGAGTTATGGGAGGGGGAATGAGCAACAAGGTGACTGTTGAGAACGCGTCACCCCATCCCACATCCCACGCGTCACCAGTCCACACCCCACCTTCCCCCCGTCTTTCCCCGCCCCAGCGCTAAGACGCACCTCCGGGTGCGCCTGGAGCAGTTCCCCCCGGCGGCTCTTTGCCGCCTCCACCGCCGCGGAAGCCGCGTCCATGCGCGCCTCCAGCGCCTGCAGCTCCGCGCGCATTGCGCCGCGCTCCTCCCGCCCCTCCAGCACGTGCGCGCCCGCCTGCAAGGACCAATAATGATAAAAAAAAAAAAAAAAAAAAAAGGTATCACGGACGGAATAACAGAGTAACATGAAGCCTGCATGCTCCATACGGCCCACAGCCATTGCACTACGTCCCAGCGTTAACCATTCATCACATGCGCACCTTGCGCATTTCCAGTGGGACCGAGGTAGGATCCGCGTTAGCCGCAGCAGCAGCAGCGGAATCATCGTCGCCCAATGACGGGGATGTGAACGATGACGTCATCGGCGCCACGTTGGCAGGCTTGATGCTGACGTGGGCTACCACGTCATCGGACACCTCGCGCAGATGGTCTTCCGCCAACTGCTGCGGAGCTGCTGAGCGCGGGGAGGTGGCGGAAGATCCGCTGGCGGAGGCTCCAGGGGCTGGCGCACGGCGGAAGAGGAGAGGTGCGGAAAACGCGTAAGGTTAGGCTTGCAAAGAGAGAGTGGCGGAGAAAACAGAACGCGGTGCGGTTGCAGTAAAACACGATAAGAGGATAACCTGTAATAGAGTCGTGCGAAGTTAACCGCCCAAAACCCGATGGATGAGTCAAATGCATACCGTGCGGAACGATGAGATTCGCGATGAAGTTGGTCGCCTTCTCGTTTCCCCCCACGATCTGCGACAGCAGCGGCGACGCCGCTTCGATGGCCTGGCGGAATCCACGCAAGAGAACGGGACGGGAAGACAAGCGGAGTGGATAAAAACGGGAGAGGATGAAACCAGGAGACCAGAGTCCGGGAGAGGATGAAACCAGGAGAGGGGATGCACGAAACCAGGAGAGGGGATGCACGAAACCAGGAGAGGGGATGCACGAAACCAGGAGAGGGGATGCACGAAACCAGGAGAGGGGATGCACGAAACCAGGAGAGGGGATGCACGAAACCAGGAGAGGGGATGCACGAAACCAGGAGAGGGGATGCACGAAACCAGGGTCCAAGAAAGGCAGGAACAGCACCACGGACGGTCGCATGAATGTAACCGCGACTATGGTTGCCATTCGCACAGGTCCACCCGTCGCCTGTCCATCACACCTCGTCCCGCCTCACCCTCGCCACTCCACCTTGTTCCAACCACCCACGCCTCCCTCGCTTCCTCTTCCCCGCGTCCCGTCTCGCTAACTGCCGCACCCAGACTCGCTACTTAACTTCCCGACCCCCCTCCGTGCCGCCACCCACTCCACCCCCCTCCGCATTATTCCCCGCAGCGCACCTTGCTGTGGTTCTCCAGCGTCGCCGCGGCCACCTTCGCCATTTCCTTCGACGCGCGCTCCGCGCCGCGCGCCATCTCCTCCGCCGCCTTCGCCATGCGCTCCATCCACGACCGCGCTCCTGGCCGCGTCTCGCCCGCTCTGCGCAACGGGGCAAAACGCAGAGAACAGCGGAGTTGCGCGAACGGGGCGGGATAAAAATGCCAGGGAAAAAGGGGAGGGGGAGAGGGAACGGGGAGAAGGGACAGCGGGAAAAAAAGTACAGTGAGTGGCCTGAAGGTGAGATGGGTGTCGGGTGGAGTAACGAAGGGGAGGGGTGGAAAAGGGGAGAGGGAAGGGGAAGAAGGGACAGCGGGATAAACAGTGCAGTGAGTGGCTTGACAGTGAGGAGGGTGTAGGGTGGAGTAATGCGCGGGGGAAGGGAGAGGGGGGGTTGGGGAGTGGTGGGAAAGAAACGCGGAGGACGTGGAAAGATGCGGAGGGGGAGGAACGCGGAAGCTGCCGGCGGAAGTAATGCGGAGAATGTAAGAAGGTAACCTATGAAGTATTAATGCGAGGGCAAAGAACGTACCGCTGAGCGCGGAAGATGGCGGAGATCGGGCGACGGCAGTTGCGCCTGAAGCTCACTGCAAGCACCAGCCAGTCCAGCAATGCCACGTGGGCGAGACGCAAACGGGAGAGGTCAGGCCAGTTCTACATCTTGCGACGTCTATAAAAAGGTTCGCTGCAGTGTAAGGGTGACGGATTAAGTTCTGACGCTGTTCACTAAAGTACGGCGGCTGCATCGCCAGACTCTTGGACGACGACAATGACAGATATCCCGCAACGGTGACCAATCGCCGTACATAAGCTGCATGTTGACACGTACGGTATATAACTAGCACGACTAAACGACGCGAAAGCTGGTCGACGTAACACGAAGCCTTTCCCCCTTTCAGGCTGCTGTTCCGACGAGCCTGTCCGACTAACCAATATCAGATGTCAGGCATAGTTCCACGTCGCTGATAACGTTCTGGTGATAAGAAGCGGTGGTAGACTAGCGGACTTACGCGTTACGCGCTTCGTCCGCATGGGAACGACGAAGGCGGTGCTGAACTGCGGGGTATTGGGAGCTTTCCGCCACCGCGCGCCCATGTAGGGCGCAAGGGCGGGAGGCGCGCATATGCGCATCGCGACGATGGCTTGACTCGCCATTGAGGGGCTATTAGCAGACTACACGGCAATCGGCGGATAAAGCGTTTAGGCTTAGGTGCTTACGTAAACTCTTAGCTGCTTACATGAACTTCGTAAGGTAAAAAAAAAAACCACTAACTTAGCAAACGGATGTTAAGAATAATAATATCTATTGGATAGCAGAGACGGCGTGGATGCTCCCAATGTGCTACCCTGACAGAAGGCTGAGCGGGACTTTCGGTCAGCCTACCCTACAAACCAAGTCTGAGATCTGAAATGCCAACTAACTTGGGAGCACCCAGACCTTAGTGGTTGTGGTATGGTCGCTCGCTCACTAAATCGAAGCGGGGAAGGGGAAGGGGAAGGGGAAGGAGGGCAGAGGGATAAGGGGAAAGGGTAGGGGAAGGTACAGGGGCGGACGATGAGGGGGGAGGCAGGGGGAAGGGTTGCGGAGAAGCGAAACGCGCGAAGTTGGGGCAGACGAAGCGGAAATCGGGGAAATGCAAGGGGGTGAGCGATATGACAGACTGGGAGGAGAGTGCGTAGAGGGCGGAAGCAAAAGTAGGGGGGAAGAGCTCATGTTTGAAGTTCAAAATAAGGCGGGCGGAAAAGGCCTCTGGCCCCTGCGTGCGCGTTCAGGTCGGTCAGATCGAGGATTCGAGGCCACCCTTGAGAGTTGCGCGATAAGTTTGCGGGGGAAGGGCCAATCGTATCGGAGGATCTCTGAATACTATTGCAATCTGAAAATTGTTTTCTACCGTCAGATCTAACAGCAAGGCAGATATCGATGGGGCTGCTCGCACGGTCTCTGCATCCCACGTCGGGCCGCGTCAGCTTTTCCGTGACCCAAAGCGGCTCGCAAAGACGCCACTGTGGCAGTGCCGTGATTTTGAAAACCTTGGGGTTGCCAACATAAGATGGGATAAGGGAGTGAAAGAACAGATTTTGATGTTTCAGAAGATATTTTTACAATGTAAAGTGATTTAACATTCTAACAAAAAGGCACAGACGATTATTTCTCCCACTTCTTTTTCGATCGTGCCGAAAGCTCTGGTAAGCGTCTTCATTCATGGCGGCCTCCGAGGGTACACATCCTCGATATCAGCCGCTTCAGCACTGCGCTTTATGGCCACAAAACATACAAACGAAGTGAACCCACTTTTCAGCTCAACACAAATCGAGCCAGTTACTGCGACACACATTATTGCAAATTCCACCGCAATGTGCGGCATGCGTCGAAACACAGCACCACGCCTGTGTTTAGGTGGATGAGCCTTGCACGGCGTGGCGCCAGCCAGGCGCCGAGCGAACTATCGAGTGGGCGTGGGCATGGGGCCACGGCATGGCGCTCCGCTCGTTCGTGGAAGCCTCTTTTCGTCGTGTGACGACAGGGAACGAGAGGCGACTGACCGACAGAGGATCGCCGCCGCTTGATCCGTTGTGGTGCGGATTTCCTGCATTCCTCATTTCCTGCGTTTGACATCGCGTACGGCACATACTCGTTTTGAGACGTCTCAAGACTAGATTTCCTGGGTTTGACATCACGTTACGTCACATACTCTCCGGCTTCGGTATTTCGCGCCTGCTGCTTCACTGCGCCCCTGGCATCCCGCACTGACACAGCAATGGCGGAAAATTCCGCGCAAGCCACTCCTCCGGCGCTTGTGGCGGAAGCTACAGTGGTGAATTCTGTCTTCGCCGCGTGGGGGAGCGGGCCCGCGCCAGCTGCGGCAGCGGCTGTTGCGCCTGAAGCGCCTGTAGAGGCTGTAGCCCCTGTAGCCCCCGAAGAGCCTCCAGCCCCTGTAGCGCGGACGCCGCCACTGCGCACGCCGACGCCGGACGTCACCTACTCGCTGCCTCACGCCGTCGTGGCGACTCGTGCGCGCGCCGCGACGGTGCGCCTGCGATGCGGGCGGCGAATTGCGTATCTGGAGAAAGGGATGGGCGCAGCGCAGGCGACGCGGACGCTGCTGGTGCTGCATGGCCTGGGATCGTCGCGACTCGCCAACATGCCAGGTGAGCTAAAGTCTCAAAATTTCAGACACTTCGAATGACAACGTGCATTCAAATTCCCGGATGCTGCTTTTCCTGACTTTTTTGTGGATTCTAAACCCTTAAACCCCCCCCTCCCCTCCCCCCCCCCCTCCCCCCCCTTCTCTCAGGAGTGACGGACGAGCTTCTGTGCTCTTTCGGTGTCCGGCTGGTGGCCATCGATCGCCCAGGGTACGGCCAGTCCGACCCTGCGCCAGCCCTCTCGCTGCACTCCTTCTGTGCGGACCTTGAGGAGCTGGCGGATCTGCTCTCGCTGGGGCACAAGTGAGTGGATAGATGCGGAGTGATCAAGCACGTGCAGGTGGTATGTGATAGCGGTTTCCACAGTCCCACCCCGCGCCAGCCCTCACACTGCACTCCTTCTGTGCGGACTTCGAGGAGCTGGCGGATCTTCTTGCCTTGGGATGCAAGTGAGTGGGTTCACCATTTAATCACCAATCACCTTGTGGGTGGTCAGTGTGGGTGGTCAGTGTGGGTGGTCAGAAGACCACGTGCACTCCTTCTGTGCGGACCTTGCTCTGGGGCACAAGAGAGAGGATCGATTCAGAGTGACCAATTAGTGAGTGTGGTCAGTGAGAGTGGTCAGTGAGAGTGATCAGTGACATTTCCTTTCCTCTTCTCCCCAATCAGGTTCTACCTGTTGGGGTACTCAGCAGGAGGAGCGTACTGCTGGGCGGCAGCGCACTACATTCCCCACCGCATCCTGGGAATTGCCATGTGGGCGCCCTTCAGCTCATTCTACTGGCAGGTGTGACTGTAGTGAATAATGGTGTGACTTTAGTGAATGGGTAGGTGTGACTTCGCTGAACGGTAGGTAGACTGTGCTGAAAGGCATGATGCTTGCATGACCCTTGCCGTCCGGATGCTGTGATGGTGGGATATTTCCTGCTGGAACATGCCCTTTCCTCGCACTCCCCTCCCCCCTCACATCACTCCATTCATTCCCCTCCCACAGGGAATATCAGAGCAGGATAGGGAGGCCATGTTCGCCGGCATGACGCCCCACTCCCGCCGCTCCCTCCGTCTCGGCCGCTACGCCCCTCTCTGGCTCATCCGCCTCTTCATTCGCAACTTCATCGTTCCCTTCTCTGGTGAGTGCCTTTCTATGAATTTCAGTACGTGCTGTGCCCCTTCGGCTGCTGTGCCCCTTCGGCCGCTACGCCCCTCTCTGGCTCATCCGCCTCTTCATCTGTAACTTCGTTGCCTTAGCTGGTGAGTGCAATTGTTTTCAGCGACTAGCATCAAATTTCTGAGTCAGTTGTTTTCTCCCATGGGCTCATCCGCCTTTTTATCTGCAACATCGTTCTTCCCTTCTCCCCGCCCCTTTCCCAGGTCCCTTATGGGTTCAGCGCCTGCAGCACAGCCTCTCACACGCCGACCGCCAGTACCTGCTGCACGCGCAGGGCGCACAGGCGCTGCTGAACGACAATACCGAGTCGCTCCTTATGGGAGCGCACGGCGAGGGCATGGCCAAGGACGTTGAACTCTTCAGCCGCCCCTGGCCCTTCGATGTCCAAGACATCTGTGATATCGGATGCTTTGATAATACCCAAGACATCTGTGATACTGGGTGCTTTGATCATACCCAAGACATCGGCGATATCGCCAGTATCCGAGACTCCACATGTGAATCATCCAAGGCAACATCCCCTTCTGCCACCGCAAATCCACCCCCATCGACCGCTCCTCTCCCGTCCTCGCCGTCCCCCGCCCCTCCGTTCTTGGTGCACATATGGCATGGCACGAAGGACGTATTAGTGCCTCTCTCGCTGCAGCGTTGGCTGCAGCAGCAGCTTCCGCATGTGGTGAGGCTGTATGAGCTTCCTGGCGAGGGACATCTTTCCTGGTTCTGCCACCAGCCTCAGAACCACCACCAAGTGCTCTCCACTCTCTTCTCTTAGGGTACATTCCTGTGGGGACACTTGTGTCTCAATCCCCGATTTCCCGAGTCGCGCCTGTAAATTTGCCAAATGTTGTGTCACAAACAACCAATGTATCGCGACTCTAGGCGACCAGGCGAGATGTACAGTTGTGCGCATTTGTTTGGGTGACACAAATGACTGTACATCCCTTTTTTCAACCGCTTGGCTGGGATGTGGTTTCGACGAGCGGGATTTTTTCCCGCACGAAATTGGCATTGCAGGCTGTCCAGGTGCATTGACATTTCGAGCAGCGTGCGAATTTTTCACATTGACGAGTCAGATTACAATTCGTCAGCGACGTCAGCGCGTTTCACGCTGACCAATAAAAAATACAGTAATGGTCGCGGAAATGCGACTCGCAATTGGGACACACTACAGTTTATGCTGTTTTTGTGTGTCACAAAGCGATTGAGACATTTGTGTCTCCACAGGAATGTACCCTTAGTGGCGTCTAGTGGCCTCAGTGCTGCTCTCTGCTCTACATGTTGCAGCAGCAGCTGTCACGTCTGGTGAGGCTGTATGAGCTGCCAGGGGAGGGACATCTTTCCTGGTTCTGCCACCAGCCTCGGAACCACCACCAAGTGCTTGCTACTCTCTTCTCCTAGTGGTTAAGTTGCTGGGAACTTCATACTCACGCCTTGCGTCTCTGCCACCAGCCAAGCAGCCGCTATCAAGTGCTTCCTACTCTTCTCTGCATGCTGCAGCAGCAGTACGGCTACTGTACTGTACTGATCATTCATTCATGGCTTTTTGTACTGTATTTTCCTTTCGCCTCACATGTTCTGATGTGTTGCTTGCGTCCATTCTGTAGTCCACGGTATATTTTGGTAACATGTCTCGTCCCCCCCGTTACAGCCAAGCACCAAAGCTGTAAACTTAATCAGTCAAGGGGCTACCACTGTAGTGCTGGTTTCTGCACTGCATGCACCACAAGCACTGGGAGGACAGACAGAACAGGGCAGCCAAGAACTTGGAATATATCAGGCAGGAATAACGGCTTCTCAATCATGGCTGCAGTGCAGTGCAGTGCTGGCAATGATAGCAGACACGCACGTGACAATACAACTGACTGCCTCCCAGCCATCTAGAACGTCTCATGCAGGTCACAACAATCTCAAGCGGTTCGTCTGAATAATCAACCATATTGTAGGCAATCTTATGAAATTTCTTTATACGAAAAAAAAAAACGAAAGAGTGTAAGTGCTGTCTTAGATTAGAACTGTCTTCTACACGTGACAGCCTTACACGCGTGATCAAAATCATCAATCACCCACAGCCGAGCCCCTCTCAGCGATGCAATTTTATCCTCCTTTTTACCCGCATAAGGAGGCACTATCACCGGCAACAGCCAACCTTTCGGAACCCTCACCCCCTCCTGCGGCCCAAAGGGTATCGTCCCTGCTTCTTTGAAACTAACAGTGTTACTTAGCACCTGTGCTGCTTGCTGCTGCTGCTGCCGGCTCCCCCCTCCCCCACATTCCACCTCCCCCACGTCGAAATTAACCACCATGCTGCCCGCAAGCACGTTGGTCAGCAGCGGGGTCCGCGCGCAAAACTTTTCGAGCTGCCCCCACGCAGCGATGGTCGACGGTGAGGATCGCACGACGAGGAACGAGGAGCTGAAATCAACGGCGTCCAGACAACCCCACATCTGAAAGCTCGGATCAACACGCGTGACTGTATCCGCTGCCAAGGGATCACCCCTCCATATAGTATCCGCATTCCCTATAGCCACATTGAAGCCGAGAGAAAGAGCGGTTAGAACTAACTGAACGTGTCGGGCAGTCCAGTGGTTGCGCCCGCTCAATCTCCTCCTCCTGCTGACCTCAACAGGATCCTCCAACCCTCTCTTCCTCCTCACCTCATCCTCCTCCTCCTCTTCCGCCCCTCCATAGCCCGTAACACCCACAGGGTTACCTGAACCGTCACCAGTACCATCCCCACTGCTGTCGCTGCTGTTCGTGCGGCCAAAAAGACTGTCCCCATCCCCCTCCCCATCCTCCTCATCTTCTGCTGCACTGGTGGATGTGTAGCCATCTGAGGATGGATCATCCTTCCAGAACAGGCTGTCAATGCCAATGCTGGTGATGGTGCCTATACCCCCGAAACTAGTTCCACCTTCATCCGTACCCCCATTGCTGCTGCTACTGCTACTGCTACTGCTACTGCTACCGCTGTTGCCACTGTTACTGCCATCACCAGCGCCTGCAGCTGCTGACTCTGCACCATTGGTCCGTGCCAGGTGTCGCAAGATCCTGCGACGGGTGACAGGTGGCAGGTAGAAGACAGCATAGCCACGTGCTGCCAGCTCAGCTGCCAGCCTGGCGCATGGAACGATGAGGATGATGTTGGAGACACCGGAGCCGTCGATGTGGCAGAGCCAGTTGTTGAGGAGATCTCGACCGTCGAAAGGCACCACTATCAACGACACATATTTTTCCTGAAGAGGCACGAGGAGAGAGCACGAGAAAGAGGGCGGTGAGTGAGAGACACATGGAGCGAAGGTAACATGGGAAGAAGGTCTAGCTGACAACTTATGTTGAAAAGGGATAGTTACTGGGTCTTTTGTTTTTACATACGATGCTGAGAGCCCATTCAATGGCACATCCCATTCAACTCCTTCCTCTCTACCCCCTCGCTCTCTTTTCCTCCCAATCTTCCCCTCCATATCTCTTGCTTCCCTCTCTTCGTGCCTCTCTCTTTCCATCCCTCTCTCTTCCCCCCCTCTCCCCCCCCCAAGGCTTACCGGAGCAACAGCATTCAGCAGCGAATGAAACTCCTCCAGCGTTTTCGCAGGTGGTAACCAGCGTAACTGCCGGAAACATAGATCATGCCGCTCCAACCTCCGGAGCACCGGCAGAGGCCGAACCCACCACGCCCTGATCGACCGCGCCCATGCTACATCCGCCCCTCCTGCTACAACCCTCCCTGCCGCCCCTCCGGCTGTAGCGCCAACTGCACCCCTCCCTGCCGCCCCTCCTGCTGAGCCAGACGCAGCAGAAGAAGACGCAGCAGCCAGGGCGGCAGCCAGCTTCTGGGGGGTCAAGAGGGCGGCATCGGCCCCCCGGTTCTTTGGCATATTCGACCCTTTCTCCCGGTGCGAGATCGAGAGCGAAAGATTCCCGGGCGGCGAGGGGTAAAGATTGAACATACCCTTGGCATAAGCCCACTTGATAATCCAGGGGGTCCAGAGGCGATTACCCTTATTTTTGAACCAGACTGTGGTTTTTAGCCCGTCGAGTGAGGGTTCTCGGGTGGAGTTGTAGCGGCGCATGTCGTACCAGAGACGAAATTGTTTCCAGGGGGCTGGGAGGAGGAACTGTCCCCATGTGCCGACCAGCTGGTAAAGAAAGGGGTCCGGATGGTCGTACACGTTGAGCCCGCTGTTGAAGCCTGGGGAAGGGGGGGTGGGGTGTGATGGGGGGCGAGAAACGGGGGTATGACGGAGACATACGGATTTGAACCAGACCGTGGGTCTTTAGGCCGTCGAGTGAGGGTTATCGCGTGGCGTTGGGGTTCTCGGGTGGAGTTGTAGCGTCGCATGTCGTACCAGAGGCGAAACTGCTTCCAGGGGGCTGGGAGGAGGAACTGCCCCTATGTGCCGATCACCTGGTAGAGAAAGGGGTCCGGATGGTCGTACACGTTCAGCCCGCTGTTGAAGCCTGGGGAAGGGGGGGTGGGGTGTGACGGGGGTTGGGTGTGAATGAGATAAACGGGGGAAAGAGAGACGGATGGGCTACACGAGCTGGTAGAGAAAGGGGTCCGGATGGTCATACACGTTCCGCCCACTGTTAAAGCCTGGGGAAAGGGGGGTGTGAAGGGAGATGTGAAGGGGGGTTGTGAAGGTTGGGTGTGATGGGGGGTTGTGATGGGGGGGGTGTGAAGGTGTGATGGGGGGGTGAGAAGGAGGGGTGTGAAAGCGGGGTGTGAAGGGGGGTTGTGAAAGGGGGGTATGAAGGGGGGATGTGAAAGGGGGATGTGAAGGGGGGAAGTGAAGGGGGGATGTGAAGCGGGGGTACGCTGCGAACAAAAGAGGGAAAGGTGACGTTGAGGCGACTCACAAGCGGCTACTGAGGTCAATGTTGACGCCTGGTGAGGAGGGTTGTGACGAGGTAAAGCAGGAAAGTGTTAAAGGGAAGGGAGAATGATGACACGGACAAGAAGAAAGGGGGTGTCTCAATGCTCTGCTGACGGATTTCCCACCATTTCCCATCCCTCGTCCCCCATCCCCACCATACCCACCATCCCTCCCATTATCACCTCCAACATGCCCATCCTCCCACCAATCCCAGAGGCATACCCGCAATGAAGAACTGCCGTTGAAAGGAGACCCCATACACGCTCGGGTTGAAATTGGACGCGTTGAAGTAGTACACTCCAAGAAGCCTTTTCAAATATCGATAAAACAGCGGCGAAACCTCCATGTCATCCTCCACCACAAATGCCACGTCATTCACGCTCTCAGGCCACCACGATTCCAACCACTGCGGCTGAATCCCCATATTCTGGGATCGGTACAGTACGCTTCTCGGTCCATGCGGCCACGTGAATTTATCCAACAGTGACAATAACGAATGAGCCACTGAAACCCGATCCGCTGCTCGTCTCGTCCAGGCGGACTTCCCCGACCGGTTACCAAACGTGTGGTCGACGAAAATATCTAGGGTTACCACATCTCCGTCGTACTCTGCATTCGCTAACGCCTTTAAGCATCGCGCTGCCACGTCAGGACGATCATAAACCAGCACTTTAATATGCAGCCGGAATTGCGAAGGATCCACCCTCGCGCCGTTCGGACCCGGGAATAATCTCGCGAGGTTTCGCGGAAGCTGCCACGAAGGTCCTCTAAGAGGCGGCTCAGGTGCAAGAAGACCCCGCGACCGTACTGAGGAGGAGGAGGAGGAAGAGGAGGAAGAAGTTGATGAATCCAAAGAAGAGGTTGTCTGCAAGTTGATCGGTTCGTTACTAGGGTTAGCGCATGCCAATTGTCGAGTCTGCTCTTGACGAGTATGCTGGCGTCCCGGTTGCCGTTGCAGCTCGAGCCAGATTCGCAGCGCGGCCGACGCGACGAGGGAGATCAGGAAGACGAAGAGGAAGCGACCTCGACCAGCGCTTCCCGCCATGACTCCTGACGAGTTCTGACGATTCCTGACGATTCCTGACTATTCTCGACAATTTCTGACAATTCCTGACGGTTCGTACCCGCAACTACAAAGCAATCGATCCTATAGGTCGAGTCATAGAGTAATTAGGACGACGAGCGAGCCGCCTGGACCTGTTATTCCCGCCATGCGCCCAGGTCTCTACACTCGACCTGGAAAACCATCACACGGGATGGGTAATGTTGAGCTGCGAAGCCCCGAATTTAACTGAAATCCAGTATCAGTGCGAACGGCTCGACCTATCTTCGCCCCTATCCTCGCCTACCCTCCAGTATGCGTTCGACTCGACTGAAAAAAATAACTAATACTGACAAGCCAGGCGGTGACTGATCCGATCCGATCTGATCTCGATAATCAAGCGCCATTCTAGACTAATTTCCTTGACATGAGTGGAAGGACTAATTTCCTTTAGTGGTAATGTCACCGGAAGGCAGTTGTGCAATTGCCTGAGACGCTAAAATGGCGGTTACAATGATACAAGCACCAGAATGAGTTATATAATTGGCGAATGACGGCCCAAAGCCTGTCCAGTGAAAATGGATCAGACCTAGAGTGCAGTCGACTAAGCGATCAAGTCAATCAACGGCTAATTAGGGCGAATCTGTCTAAACTCCTCCCGACAAGCTCTCTTGCACGACGAGATGTTAGAAACTGGTTACTAAAAACTCCAGCGATCATCAGCAGGAAAGGTTGTTATTTCTTCCTACCGGCCTGCCTGTCATTTGTCAGGGATCTTCAGCAGGTGAGTAGCGGTTCAAACAGGTGAAAAGGACGAACAGCTCCAAACTGCACGTCATCGTATTCCACCGTTTCACAGTAAGCTCGTCTCGCACGAACAAATACTAGCGGTCCAGCCAGCCCGCCGTCAATTTCTATGGCCGCAACCATGAAGGATTTGGTTGGTTCACTTGCTTGATGAAACCAAGGTTGTGGTCGTCAGTGAAGTGGTTGGTGGAATAGTCGCTGTAGATCTCATAAACACTTTCAGGTAACATGACTGGCTGTTGCTGCACACATAAGATGTAAATGAGAGTCTCTAACATGGAGATGTATTGCTATCATTAGCCTGATACAATACAGGTGGAAACATTCATAAAATCATACGCTTTTCAGAGTCAGCTGCGAAAGGAGATGGGTGGAATGATGGAGTGAAGTGGTATACAACGGAAGATGATGGGATGGCATGGAGTGGCAGATAATGGAGGGGTGAAAGGGATGTATTTTATGGCTGCGCTGCTCACTTCCTACCTCGATACAAGCATGCATTCCTCCCAGATGACAATCATTTAACCCTGAATTGGCATCTCCAATCTGCATGTATTTGACGATGACTCGCCGTTGACAGCTTGCAGCACTTGACTCCTCGCTAACAGAGTGAATCGATCAGTTAACAACGTCGACGATAACCCGGCGGGACTTGATGGGTGCCCAGCGCCACCGCTTGTAGTAGATGGCCTGCAGCCACACGAGTGAGAGGATGAAGATCCACTTCACGCCCATCTGTCATGGAAAGAGCACACGAGGGGGGAAGAGGGTACAGATGGGCAGAAAGGTGTGGTGAGAGGGCGCAGATGGACGTTGAAACGCTCAGTAAACAGCATCCAGAACGGCCCAGCATAGTATATGGCCTGCAGCCACACGAGAGAAAGGACGAAGATCCACTTCACCCCCATCTGCCAGGGAAACACGCGGGGGAGAGGGCACAGATGGATAGTTGGTTGGGTGGAAACAGTTATTGTGTGAGTGCGGCTCATGCAAGGAAAGTAACAACATCCTTGACCTGCTGGGACTACGTGGCCGGTGTGCCGTCTTCGTACTCCGCATCACCTCTTGAAATGCACGCACAGTGCAAGCCACCCACTCAGCCACTCACCAGCTTGCGTTCGTCCATCTCAGGCTCGGCGGCGCAGGCAAGGAAAGTGACAACGTCCTTAGCCTGCTGGGCGGGACTCAGTGGCGGGTGTACCGTCCTCGTACTCCACACTGCTCCTTGCACCATGCATACACAGAGTGCAGTTTCCACACACCACACATCTCACATCTCACGATTTACCCCCTTTGAAGCCACTCACCAGCTTGCGTTCGTCCATCTCAGGCTCAGCAGCCCACGCAAGGAAGGTGACAACGTCCTTGGCCTGCTGGGACTCAGTGGCGGGTGTGCCATCCTCGTACTCCACACCGCCATCGTTGAGCATCTTGGGCATGGCAATGGCGCCGCCCGGGAAGTACGGATTGTAGTGCAGGCCTTCTCGCACCTGTGCACCCAAAAGGGGGGGAGGTGATGAGGGTGGACGCCAGCGGGTGTAGGGATGAGGGCGGTGAGAGGGGGAAATGAGGATACTTTATTAGTCAACTCAAAGTTGCCAATAAGGGGAGGAAGGTGGGGGGTGGGTATTGGGGTGGTGAATTGGATGAAAAGCGCTGAAGTCATGTCAGAATGAGTGCTGCGGTAAAAATTATCGTACATGAAAACATTATTGTTATCAAATGTTAGGTGACTGCACTAATGTAAGTACTTAAAAAATTTCACGCTTGCATGCTCCACATCACTCCATTAGAGAATGTGCATGGAGACAACACACACGTGGCATCGCGCAACCCACTCACCGAGATACCAGCAGGAGGTTCGCGGTAGCCTGTGAGGAAGCTATTCTTTTCACGCCTTAAACAAATAAGTGTGTGTGGAGTAGAGACACACACGAGGCATCGCACAGCCCACTCACGGAGATACCAGCAGGGGGTTCACGGTAGCCTGTGAGGAGCGCATAGATGTAGTTCTGCCCGTCATGGCGCGCCTGGGAATGGGAGGGAGGAGGGGGGCGGAGTTGGGAGGGAGAGGATGCACGTGTCATTGAGCACGAGTGGACACGGTAACACCTGGGCCTGTGAGTAGAGCACATATGCAGTTCTGACCATCGTGGCGTGCCTGGGAATGGAAGGGGCGCTAGAAAGGAGAATACACGTGTCAACTTGTCATTGAGCACAAGTGACACACACAAGTTTTGGGTTTTGAGGCACCGCCAATCTCGTAGCCTGTGAGAAGCGCATAGGTGTAGTTCTGCCCGTCGTGGCGCGCCTGGAGTCAGGATTGACACGGTGTGTGAAAGAGAATGGGAGAGATGGGAAGAGAGGGGTGGGCGGAGAATGGATAAGGTGTTCGCTTTAGAAACACCTTAAAGCTCGTCGCCAGGGGAAAGTGCAGGTAAACCGCACTATAGCTCGCTGAAGAGGCTGCTAAAAGGAGTGAAGCCGGCCCCATTGGCAAACCTGGCAATTAGTGAGTCGACTCAAGAGGCAAAGGGGGGATGGGGAGGGAAGGGTGGGCGGCGGAAAGGGAGTACATACCTTGCTGATGAGGCTCAGATCGGGTGGGTAGGCTCCGCCATTCGCGAACCGAGCGCTCTGCTCATTCGCGTACGGATTGGGGAGCTTATCCGAGGGCTTCCCTGGGCGCAAGAACATCTCGCCCTCGTCGTTGGGCCCGTCCTCCACCTCGACCTCGGCGGCGAGCGCCTTGACCTCGCCGTTGGGTTGGGCCTGTCTTCCATCTCTACTGGGGGCTATTGAGTCGACTCATATCGTCTCGAACACGGAGTTGAGAGCACCGTACCTTGCTGATCAGGCTGAGGTCCGGAGGGTAAGCTCCACCATTGGCGAACCGCGCAGACTGCTCATTCGCGTACGGATTCGGAAGCTTATCCGAGGGCTTCCCTGGGCGGAGGAACATCTCGCCCTCGTCGTTGGGCCCGTCCTCCACCTCGACCTCGGCGGCGAGCGCCTTGACCTCGTCCTCCGTGTACGCCACTCCGATGAGATCGCGGTACGACACCAGCGACATGCTGTGGCACGTCGCGCACACCTGCTGGTACACCTGGTGCCCGCGCCGAATGCTGTAAAGGTGGGGAGGAGGGGCGGGAGGGGGAAGGGGGGGAGGGGGAGGGTGAGGGGGAAGGGGAGAGGGGGAAGGGGAGAGGAGGAAGGGGAGAGGGGGAAGGGGAGAGGGGGAGCTTATAGATGGTATGCCGGTATTAGTAAAAGGCGGGCTCAATAGTCGTGGTTAAGAACGAGACTCCTTACGAGGCATGGTCGTAGGAGCTGAAGATGCCGTCATGGGGCCACGGGTAAGCAGGAGCGTGAAGCCCGTGCTCCGCCTCGTCAGCGCGTGCCACGTCAGCGAGAGCCGCCACGCCTAGCACCGCGCCGCCCACTGCACCCGTGGCGCGCAGCAGCTTCCACGTCAGCGAGTCGTTGGTGGTGTTCTCATTGCCGGCTGCTGACGCGGCGGCCACAGCCGGTGCGCTGGTGCTGAATGGCTGAAAGAACGGCGGGAGATATCAGGAGGACAGAACAGACTTAGGCAGAGAACGATAGGGAGTTATGGACGGAAGGGTAAACGGATCATCAGGAGAGACAGACAGCTTTTGAGTCGACTCAAAAGAAGAGGCAGAGAGCTTTGGAAGAAAACCAGCAAGTCGTTCTGGGAGGTTCGGAAGGACGTGGACGGATCTCCTCCATAGGAAGTTATGCAAGTAGCTTCCAAACAGGGTTCGCAATGCCGTTTGACGGTAACGTGCCAGCAAGATAACGCGCTGAGCCGGATAGTGGAGTCAGCGAGATATGAGCAAGATCGACGGCTAAGAACAATCGAGCGATCGAAAGCGGATCTGGAGCTCAGCGAGATCAGCAGGGATGCGTAGATCCCAGGAAACAACGAAATGCACGTTTGTTTAATGGACTCTTTAACTGCTTGAATGCTAGAAACACGAGCTGCTTGGTACGAGAGTCTAGACGACCGAGACACACGGATCCAGGATGACTGGTAAGCTAAATCAGACGGCATGCGGCCAGTCGGCTTGTGGGAGGATCTGGATGACCGACAGATCAGGAGGCACGCGGATCCGAGCTGCAGATCCGAAACCGTGACGATCCCAATGCTGCATTTCGCAAGCTATGGAGTATAGTGGACACCGAGTGCTAATGAGTATTAGACGCGTTTTTTTTTTGCAGCAACGAGACAGAAAATACTATCGTCTCTGTAACGATCGTTCGTAACATAGGAAGAGTAGTCGCATGGCATCGAGTACGTGTCGGCAAGCGAAAGCTCCGCGTTGTTGCGAAGTGGTTACCAAGTTACCTTGCACGCCTTCTCAGCGATCGATCCTCCCTGGCCGCGGGCCAAGGAGCGCGCGAAAACCGCTGCTCGACCCAACATGCTGCGGTCCGAAAATAACTCGCACCGCGGTGACTTGGTCGACGGAGTCGCGAGAGAGATTAGGGACGGAGGAACCCCTAAAGGTGGAAAGTACGGTGTGACTATGCTAGGGCACAACACGCCTAGGGAATGGGGTGAGGGGAAAACAGGGAAGGATGATGGCGGAAGCGCAGGGGAATAGCGGGGAGCTAGTAATTGAAATGTATATCTCTCTAACACTGGAAGGAACGTGATGTTACTACGGATAGGAAATTGCTATGAGAAACTGTATATCGAGTATTTTGTGAACTGGCTCCCCCTTCGCATCCCACGCGCCACGTCTCCTCCCCCACCCTGCCAAACCTTGGGAACCACGCAGACAGGATTCGTGGAAAAGGCTGTGCTTGGCTTGGGAGGTGTAATTTGTGGGTCGGCTCGGGACTGAACCACACTGAACCTCCTGTTATTGAGCGGCTACCGAACAGAGCCACGAACAGACATAGACGGTTTCTGTCAGCAAATTGGGGTGAAGCTGACGTTTCAGTTTTTGCTCGCCGAACCCACACCTGCTGGCCTTCCATGACCCATCCATCCATCACTTGCACCTCGGGCTTCTAGCTTCTGGATTCGTTTGAAGGGAAGGAATTTCATTTGCATATCTTCTTTCCACACACGCATTTGCTCATCATTTTCGCTAGGTGCGTGAGCTTCTCGCACCTCACCTTTCCGCGTACCTCCTCGATCCTTTTTCATTGCCGGATCACGGTTCAGTTTTCCTCGACTTGACCTGCTCGTTGATCAAATTCCCGCTTTTCACGCACGTGATCGCGTTTATAGGTTGAGATTCCAGCTTGCAACGTAGAAGCCATAATGGCTCGGCAGGCGAAGCGAGCTAAAGTGGAGCCAAGCGCGTCGGCTGGCGAAAACGAAGACTGCGTTGAGGTGGTAACGGTCGAGACTAGCTCGGCTCGCAGGCAATCCACAAGGCAGAGGAGACCTCCATTGAAGCTAGAATACGGATTCGCGGGTTTTAAATCATCAGGTGCAAAGCGAGAGACTTTAACAGCGAAGGACAGCAATGGAGCAGGAAATAAAGCAGTCCTAGCGACGGATCAAGAGGTAAAGCAGGAGTCTGGCGGGAAGAAGCAGGCGAATCCGGCGAAGATGAAAGGCCTTTCGGCAAAGTTGAAGGCGAAAGATACAGTTGTAACATCTTTGTCGTCATTTCGCTGGGCGAGTGACATGGTGGACGCGGATTCGAAATCCGGCGAATCATTGTCTGAAGTCGAAGGAGTAGCATCTGACTCTGACGACAGTTGGGCTGCCACCGATCTGGAAGAGGATAACGGGGACGCTGTTAGCGAGGATGTGGAGGAGCAGGATCGCGAGTTTTCGGGAGTGAAGGAAGTTGGTGCGTTGGATGTAAACGGCACGAGTGAAGACAATGAGAGGTCATTTTGGGAGGTGCAGTTTGAGAACGATGAGGAAAATGAGGATTGTGATGACGATTCAAATCGGATGAAGCGTTGGTCTAAGAATGCGACCACGCGAGCAGGGAAGAAGAAGAGGAAGGAAGAGGAGGAAGAAGAGGAGCAAGAGCTTGCGAGCTTACCATCTGAAGAGGAGGAGGAAGAGGAGGAAGCTGATGAGGATGAGGCGCTGAGCGTTCGAGCAAAGCGGGCGTGGAGAAACATGAAGAGATGCAGCAACGGCAATGGGAAGAAATCTCAAAAGCAGCAGAAACAGCAAGATAAGAAGCGGAAACGGGCAGCAAAGGCAGCAGCGTGGGTGCGGCCAGTGCATTTAGAGGGCGAGGAGGTGGAAGAAGAGCGGATGGCGGAGTGGGAGAGGGATCTAGCAGCGTGCAACAGAGGGGAGGTGACGCCTCAGCAGCTGGTGGAGAAGAGGGAGAGGCCGCGGGAGCAGGAGCCTGCTCCTGATATTCTTATGCCGCTGCTGCCGTTTCAGAAGGAATGGCTTGCGTGGAGCCTCAAGCAGGTATGGGTGTTACCGAGCCTCATTCCAAAGCTTCTGTCACATGTTACCTGTCTATTAATGAGTTTTTGCACTGTCAATACTATGCCATTGTTGATGCAATTTGTCTTGCCCATTTTTTCCATCGTATTATGTGTCTCCTTTATGTCATTGTGATGTATTCATCATTCTTTGAACGTGTTTTGACCATGTTTTTAGCGTGTACTTTTCATGTATACATCTGTCTTGATCAGGAACAAGGACCCATTAAGGGCGGCATCTTAGCGGACGAGATGGGCATGGGGAAGACCATCCAAGCCATCTCCCTTATAGTCACCAGCCGTCACCTACAGTCACACGCCCCTGCTGTCACCCCAGTGCTGCCTCAGCCACTGCCACCATCAACAGCCGCTGCTCCTGCTGATGTCGCTGCACAAGCCACGGCTGGCGGTCCAGGTTCATCCGGGGGAGGTGCATCTGAGGCGGAGAGGCGAGCAGTGAAGGCAACGCTGGTGATCTGCCCGCTTATCGCAGTGCTGCAGTGGCGGCAGGAGATTGCTCGCTTCACGCGCCCAGACAGTGTCAAGGTGGGTGACTGGGGGTTGGTTGAACCCTGCACTCAGGAAAGTTGAGGGACGCTACGCACTCCTGGCCCATAACCGAACTGACTCCTTGCTCGCCTCACCATGTTCTCCATTTCCGTCCGTGTAGAAAGTGAATTTGTGAGACGTCTCAAATATTCACCCTGCACTCAGGAAGGTTGAGGATCGCTACCCACTCCTGGCCCATAACCGAACTGACTCCTTGCTCACCTTACCATGTTCTCCATTGCTGTCCCCCTCTCCCCATCTGTTTATTGTGTTGTGATGTGATGATCAAACCCTATTTCAGGTGCTGGTGTATCATGGGCCTAAGAGAGCCATTAGCGTGAAGGATTTAGAGGAGTATGACGTGGTTCTAACCACATTCTCCATTGTGGAGGCTGAAATGCGGGCAGCTGTGTTCCCCTCCAAGGTGCCCTGCCAGTGGTGCCAGAAAATGTTTTTTCCTGACCGGCTGGAGATCCACCAAAAGTATTTCTGCGGGCCAAATGCGAAGCGGACGGCCAAGCAGGCGAAGCAGCAGAAGAAGCTGCCGAGAAGCTTCAAGGGGGTAGGACAAGGGGGGAAAGGGCAAGCGGGAAAAGGGGGAAAGGGTGGGAAAGGTGGGAAGGCGAAGTGGAAGGGGGGAGATGAGAGTGACAGTGACTACGAGGAGGAGGAGGAGGATGAGGACGAGGAGAGGGGCTGGAAGGGGAAAGGGAGAAAGTTGGTCCGAGGAAAACGCAAGGAAAAAGACAAGGGCCTGGGCAAGGGCAAGGGAAAGGTAGTGGATGTGTCAGGCAAGGGCAAAGCGAAAGTGGTCGATGATGACGACGATGATGATGATGATGATGGCGACAACGATGACACTGAAGGTGGTGGTGACGGTAATGGTGCCGGTGAGAGCAGTGGCGGTGCAACTACAGCTGGCCGGGCGGATGCATCGACTCCCAGAGGCAATCAGAAGAAGAAACCCCCAGGGAAGGCGACACCAGCGTCCGTGCTGCACTTGGTGCGATGGAGGAGGATCATATTAGACGAGGCACACAGCATCAAGGACCGCCGCTGCAACACGGCCCGAGCTGTCTTTGGCCTGCGCTCCGACTTCAAGTGGGCGCTCAGCGGCACGCCCCTGCAGAACCGCGTGGGGGAGCTCTACTCGCTCATCAGGTTTCTGCAAATTGATCCTTACTCCTACTACTTCTGTCGCCACTGTGACTGCCAGTCCCTGGATCACAAGTGAGTTGGCTTTTGATGCTTCTGTTAAATGACCACAGAACCAGGTGGGGGAGCTGTACTCGCTGATCCAGTTCCTGCAGACAGACCCTCACTCGTTCTACTTTTGCCGCCACTGTGGCTGCCAATCCCTCGACCACAAGTGTGTCGTGGGCTTGTAGACGACTGTCTCTAAACCCCTTGTTCTATACGTTCTCTGCGTACAATCGCAAGTGCGGTTAGGGTGTGGTGGTCTGCAAGCCATGATTTAGCTCAAAATCCTTTGGGCCTGTTCGTGCCTTTTCAACATTCCTTTCTGCAGGTTCTCTGCTCACAACCGCAAGTGCGACCAGTGCGGCCACTCACCCTTGGTCCATTTCTGCTGGTGGAACAAGGTGAGAGGAACCTGTTGGTTTCCTAACATGCAGGCACCGACCTTGAGTTGCCTCTGGAGTTGGAGTTTATTTCGCAGGAACCTGTTTGAGGTGTAATCAACGACTTTTTTTGGAGTTTCTGAATGACATTTGAGTCTATTCATGCATGGACTCAATAATCAAAAGCTCAAGTTCACAGTCACGAGATCACAAGGCACGGCGGCGCGCGCACAGATGCCTGCCTGGGGGTTTATTCCGCAGCCCCCTGTAGCACGATTCTTCCCCAACTACACCTGTTTGACGCCCCCAGTTCTTGGCAAACCCCACAATGATCCTGGATACGGTGGCATTGGCAGGAGGACCATACTGCTGCTGCTCAGGCACCTAGTTCTCGGCTTCATTGCCCCGCAATCTTGTTTGTCTGCTCCTCGCTACCCCCTGCTCTCTCTGCCTATCCCCTGACGCCCCCAGTTTGTGGCGAACCCAATAATGAAGCATGGGTACAGGGGCGATGGCAGGAGAACCGTGCTGCGGCTCAAGCACCGCGTGCAGCTTGGGGTATCTCATTGGCCTCCACTCTATCTCCTTCTGCTTCCCCCTCCCGCTTCCCCCCAGTTCGTGGCGAACCCAATAATGAAGCATGGGTACGGTGGGGATGGCAGGAGGGCAATGCTGCTGCTCAAGCACCGCGTGCTCGACCGCGTTCTGCTGCGCCGCACTAAGACCGAACGGGCGGCGGACCTCACTTTGCCGCCCAGAACTGTGAGTGCTGATTGCGAGCTCCCTTCAGAGTGTTCTCAAAATTTGCACTGTGTGTCGCCTTTGAAAATTCTTACAGGCACATTTGTGTGTCCGACAGGTCTGCTGTTCCGTTCAACCCACTGCATCCCAAGTCTCTTTCTTCACTCCTCCCTCCATGCTTCCTTTCGCAGTCCACGCTGCGCAGAGACCGATTCGACGCGCGCGAGGAGGATTTCTATGAGGCGCTCTACACACAGAGCCAATCACAGTTCGCCACGTCAGTCCTCACTCAACCACAGCCCAGTCTGCATGATATGCTTGCAAGCTCCGTGCTGTGTGTTGCCCTGTCTGTGTCTCGACGTGTCTCACTTCCCTTCCATCCGTGATATCCATGACCTGGTGTCTGTGCTCGTCACGAGTATCCTTCACATCCTGCTGTACGTTATCTTCTGGTTACCCGTCGCTACAGCGCTGTGTTGAAAGGATTGTATAGACGTCCGTTCCTTTCAAGCACCTCCGCAAAGTGTCTTTTCTTTTTCTTTCTTCTGTTGCCTCCCCTCTTCCTCCTCTCCCTCCCAGCTACGTGGATGCATGCACAGTGCACATTACTCTACAACTACCCGCACATATATGGTCTGCGCATCTGCCTGCGCCACTTAATTTTCCCTCTTCTTCGACCCTTTCTCCCTCCCCTTCTCCACCCTCTTTCTCACACCCCCCCCCCCCCCAGTTATGTCGACGCAGGCACATACTCAACACTTTTGCGCACATATTTGGGAATCACTTTTGAGAACTCTCAAAAGTGATACTCAACAATTTTGCGAACATATACGTCCTGCTCATCCGCCTTCTCTTCTCCCGTTTCCTCCCCTCCCCCTCTGCCTCCCTCCCCCCAGCTACGTGGACACGGGAACACTACTCAACAATTACGCGCACATATTCGACCTCCTCATCCGCCTGCGCCAGGCGGTGGACCATCCCTACCTCGTCGTTCACTCCGCCTCCCACAACACTGCTGCTGCCGCCGCCGCCGCCACCGCTTCGACTGCTGCCGCCTCTGCTGGCGCCGCTGCTGCTTCTGAGAGGGCAGGGGGAGGGGCAAACGATGGGCCAAGTGGTGGGGGAGTGGTTGGTGGGGGAGGAGAGGGGGAAAGGGAAGAGGAAAAGGAGGAGGAAACAAGAGTGTGTGGAATCTGCTGTGACTATGCAGAGGATCCCGTGGTACGTCGGTAGCTAGCGTTGAGTGGTTGCCGGGTGCCTTGCTTGCCTTATCAGGTGTGTGTTAAGTTGACTCCTAACACATCTGTTGTGACTATGCAGAGGACCCCGTGGTATGTCGGTCAGTTCAAGTCATTGTGCACGTTCTGTTCTGCCAAAGCTGCTGCTTCACCGTGCCGTGCCCGTTTGCAACCAATGTGATCTCCCCCAAATTAGCCTCCTATCTCAAACAATGCGGCTTCCCCCCTCCCCCCATCATCTACCTACAATGTTGCTTCCCCCCCTTCCCCCATCATCCACCCACGCACTCTCGTCTTCCAGTCCTCACGCTGCAAGCACACCTTCTGCCGCGGCTGCATCACAGATCTCATAGCAGCTCACAGCAGCACCAGCAGCGGCAGTGGCGGCGGCAATAACACCAGCACCAGCACCGGGAATGGCATGAGCAGCAGCAGCAAGGGGGTGTTGGAGTGCCCTGTGTGGTCTGCCCTCCTCACTGTCGACCTCAGCTCTCCCTCTCCCGTCTATATCCGTGTGACTTTTGAGAATTCTCAAAAGTCACACGGATATTGTTGGAGAGCCCTGTGTGCTCCGCCCTCCTCACAGTCGATCTCAGCTCCCCCTCTCCCATCTCTTATTTCTTAACCAACTTGCTCTCTTTACCCGTATTCCCCCACCACCCACCCTCCCACGCATTCTCATGCCCGTTTCTACTTAACTCACTGCTGCAGTCCTCGCGCTGCCTGCACACCTTCTGTCGCGGCTGCATCACTGATCTCATAGCAGCTCACAGCAGCACCAGCAGCGGCAGTGGCGGCAGCAATAACACCAGCACCAGCGCCGGGAATGGCATGAGTAGCAGCAGCAAGGGGGCGCTGGAGTGCCCTGTGTGGTCTGCCCTCCTCACGGTCGATCTCAGCTCTCCCTCTCCCGTCTATATCCGTGTGACTTTTGAGAATTGTCAAAAGTCACACGGATATTGTTGGAGTGCCCTGTGTGGTCTGCCCTCCTCACAGTCGATCTCAGCTCCCCCTCTCCCATCTCTTCTTTCTTAACCAACTTGCTCTCTTTACCCCTGTTCCCCCACCACCCACCCTCCCACGCATTCTCATGCCCGTTTCTACTTAACTCACTGCTGCAGTCCTCGCGCTGCCTGCACACCTTCTGTCGCGGCTGCATCACAGATCTCATAGCAGCTCACAGCAGCAGCAGCAGCGGCGGTGGTGGTGGTGGCGGCAGCAGGGGGGTATTGGAGTGCCCCGTGTGTTCCGCCCCCCTCACTGTCGACCTCAGCTCCGCCTCTTCCGCCTCTCCCCCTGAAAGCACTGCGAATGGGGGGAGAGCGGGCAGTTCACGGGGGAAGGGGAGCGGGGGATGGGGAAATGGTGGCGGTGTGGCTGGGGAAGGGGGTGTGGGGGGTGGTGGGGATGGAGGGAAGGAGAAGGGGAGAGAAGGGGGGCGGTTGGCAGGAGGGGTGGTGCGGGCGAGAGGGAGCATTTTGAGTCGGATGGACCTGTCGCGGTTCCAAAGCAGCACCAAGATTGAAGCGCTGGTGAGTCTGCGATGTGATAGGGTGTTCTCCTTCTTGCTCCACTTGCTCCGTTCGCATTCCAAGTCGGCTCAATCTGTCGCGGTTCCAAAGCAGCACCAAGATTGAAGCGCTGGTGAGGCCCGGATGGGGTACTTACTTCTTGATCCCCTTACTGGACTGCCCTCCCCCTGCTCCCCTTCCTCGTCATGCGGTTTCAAGTGGTGAACCTCCATTCTTGTTCTGCTGTCTTGCAGTTCTCCTTAGTGCTTTTGTTGTGATTGGCGTGGCATGGTATGGCATGGCGTGGCATGGTATGGCATGGCGTGGCATGGTATGGCATGGCATGGCATGGCATGGCATGTCATGGCATGGCACATCGCACTTGGCATGTCATGGCATGGCGTGGCATGGTATGGCACGTCGCACTTGGCATGGCGTGGCATGGCGTGGCATGGCATGGCACGTCGCACTTGGCATGGCGTGGCATGGCGTTGCATGGCGTGGCATGGCGTGGCATGGCATGGCATGATGGCAGAGGGAGGAGTTGGACGGGATGGTGCAGAGGGATCCAGGCGCCAAGGCGCTCGTGTTCAGCCAGTTCACGTCCATGCTCGACCTCATTGCATACCGCCTGCACCAGGTGCGACCTTCACCTCTCATTGCATACCACGTGCACCAGGTGGGCATCGCCTATATGTCTCATTGTACCTTTTTACTGCCTATCATACCACCTCCACCAGGTGCGACCTGCACCTCATCGCATACCCCCTGCACCACGTGTGGCTTTCACTCATTGCATACCGGGTGCATGATGTATCATGGGTGTCCGTCCAGTGACCATCCAGGGTACTCTGGTCAGCAGCGTGCATGACCATGCTCTCACGGTTCACCATGAATAGAGGGCTATCTATGAGTCGTAACAGACTCCCCTCTTGTTGCTCCTCGCCTTCCCCCCTTTGACCCTGACCTCCTCCTTTGCTGCATGCAGGGAGTTAGTAGTGCCCTCCTCTGTTTTCCTGCGTTTCCTGTCTTTCATTCCCCATTCATCTTCTCACTGCCTTCTTTCTCTCCCTTTTACTGCTCCTCGCCTTCCCCCCTTCGCCCCTGACCTCCTCCTTTGCTTCGTGCAGGTGGGAGTGCGGTGTGTGAAGCTGGATGGCAGCATGACAATGGACGCTCGGGATCGCATCATTTCCACCTTCACTCGCGATGCTGACTGCCGGGTGAGATCTTCCTCTGACACTCTCTTTTCATTCTGCTGGCATTGCGCTTTTGGTAATGATTTGTAAAAAAAAAATAACTCTTGAAAACAAGAGCCAAGGTTGTAGTAAGTAGTGCCCTTCTCTGTTTTTGAGGCACCTCAAAAGTCGTCTGTTTTTGAGGCGCCTCAAAATTCGTCTGTTTTTGAGGCGCCTCAAAAGTCGTCTGTTTCTGAGGCGCCTCAGAAAACAAGAGCCAAGGTAGTAGTAAGTAGTGCCCTCCTCTGTTTTCCTCCGTTTCCTGGCTTCTGTCCCTCATTCATCTTCTCACTGCTTTTTTTCTCTCCCCTTTTCACCTCACTGCACTTCCCATCCTCTCTCCCCTTCCCTCACCTACCATCAGGTGTTCCTCATGAGTCTTAAGGCGGGAGGAGTGGCTCTCAACCTCACCGTTGCTTCCCACGTGAGTTGCTCCATTCGTTTTTTAAATTCATTATCAGGGCATTTTCCTACTAAAGGAGCAAGTAACGAGGCAAAAAAAAAAAAAAAAAAAATCTATTGAGTTTCAGGGAGAGATAAGTAGTTGCGCGCCAAGCTGCCCTCTTCTCACCTTGCAGTGGACGTGTGCCAGACCTACATGTGCTACGTGTGCTACTACATGTGCTACGTGTGCTACTACATGTGCCGGACCTACATGTGCTACGTGTGCTACTACATGTGCCAGACCTACATGTGCTACGTGTGCTACTACATGTGCCGGACCTACATGTGCTACGTGTGCTACTACATGTGCCAGACCTACATGTGCTACGTGTGCTACTACATGTGCCGGACCTACATGTGCTACGTGTGCTACTACATGTGCCAGACCTACATGTGCTACGTGTGCTACTACATGTGCCGGACCTACATGTGCTACGTGTGCTACTACATGTGCCGGACCTACATGTGCTACGTGTGCTACTACATGTGCCGGACCTACATGTGCTACGTGTGCTACTACATGTGCCGGACCTACATGTGCTACGTGTGCTACTACATGTGCCAGACCTACATGTGCTACGTGTGCTACTACATATGCCGGACCTACATGTGCTACGTGTGCTACTACATGTGCTACGTGTGCTACTACATGTGCTACGTGTGCTACTACATGTGCCGGACCTACATGTGCTACGTGTGCTACTACATGTGCCGGACCTACATGTGCTACGTGTGCCACTTCACCCATGGTGGGGCCCTGCAGTGCAGCTGACGCTTTTCAGCTGCAGTAGGTCCCACCTTGTGAAGCCGTGCATGAGTCTTTGCCAAATCTCGCACCATGAACCCTGAAGATGAATCTCTGCTTTCCAATGCTTTGTCCACGCGCTCGCAATCCCCCATCCTTGTTCTTTCTCACGCAGGTCTTTCTGATGGACCCCTGGTGGAACCCTGCTGTGGAGCAGCAAGCGCAGGACAGAATTCACAGGCTCGGGCAGTTCAAGCCTGTCAGGTAGGCTCGGCATCCGGCAATCTTTGGAAGTACACACAAGGCAATCTTATTCATGGGCCTTCCAGTGAGGGTTCGTGAGAGGCACCTGTTAAGGAGCTAGTTAGACTTGTAGGACCTTGTGAGTTGTGAGATAATTTTACACAACTTACAACAAGCTCCAGATGACATCCTTGGTATGTTAGCCTAATGTGGAGGCGTGTCGAAAGGCTTTGCTGCCATGGTCCAGATGACTTCATATTTGGTGTGTTTATTCTCTCTATCCTTGCATGCCCCACCATCTTGTTATGAATATCTCGCCCCCACCACCACGACTTAACCCCCACCCACGTGCAGGGTGACGCGGTTTGTGATAGCAGGCACTATAGAGGAGCGCATTATAAAGCTGCAAGAGAAGAAGCAACTGGTGTTTGATGGGTGAGTTGGCTGCCCTGTAATTTTTCCTGGAGAAAGTGGGCAACATGCTCTGGATCAGATGGCATACCTTAGTCTAGTTCTGAGGCGCCTCAAAACATGCTGTGGATCAGATGGCATACCGTAGTCAGATTGATCTTCTTTGTGGAGGGGGGCTGTCTCAAGCCATCTTCTATATTACGTGTGTCTCTCTTTCCAAACCCTTTACTGGCTAAAAATCGTGGACTTTCCATCAAAACATCAACTACTTCTCAACCCCCATCCCCATCCCCCTCCCGCCTTCCCCTGTCCCTCTCCTTGTACATCCGGTGCAGCACGGTGGGAGGATCATCAGAGGCGTTGGGCCGGCTGACAGAGGACGACCTGCGCTTCCTCTTCACCAACTGAGTTGACCTTTGAGTCAACTCACAAGTCAACCAGGAATCCTTTCCATCACAATGGGAGGATCATCAGAGGCGTTGGGATGGCTGACAGAGCATGATCTGCGCTGCCTCTTCACCAACTGATGCTGCTCCTCTTTTCACCCGGGCCTAGAGGTGCTTTGTACAGGAGTTTTGGGCAATAATGGTACAGTAGTTCGAGGTTCAGTATTTGGTACAGCCGGAAGCCCATGTTGGCACAGTGAACTCTCATATACATGCTTGAGCATGTCCTGCTGTCATACTATTTTCAGCACTGAGAGCCTTCTTGTGCATTCCGGTTCATGAGCTCATAGCAATGTACGGTATCATGATTGGGGAGTAAAAAGGGACATTGCTGAATCCAGAACTTCATGCAAACACACACTAACACATGCTCCGTCCCATCCCAGGTGCCCCATTCGTTCATTGATTTCCTAATTCGACTATGCCGCCCAGCAGTAGTGAGTCATGACTATTGTCGCGATCCATGGGGGACAAGAGGCTTAGCCGAAAGGATAATGCCGTCATTATCGGCGTAGCACCAATCTCCTGGGTGTACCATGACCCCCTGGACTTTCACAGGAACGTTCCTCTCCCCTTGCCCCTTCTTCACACTCTTTACAGGACACGTGGCAAGCCCTCGCACGTCCACGTTGCACCCGCGAATCTCGTCCACGTCACGCACGCACCCGCTGAGAAAAACGCCCGCCCAGCCGTTCTTAGCCGCCTCGACAGCCAGATTGCCGCCCAGTAACGCGCAGCGCCGGCTCTCTCCACCGTCGATTATTAAAATCTGCGATTCGCCGGGCTGTCCGACCTCGGAGCGCACTAAGGTGTTATCTTCAAAGAGCTTCAAAGTGACGACTCGGCCCCACGACGCGGTTCGGCCGCCGTAAGAAACGAGGCCTGGTTCTAAAACGCGGATTTCCCCTCGCATGACCGCGTCGTGATTGTCGTCGCACAGGTCGCACGTGGCAAAACTCATCGTCGCAGAGCGAGGAGTCGAAGGGCAAACGCAGGAATCAGGGATCAAGGCCGCGTAACCTGGTAACCACGTTGAGTCTATATTCGAGTCAGGCGAGAGGCAGAGGGGGTCACACGAGCTGACGACGCTTCAAGCCAAACGCGATGACGAGAACCCACTAGCACTCACTACGATGAATGCGTAGTGTTACTACCGCAATTCGCGATAAATGTAGAGCCGCGGTCACCACACGCGAGGAGGAAGGAGAGAGAGTTTCCCCGCACTCAGCTATGAATGTGCCAGAGCAGTGCAAGCTGATGTGTCTCCTAGCTATGAATTTTGCTGCCACATTTTGAAGTTGCTTTTCACATGAGAGAATTTCTCCAGAACCTGGATTGGTGATTCATCCTTGCTAGCGTGGCATCTAATTACTCGAGTGGCCACCAAATTTGGTGATAATTACTCGAGTGGCCACGCCAGGGGATTCCCGCTGGCTTATTTTTTTTCCCGGCGCATTACCCTACAAGGGTTCGTATCCCCGAAACCTCTGTATCGATAATTGCTCGATCTTCAATCGACACGATGATTTATAATGGATGTTTTCGCGTGATGATTTATATTCGAAATTTATGTTTGTGACTCAAAATGACCATAAACCCTGATCTTTTAGGGTTATTGAAGGCGCTAATCGGGGTAGCGTTACAACGTACGCAAGCCCGAGTCATCCTGCTTCGAGCAGTGGGGGGGGATTAATGTAGATTTGGAGAGGGACGATGTCGATGTGAAAGGCGGGGCTCTCTGGGTGGAGGCCCCGTACATGGTGGATACGTTGTTGTGATTTGGGGGGGAGGGGGAGAAATGGGGTGTGGGATGGGATGTCCAGATTCATGTTTATAATTGTTGTTGTTCAATCAGTGATTAAGTAGCTACCTGATTGGACGCGCATATAGACCAATCATGCGCGGCCATTAATGGTCGGGCACATCATATATTAATGCCCGATCATATAGTTCCGCGATCATAAACTGCAATGCCCGGTCGTCAATGCACGGGACCTTTAATGACAGCGCATGATTGGTCGATTATATGCGTGGTGCTTTGTTTTGCAATGCGCGTCCAATCAGGCGCAGACATATGGGGTCATGATCATAAATTTCGGATATTGAAGATCGCGCATTAATTAGTACAGAGGTTTCGGGGTCACAAACCCTTGTAGGGTAATGCGCCGGATAAAAAAAAACAAGCGGGAATCCCCTGGCGTGGCCACTCGAGTAATTATCACCAAATTTTGTGGCCACTCGAGTAATTCGATGTCACGCGAGCAAGGATGAATCACCAATCCAGGTTCTGGAGCAATTCTCTCTTTTCAGATCCTAGCGTGATTGGGCTTCTCTTGTTGCCAGAAATGTGAGGATGGTAAGCGTGTGATTTCAGTGGTGTGGGATGGGATGCGATGCGATGTGCTGCAATGGGACAAGCTGGATTCTCTCTATACCTCAATGCGGTATGGAAAGGGAGGAACATGAGGTGGAGCGAGTCAGCGCTGAGTTGGCTGTCGGTGGTCCCCCCTCATGAGAAATCCTTGCCATGAATATCACCGATACGCGTCAAAATTTTGCGGAGGTGTAGGCAAATACCCCAGTGCTCGTTGTGTTCAGAAAGGTCTTATGCAGTTGATTGGCTTGCATTAGCATTTGAACTGCCCAATCAGAGCCTCACTCACATCGTGACAGTTGGCGTAAAACCCCCTTCTCGCCCCTCCCCACGGGGAAGCAACCTTCGAATACTAGCGGGGTTGTTTGCGGGAAGTACACGCCACGCTTTCTCAGAAACTAACGACGCGACGCGATGGTCGATTGAACTCAACATGTGGTTGCTTTTTATGAGCTCGCACGCACAAGTGAGGAGCTCTTAGGGGCTGAGGCTAGCAGCCGCAGCATTGACACCATTCGAAGTGAACGTCCGCCCAGATTCAAGGACGAATACTGTCACAGGTTCTAATTAGCCCCGCATTTTCTCACTTGCTCGCCTTAGCATTCGTAGCGTCCTTGCCTCGTCCGTCCGTGTCGAACAATATGGCGACTTTGATGACTCACTCTGAGATGAGTAATCTAGACGTGGACTGTCTCGCAACTATCTTCTCCTTTCTAACTCCCGCGCAGATTTGCCGCTTGGCTCACGTGTCTCGCACGTGGGCGGCAGCGGCGGCGTCTGACGTCAGCTGGGGCCGTCTCCTCCCTCCTCTATGCGCCTCGACTTGCTTTCAGAAGGCTCTCGAGGCGCATCGCGTTGCGATGTGCACAGGTGTATGCCGCCTGACGTCATCCTCTTGTGATGATGACGGCAGCAGCTCCGCTAGTAGCGGAACCAGCAGCTCCAGCAATGATGACGTCACCAGAAGCACTTTGGCCCGCAGCAGCAGCAGCAGCGGTGCCGTCAGCAGCAGTTGCAGCAGCTCCAGCAGTGAGGGTTGTAGGTGCCACGTCAGCAGCGTTACACAGCGATGGGTGTGTCAAAGGCTCTGCCAAGGGGTCTACGTGGACGATGGCCGTTTCCACGTCAGCATGGACCCATATACCGCTACCCTCACAACCTGTGTGAATGTAGCGAAGGTGCTTGAAGTGGTGGGGATGAGAACAAACGGAAATGAGAACAATGATGATGATGATGATACTGAATGGTTTCTTGAAACGGGTCATGGGGCACCTAATAACGAAAACCTTCCCTACAACGAGGGGCACGGGTCGCGTCACAGACAGCAGAACCGCCGAAATAGGCGGAACCGGGACAGGAGAAGACAGCAACCTGCGTTTAACAGGGACGGGGTGGCCGAGGCTGCAAGAAACAACCCTGTTGGGGATTTTTCTAATCAATATGATAGTTCAAACCCTAAGCTGGGGGAATCTGGCATTCCGGGCGCGATTTTCCCCGCGTCTGTCCCCCATCTGATCTCCGCCAACCGGTTTCTTATCAGGGGCGACATTGAGCTCCCCTTCTCGCTTCGCCCGGGCGCGTACGAGGCGGAGTGGCGCATTGCGCGCGACCCCGCGGAGGGGGAGCGGAAGGAGGCGGAGGAGCGGCTGGTGCGAGAAGCTGAGTGGGCGGAGAGCGCGGAGGCGGAAGCTTGGAGGGATTTGGGGTTGGGGGGAGTCAGGGGGGATGTCGTGTGCGGAAAGGGGAGGGGAAAGGGGAAGGGGCGGAAAGGAAGAAGAACGGGTAAACCCACGGATCTGTGGGACGCTCTGCGCGCCATCAGGGGGATTGGGCGGAGGGGGGCAAGCGCGCAAAGTACAGGCGGTTGGGCCTTGGGAACCGGGGCGTCGAATGGGGGCACGGGATTGAATTCAGGGGCGACGGGTGCTGGTTTTGTGAAGGACGAGCTTGAGGAGGAGATGGATGACGTGGCAGCGAAGCTGGCGTTTTGGCGAAGCACTCAACAGCGAAGCGCTTTTAAGTGCTGGGAGGAGTGGCCACTCACGAGCGGGGCGCAGGTGGTAATCGGGGGAGCGGAGGAGCGGAGGGAGAACGAGAGGGTGGGGGAAGTCGGTGAGGAGGAAGAGGAAGATGAGGAAACGAGAAGGGAGAGAGAACTCGAATGGGAAGAGCACTATGGGAATCCAGTGGAGAAGCGAACATTTGTGATGTGGAAGGATACGGTATCTACACTACCGAACTGGACACATCTTGAAGCGGGTGTTATGCTTATAAAGGGGGACTTTCAAAAGGACAGTGCTGTGGATGCGCGATTGCGGATGCGGCTGTGGGAGACGGAGAGCGGACGCGATATGAGCGGAATACTTGTAGATTGCCTTGTTCTTAGAGAGACAGGCATTCCTTGCGAGTGTTTATGGTAATTCTACAAAGGCAGATCACATGAGGCCCTAAGGCCATGTTCAGATACATTTCTTACTAGAGAAGAAACTATATCAATCAACTGATACACTACCACTAATCTCAGTGTCGAAATGCGCTTTAGGAAGGAAGCTCCTCCTCTGTAGCCTCAAAAGAGGAAGGCAATTGCTCCTCAGTGCCCCCTGCACTCCTCCCTCCCATCTCCCTCCCACCCTCCCCCGCTTCATTCCCTTGCACAGCCCCTTGAGTTTCGTCTTGAGTCGCATCTTGGGTGCTCTCCTCCACTCGCGGTTCATCTTGAGTCGCATCTTGGGTACTCTCTTCCACCCGCATTTCATCTTGAGAGGCATCTTGGGTACTCTCTTCCACTTGCGTTTCATCTTGAGTCGCATCAGGAGTTGTGCCTTGCGTATTCGTGTCCACTTCTTCCCCTATCGCCTCCCCCTCCTGCCCACCACCTTCCACCTCCCTACCCCCTTCTCCATCTCCTCCAACATCAGCTCGCTCCTCCGACCCATCACCACCCCTCTCTTCCCTCCTCTTCATTCTCCTCTCCTCTTTCCCCCCGTCCACCGCTGAACCCCTCCTCTTCTTCCTCACATACTTCCTCTCGCCTCCCACTGGCTCAGCCACCAACACGCCGCCTCCTACTGGCTGACTCAACCCTGGCCCTGAACCATCCTCCCTCCCCTCCGCTGACCCTTCCTCTCCAACCTCCCCTTCCTCTTCTCCCCCTGACTCATTCACTCCTCCCTCCTCTTCCTCTCCCTCACCTTCCTCCCCAGCACTTTCTTCAGATTCCTCCTCTTCCAAACCGCCAGCAGCCCCAGCAGCACCACCAGCATCAGCGCCAACAGCATCAGGACCAACAGCACCACCAGCAGCAGCAGCAGAAGAGAAGGAGAGTTTTTTGCGCTTGACAGCGGATGCAGTCTCATCCACACCACCACCATGACGTGTCCGTCTCCTGCCCTCTCCGCTCCCTCCCACCCCCCCTCTCCCCTCCTCAACGCCCTCCCTGTGAATGTCTCTGTCTGCTTCTGCTCCACCTCCTGCCTCATCTGACACAGCACCTGAAGCATCATCTGCAGCACCAGGTGCTGCCCTGCCTGCCGGTCCATCAGCCACGCTTTCCTTAACTGTAGCTGCAGCAGGTGCAGGTGGCGGTGCTGTCGCTGCTCTCTCCGTCAGAACAGACGTGAAGGCCAACAACGGCTCAGATGATGCCACGTCATCAGCCACATCTTCATCCACGGCTGACACCCTCTCCTCTAATGCATTGAGACTGACCAGGGGAAAAGGATGGGGAGGGAGGAGGCAAGGCAAGGAAGTCAGATGCTGTTGAATAGCTGGAACCAAAACCAAAACCAAACCGATACCACCCATACCACCCATACCACTCATAACACCCACACCACACCACACTACACCACACCACACCACACCACACCACACCACACCACACCACACCACACCACACCACACCATGCACCACAATGCCACATTATGAGGAACCAACACTCACATGCTTCGGGCGTCATTTCCAAGAAGCTTCGCAGAAAACAGTAGAAGCGCGCATTCGAGAAACGCCAGCCGGTCGGGCAATGACTCAAAGGCGAATGCCACCCCTTCCTGCACCAGCTGCCGAATCGCCGCCCGCTGCTCGACCAATCGCTGTGCAGAGAACTGCGGGGCGGCTGCTACAGCTGCCAGCTGGGCTGCCAGGCTGGCACAGCGTCCTACAGATGCTGGGCTTGGCGAATGAGATGGTGCCACGTCATCCTCTGTGTGCGAGTGGTTGGAGATGAGTGGGAGAGTGGGAATAAAGGTCTGATGTTGGGGAAGGGGGAGGGTTAATGGAGGAGAGGGGAGGGGAGGACAGGAGAGGGCAGCCAAGGGAAATGAATTAAAGAGTGACCTGGTTAAGGAAAGTAAACGTCACTTAGAAGCAACTACACACGGACATCCAAGCACCGCCCCGCCCACTCACCATTTTCAGTGCCTGAAGGAAAATCCGCCACAGCTCAAACTTCCCTCCCTCGCTTGCCGCCCGCTTCTTCCTCTGCTGCAGATGAGACAAAAACAGCCGTGCCACCCCGTCCTCCCTCTCCTCATCCTCCCCCTCCTCCCCCTCCTCACCCCCATCATCCGTCTTCTCGCCCCTCCCCACCACCACAAGCCGTGAGAGCACAGCAGGCGCCAGCAGCTCAGGGTCCACAGCACCGCACAGCACCAGCTTGGCTGCTGCCGCCACCACTCTCTCTTCCCCTCTTTCCGACACCCTCTCTTGCTGCCTCTCCTGTGTGCTCTGTCCCCTCTCTGCTGAGCAAGGGGGAAGCAGACGACTGAATGCCGCCCAGTAGGCGTTGACGCTGGCAGGTGTGACTGTAACAGAGAGTGGGTGTAGGAGCGAGTGAGCGAGCTTATGAGGCGAGAAGAGAACCCACAGGTCCGATATATGCTCCAAGACCTCTACTGCCAGCTGCTGCAGCTGCCGCCACCGCTGCTGCTGCTCTCTCTGACCCTCCCTTTCCACTCCACTGCCTCCTCCCTCTTCCTCCTCGGCTTCCTCATCGCCCTGCTCCTCCCCTCCTCCGTTCACTGCTATCCTTCCCTTCGCCCCTGCTTCCATGAGCCTCAGCAGCACACCCATCAGCCGCCCCTGCCTTTCCCTCACCTCCTCCTCTTGCTCACCCACCTCTTCACTCACACCACCAGCACTGAGCCCTCTTTCCCCCCCTGATTCCCTATCAGCCTCAGCACCTCCTGCAGCACCTGCTGCGTCTCTCCCTGCCGCGTCTGCCCCATCACCTGCCGTCCCCTTTTTGCCCACTGCAGTGACGAGTTTCTTAAAGCCCCACACGAGCAGCAGCACCAGCGAGCGGAGCACTGGCGATGCCAGCTGGACGGACCAATAGGGGAACGAGAGGAGGTGGCAAGAGGAGTCAGGCAGCAGCAATGCAGAGTGAGAAAATCGAGTCAGTAGGAAACAAACCGCAGCACTTCGCAGAGAAAAAAAAAGACCCCCTTGCGGACTGAAGAGCAGAGAGTGCACAGGAAGTAAGCGTATGCTGACCTGAGGGTGCTTATAAGGAGGAAATTTCTCCAGCAACCGAAGGAGCAGAGCAAACAGGTCCGGTGGTTGCATCCCATCTGCAGCAGCAGCAGCAGCAGCAGCAGCAGCAGCAGCAGCTGAATCAGTGCCACCAGCGGCAGCAGCGGGGGCGGGGAGGAAGGGGGTAGGGTCCGCTTGCAGGAGGAAGACAGCGAGGCGAGTAGCAGCCACCGAGAGAGAAAAGGTGTCCACGTCAGCTGCAGGGGTGCCTGACGTGGCCTGGGGTGGGGTGGGTGGAGGGGGATGGCAGAGAGACGTGATGCATGAAGGTAGTAGGGTGCGTCTGCGTTCCCAACTCATCTCCAGAGTGGTGAGGAAGAGCACTGTGTGCCTCCTCCCTCAGTCACACCACCATCACACTGGCACAGCACCCTTCACTTGCTCCCCCAATAGATATTCTGAAACTCACATTATGCCTCCTCCCTCAATCGCCCCACCATCACACTGCACACGATCCCCTCACGATCCCCTCCTCCACCTGCTCCCGCATGTCCCCATGGGCGCACCACATGCACCTGGGTTTGCAACTCACATCCACAGCAGCACGAGCGCTGTGTGCCTCCATCCTCAATCGCCCCACCACCACACTGCACACGGCGCCCCTCACTGACTCTTCCCCCGCCTTTACTCTAAAACTCACCTCCACAGCAGCACGAGCGCTGTGTGCCTCCTTCCTCAATCGCCCCACGCTGCGCACAGCACCCCTCACTGCCTCCCCCTCTGCTCCCCAACGATAATTTGAGACTCACCTCAAGAGCGCTTAGTGCATCTTCTCGCAATCGCCCCACCACCACACTGCACACGAGGTGACTTTTGAGTCGACTCAAAAGTCACCTCTTTTGAGTCGACTCAAAAGTCACCTCATCTTCTCGCAATCGCCCCACCACCACATTGCACACGGCGCCCCTCACAATCTCCTCCGCTTGTTCCCGCATGTCCCCATGGGAGCGCCACATTCACCAGAGTTTCTAACTCACCTCCACAGCAGCACGAGCACTTGGTGCCTCCTTGCTCACTCGCCCCACCACCACACTGCACACGGCGCTCCTCACTGCCTCCTCCCCCGCCTTTACTCTAAAACTCACCTCCAGAGCAGTGAGTGCTTCTTCCCTCACTCGCCCCACCACCACACTGCGCACGGCGCCCCTCACTGCCTCCTCCGCCTGCTCCCCAATCATGCTTTGCAACTCACCTCCAGAGTGGTTTGAGCCTCCTCTTTCACTCGCCCCACCACCACACTGCGCACGGCGCCCCTCACTGCCTCCTCCGCCTGCTCGCGCATGTCTCCCTGAGCACGCCACATGCACCGCAGCAGCACACGTGTCGCTGCCGCCATCACCGCCGTGCTGACGTGGCGCGCCAGGCTGTCACGCGCCGCCGAGAGGATCGCGAGGAGAGGCTGGTGGATGGTGGTAACCACAAAACCAGAAATTGAGAGAGAGAGAGGGAGGGTTTCTTTTTGGAACAACGGGAAACAGGTTCCTTTTACACTGCATGAAATGTGCGTGCATGGGTGAGCATGGAGGCGTTGAAACATGCGTGCATGGGTGAGCATGGAGGCGTTGAAACATGCGTGCATGGGTGAGCATGGAGGCGTTGAAACATGCGTGCATGGGTGAGCATGGAGGCGTTGAAACATGCGTGCATGGGTGAGCATGGAGGCGTTGAAACATGCGTGCATGGGTGAGCATGGAGGCGTTGAAACATGCGTGCATGGGTGGGTGTGGTAAGGAAGAAAAAAGGGTTTTCATCCACTCATTTCCTGCTGCGGTCCTCTGCCAATAAAACACCTTTGAGAACCACAGCAAAAGCCGGCTGCAGTCCCCTGCCACCAGAGCACCTGACACCAACTTAAGTGACTTTTGAGTCGACTCAAAAGTCACCTTAAGCTGACACTCGTAGAGTCCAGCCTTCCCCACTCCACTCACCCCCAGCTGCTGCTGGTCTGCAAGGTTCCCCACCTCCAGACGCGTCAACTTGCGTCCAGACGCGTACAGATACGTGTGGGCAAGGAGTCACACCAACAGACTTGACAAAAAGCCATCCCTCCCCACTCACCTCCTGCTGCTGCCTGTGCGCCAGCGCACCCACGTCCAGACACTCTGCTGCTTCCACTCCCACATTACAACTGGACATGCAACCCGATTAATCTAACAAACTGCAATCATCTCCCCACCCACCTCCTGCTGCTGCCTATGCGCCAGCGACCCCACGTCAAGACACTCTGCTGTTTCCAGCAGCTGCAGCAGCACGCGCTCATCCGCCACGTGGCGCCTCATCATTGGCGGAAGCACCTTCACGAGCGCCCCTGTCATCTCCGCCACCACTGCTGCTTGCCGATCCTGGTCCATCCACAAGAGGGACGCGAGGAAAGAGAGGGGGGGGGGAGGAGGAGGTTTGGGGGAGGGTTGGGTGTGAGTGTGGGCGTGTGTTACCAACTCGCACCTTCAGCAGCGCCCCTGTCATCTCCGTCACCCCTTCTACCTGGCGCTCCTGGGTGGGTCCACAAGGGGTGGGTGGGGGGAAAGGGGGTTCGGGGGGTGCGGAGGCGGGGGCGTGAGTGTGGGTAATGGGTATGTGTCACCGCCTCACCTTCAGCAGCGCCCCTGTCATCTCCATCACCGCTGCTGCGCGGCGCTCCTGGTGGGAAGGGGAGGAGAGCGGAGGTGGTGGAGGTACGTGGTGGGAATTGCTTGTGACAAGTTGGATTTGCGTATGTTTTCTGAGAAAAAAAAAAAAACATACAGAGCGGAGGTGGTGGAGGTACGTGGTGGGAATTGCTTGTGACAAGTTCGATTTGAGGACAGAGAGGAATGCGTCACTGGCTCACCTTTGAGGCGCCTCAACAGCAGCTCACCTTCCTGGCCTTGGACACTGCAACAGGCCCTTTCTCTTCACGTTTGCAGCACTCCTCAGCACAACGGTCTTGAGAGAGGCAAGAGAGAGGAGAAGGGCGAGGAGAGGAGGAGCGGAGGAAAGAGAGGGTGTGGGTGCGTGAACCAACTCACCTTTTTGGCCTTGGACAGTGCAACAGGCGCCTTTCTCTTCACCTCCGCTGCACTCCGCGGCACAATCGGCAATCCCACGGTCTTGCGAGCAGCGAGGGAGAGGAGGAGGGCGAGGGTGGGCGTGTCGGCTTCGGGAGGAGGAGGCGACGAGGGGAACGAGGGGGTGGAGGAGGAGGGAGGAGTGGGGGAGAGCGGCTGGGAGGAGGGGGAGAGGGGCGTGGCTTGGGTGTCTGACTGCAGTAGCAACTTCCCAATTGACTTCAAGTCCTGATGGGAGGGATGGAAGGGAATGAAAGAGCATTCGCATGCAGTAGCATTCACATGCAGCGAGCCAATCACATAGCGACACGCCTGCAGCATTCACATGCAGCGAGCCACACAGTCACCATGAGAGGGCTCACCATGAGAGTGAGGGCTCACCATGAGAGTGAGGGCTCACCATGAGAGTGAGGGCTCACCATGAGAGTGAGGGCTCACCATGAGAGTGAGGGCTCACCATGAGAGTGAGGGCTCACCATGAGAGTGAGGGCTCACCATGAGAGTGAGGGCTCACCATGAGAACCATGAGAGTGAGGGCTCACCATGAGTGAGGGCTCACCATGAGAGTGAGGGCTCACCATGAGAGTGAGGGCTCACCATGAGGGCCGGTACTCGCTCCCACAGCGCATCCACCACGTACCCAGCCTGCACCGCATCCCCACACGTCTGCAGCATTCGCACCACCACCACCACCTGCCTCCCTGCACCCTCCTCCGCCTCCCCACCCTTCCCTCCCCTCTCATCCACCCTCTTGCCTCCCCCCTTGCCTTTCCTCGGGCCTGCTTCGGATGCAGCGGCTTCAGCAGCAGCAGGAGAGGCAGGGCTGGGGGAGGAGGCGAGGAGGAGGAGGAAGAGGACGTTGCAGGCGGCGAGTCTGAGCGGCAGGCAGTCGTCCGTGAGGCGATCAGAGAGGAGAGCGACGGCACGGTTGTGTGGGAGGGTGTCGTTGCTGGGAGGGAACACAGCAGGGGAGAAAGAGTAAGGAGAAGGGGGGGGGGGAAGGGAAGAATGGGGAGATGAGGACAGGAGTGGAGTCTGAGCGGCAGGCAGTCGTCCGTGAGGAGATCAGAGAGGAGAGACATGGCACGGTTGTGTGGGAGGGTGTCGTTGCTGGGAGGGAGCAGCAGGGAAGAAAGAAGGTGGGGGAGGGTGAGCGAGGAGATGAGGGCAGGCGGCGAGTCTGAGCGGCAGTGTTGATGTTGCTTTTTGCTTTTGAGGATTCTCAGAAGCAACATCAGTCGTTTGTGGGGCAGTGAGAAACAGAGAGCGATCGGCTGGCCTGGTGGGCGCAAGAATGGAAGCATGTTGATATGTAATGGACTACAATCAGGTACTGCAATCATGTAAGCATGTAAGCATCCACAGCAGCTTACCTGGCGAGCAGCTGGACCAACGAGACAGCAGCCACTGCCACGTCAGCATCCACGTCATCCACCATCTGCTGCACACGTGGCACGAAGCGCTCCGAAAAGACGCCAAGCGCCGGCAGATTGTCCTCGCTGGCGTAGAGCGACTGGAGCGCTGACAGGGCCGTGAGGCGGACGGATGCCACCTGGCAGAGGGAGATTGGAATAGAAAATCAAGCGGACATCAACGAGAAATGACGCACTACGACAACTTAAGGGTTTACGTGAAGGGTTTTGAGTTAACTGATGACAACTTACAGAGCTCTCATCCTGCAGAGCTCTCACCTTGTCGTTGAGCGAGAAGCGGAGGTACTTGAGGTAGACATCACCCAGGAAGAGCGAGGGGTGTGAGCATGCGAGCACCCTACTGCCGCACCGCACGTACCTTACCAGCTTTGCACAGCACCCACCGCCCACCTTGTCATTCAGCGAGAAGCACAGGTACTTGAGGTAGACATCATGGAGGAAGAGGAAGGGCTGTGAGCAGGCCTTGTGATAATCTATTGTACACCGCAATGCCCACTGCCCACCTTGCCCACTGCCCACCTTGCTTAGGTGCCCACCTTGTCATTGAGCGAGAAGCCGAGGTACTTGAGGAAGACATCATCGAGGAAGAGCGACGGGTAGCGCGTCACCCACTGGCCCAGCGCCGCCACACACGCTGCTCTGATGGCCGGATCGATGTCCCGATGGCGATGCGTGATGATGCTGGCGGGGGGATTGTGAGGGGGTGTAATACAGGATGCCAGTAAGGGGGGGTGCAAAAGGGGGAGGTGGGTGGGAGGAGTGATGGGAGTCGTGCCTGACACCCACTGCCCCACTGCCCCAGCGCCGCCACACATGCTGCTCTGATGGCCGGATCCACGTCGCGATATCGATGCGTTATGATGCTGCACTGCAAGAGGGGGTTGGGTTACAGAAGGATTTTGAGAATCTATTGGAGTCCGCGTGACGATGGCTAAGATGGGGGTTACGGAAGGTAGGCAGAAGAGCAGACGGTGAATCAGCACCATTCCAGTGCTGGCATACACCACTCTGCACCATTTGTCACCCACCACTCATCACTCCTCACGCACCCTGTGAACCCTCGCCGCATGACCCCTTCAAGCATCGCCACCTGCCCATGAATCGCATCAACCTTCGCCTGCAGCTCTACTGTTACCCGCCTGCTCGCCGCTCCCTCCAATTCCAATGTGCCTTTGAGTGGACTCTCACCCCTGTCACCACTCTGCACCACGCATCACCCATTACTCACCCAGTGAACCCTCGCCGCATGACCCCTTCCAGCATGGCCACCTGCCCATGAATCGCATCCACCTTCGCTTGCAGCTCCACCGCTGCCCGACTGCTCGCCCCTCCGCTTCCACCTCCCCCACCTGCCCCCTCAGACCCATCCCCCAGTCCTGCCGCTTCCCCGGCGTCCCCATCCCCTCGTCCTTCCCCACCTCCCCCAGTAGACCCCTTCCTCTTGCTCCTCCTCACTCCTGTTCCTCGGCTTTCCGCCCCTGCTCTTGTCGCCTGCTGCTCCTGCTCTTCCGACCGTCGGATCGCGGCCTGCAGCTGCCTCTGAGCCGTGGATTGCGATTCGGAGAGCACGGAAGCGACGGTGATGATGGAGGAGATGAGCTGCAGTGCCACGAGTGTTGCCACGTGGCGGAATATGCGGGGGGAGGAGCTGGGGGGAATAAGGGGAAGAGAGGGGGACGCGGACGCAATATGAGGAGAGGAGGGACGAGGAGAGCACGGAAGCGATGATGGACGAAATGAGCTGCAGCACCACGAGTGTTGCCACGTGGCCGGAATATGCGAGGGGAGGAGCTGATGGGGAGGGGAGGCAGAGGGGGGGGAAAGGGGGAAGGGAGGGGAGGGAGTAGGTCTGGAGTTCGGGGAAAGTGAATCAAGCATGTTCTGTCAGACGGCAAAGGTGAGAATGAGGAACTGGAGACAAGGAGGAGAGGTAGAGACGCACAATGGGCGGCAGGCTGACGTTATACACACGAAGACGGAAACGAAGAGCAGCAAAAAGCAGGGATGCGCAGAAAGAGGCAGAGGGAGGAGATGCACGAGCAGAGAGCAACGGGGGAGGGAACGTACGAGGAGAGGGCAACGAGGTAGTCAAGAAGCGTGGGCAGGAGCTGGGAGTCAAAGAGAGAACCTTCCCGGCCCCCCGCCACCACCAGCGCATCCCAGAACAGCAGCAATGACGTGCGGAACGATGCCCCATCGCCACCCTTGCCACTGCCACCCTTGCTGCCCTTGCCGTCGTTGGCAGTGGAGTGGTGGTGGCTGTGGTGCGGTGGAGTGCGGTGCAGATGGTCGAGCAGGGCGACCTGGCGGGCGGAGTCGACGAGGGTTTGCACGACGTCGTCCACACCGACTCCCTCTGACATGATGGCATCGTCTCCCATCACCACCTGCACCCCACACGCCTGGTTGGTAGGGGATGCGGACAGGACGCAACACATTGGAAAGTATTGAGTTGGCTCAAAAGCCCTCAAGGGTTTGCACGACGTCATCCACACCGACCCCCTCTGACATGATGGCATCGTCTCCCATCACCACCTGCACTCCACACGCCTGGTAGGGATGCGGCGGGTAGGGCAGCAGCACACAGACATGCGCGTACGTGCACGCACACACACACACACACACACAAGTTTTGAGTCGACTCAAAAGCCCAAGAGGGTTTGCACGACGTCATCCACCCTGCTCCCTCTGAGAGAGGATCGCATCGTCACCCATCATCACCTGCACCCCACACGCCTGCCATGGGTGCGAGTAAAATGGCACACAAGTTGGCTTTTGAGTCGACTCAAAGGTCAACTCGGTTTGCATGACATCATCCACCCCCCGCACTCCCTCTGAGAGAGGATCGCATCGTCACCCATTACCACCTGCACCCCACATGCCTGTCAGGGATGTGGCTGCGGCGACACAAACATACACGTGTGATGATGGCTACCAAGCACATGTTGCACATGAGGCGCCTCACAATCAAAATCGGCACATGGCTGCTTGCCTCACGAAAGTGCCAAGTCGATTACCTGGAAGAGCAGCTTGAGCAGCTGGGCCGTGGTATGAGTGCGGTTGAACTCATACCCCTCCATCCAGATAAACAGAGCGACATGCGATTCACAATAAAGGAGAGTGCTACAAGGGTTACCTGGAAGAGCAGCTTGAGCAGCTGGGCTGTGGCATGAGTGCGGTTGAACTCATACCCCTCCATCCACCGGAACGCTGCTTCCTCCACGTCCTCTGCACTGCCCGCCTGGACTATGTCTGTGGGGGAGGGTGAAGACAACAGGGCACCGGACCAGAGCGATGCATTTTCAAAAACTGGAGAAGGTGGATGAAAATTTAGTCAACAAGGTGGAATCGGAAACAGTCAAGTACAGAGCCGGCACTCATAGACCCAAAACACAGGGATCACCCCACCACACAGAGTATCTTTCATAGCCCCTAAAAGGGCATCGTTCTCCTCTCTACAATATGTGTATTTCCCATTCCAACAACCCACCAAAAAGGCTTCGTTCAGAAGCAGTGAGCCGACCATCACCCCTTGGCACCTCCGCCCCTGCCTGCTGCCTCTGCTTGCCTGCTCCCTTCCGCTGCCCCTCCTCCCGCCCTGCCCCCACACCCTCCTCTTCTCCTTCCACCCCATGCTCCCCACCATCCGCCTGCGCCTCTCTCTCCCCCTCCAACTCCTTCCCTTTCCTTCGCTTCTCCGCTTTCCTTCCCTTGGGTGCTGCAACGGTGGGTCTACCCTCTACAATGAAAGCCCCAGCAGCAGCGGCAGCAGCAGCAGCGGTGGACCGAGCCTGGCCGCGAGGCTTGGCAAGAGCCTTGAGCGCTGCCTTGGGAGGTTTGGGAGCAGGTTTGGGACGAGGTGCGGCGACAGATTGCTGCTTATGCTTGACTTCCCCCCCCTCTGCACGAGGCCTCTTGCCCTTTTGTGAGCTGGGTACATACTCCTCTTCTTCCTCCTCACTCTCCTCCTCCTCCTCACTCTCCTTCTCTGAGCCATTTTCTCTCACACTCTCGTCCTCCTCCTCTTCTCCACCTTCTCCCTCCTCTCCCTCCACTTCAGCTCGCCTCTCCCCTCTTTCCTTCTCCCTTTCCTCCACCCGTTCCTCCTCGTCGTCCTCTCCTCCCTCCAATTCACCCTCGCCCACCTCCCCTTCTTCCACCTCCATTTCTTCTCCAGCCTCCTCCTCTTCCGCACCCTCCTCCTCCTCTTCTTCCTTCTTCCCTCCCTTTCCCCTTCCTCTCCTCCCATCCCCCTTCCCTCTCGCCACACTCGCTCTTCTCTCACGCTCCTTTCTGCCCTTCTCCCTCTCCACCACTTCACCCTTCGCACCCTTCCCTCTCAAAAAACTCGCCCTTCGCTCACTCACCTTCGCGCCTCCCTTCGCGCCTCCCTTCATACCTCCCTTCATACCTCCCTTCGCACCTCTCCTCACCCTCTCAGCCATACCCCCATCCTCACTTTTACGAGCCCTTGTGCTCCTGCGCTCCACCACAGCCCCGCCCTTCTTCGCCTTAACCCCCTTTCCTGTTTCTCTCCCCACCTCCTCTACTTCACCCTCCTCCTGCTCCTCCCCCTGCTCCCCCTCCTGCTCCCCCTCCTGCTCCCCCTCCTGCTCCCCCTCTTGCTCCCCCTGCTGCTCCTCCTCCTCCACTGCCGCAACTCTGTCACCACCTGCAGTTTCCTCTGCTTCTCTCACATCAGCCGTCTCTTCATCTGCTGCTCCTGTCACTGCTCTTCCTGCCCTTGCCGCTTCAACCTTTCCTTTTTGTTTCCCCTTCCCCGCCTTTTCCACCTTCCTTTCCTTCTTTCCCTTGTTCATCTTCCCTGCCTCTCCTGTCCCTCCTCCAACCTTACCCTTCTCCCCCTCCTCCCCCGCCTTCTCCCCCTTCTCCCCTTTCTCCCCCTTCTCCTCTTTCTCCCCCTTCTTCCCCTCCCCTCTCCCCGCTCTGCCTTTGCCCCCAGAAGTGGCAGCCAGCGCAGCAGCAGCCCGTTGCGCAGCTGCCCGCCTCTCCCTCCCTCCAGGAGGGGTCGAGAGCACTTCTAACCCAGGAGGCGTCGAGAGCACCCCCTCAACTGGAGGAGTCAGCAGCACATCTCCGCTTGCTTCTGGCACCACTCCTGCTGTCGCTCTGCTTCCCACGAGTGCTGCACCCGTAGCTGCAGCTCCTGTTTCCACTGCTGCTGCACCTACCCTCGCCGCCACATCCTCTCCTGTGTTTCGACTCTCCACCCCTCTGCCGCTCTCCTTCCCTCGTCCCTTCTTCCCCCCTCTCCTACCATAACTCAAAGTACCACCTGTCTTGGCCGTTTTCCCTGCCACCGCACCACCGCCTGCTTCTGCCTCACCATCGCCCGGGCCAATCCTCTCCGTCCCTAACGATGCTCCCTGGGGCCCGAGTCCTGCTCTTTCCTCTGCATCTCCCTCTGCTCCTCCCTCTGCCTCTCCTCCCGCTGGTCCCTCCGCTCGTCCCTCCGCGCGTCCCTCTGCCACTCCGTCCGGCCGTTCTCTCTCCTCATGTTCCTCTTGCTCCGTGTCCCCTGCCTCCGCCTCCGCCCCAGCACCCGCGTGCATGCCCTCTCCCTCCATTTCCGTCATCGCTCCTCCCGCATCCTTCTTATCTGCAATCAGCGACTCTCCTGCATCTCCTGCCGCTCCTGCCTCTCCCGCTTCTCCTGCCGCTCCTGCCGCTCCTGTGGCTTCTGCCTCTCCTGTCGCTCCCGCCTCCAGCCCAATCTCTGCAACGTCAACCGCTGGCCGTGCCACGTCAGCCACATTTACCTCCCTGAAGGTATGAAGGAGGGAAAGCGGATGACAAGCAAAGGTTGCAGCGAATTGAGTCAAAGTAAAAAACACTTCGTTTCAAGTAGGACACCACAGCAACGCAACAGCAAGCCCCACGAGCCAGCAGCAGGATGGTCAGAAAGGCCAGAAACCATGAGTTCGAACGAGCATGTGACTTGCCAAGAGTCTCACCCTGCCTTTCTCCTCTTCTTGGCGCTCTGCCCACTCGCACCCGCCTCTCTCCTTTTCTCCACCTCTGCTTCCTTCTCCGTCTCCTCCTCTCGCTGCTCCTCCTCCTCCACCTCTTCCTCCTCCCTTTCCTTCTTCCGCTTCCCTCGGGCCTTCGCACCCTTCTGCTTCTTTCCTCCCTTCGTCCTTCCCTTCGTCCCTCCCTTGTTCTCCTCCTCTCGTTCCCCCTGCTCCACTTTTGGCGTTTCCTTTCCCTCTCCTTTCGCCTGCCGCACGGATTGCTGCTGCGGCTGCTGCTGCTGCTGCGGCGGTGGCGGCGGCTGCTCTTTCTGCTGCTGCTGTTGCGGTTGCTGCTGTTGCTGTTCCTTCCTCTCTCCACGCTCCTGCCTCTCCCCCCGCTCCTGCCTCTCTGCCCGCGGCTGCCTTGCGCCCTGCTGGCGTTGCGCCAGCAGCGCCAGCCGCGCCTCCTGCGCCAGGCACGCATCGAGCGCCCCCTTGTAGTCGGGGAGGCAGCTGCTGCGCCGGCTGCGCGCGATCGCCTTCTCCCGCGCCTCGCCCTCGAACCTGTCTAGTTCGTCCGGCCCGCAGAACCGACTGGCACAGGGGGAGGAGGGGAGCAGAGGGAAGAGGGGAGAGGGGGGGAGGGGAAGCGAAGAGAAAGGGGATGAGGAGGGGAAATTTCCGGTATCAGTACGTTGCGTGCTCCTTCGCCGCGTATCTGCAAATTTGTCCAGCTTGAGTGGCATTGCAAAAACGGCTGACATGCGGGGAAGGAAGGTTGGACGAGTCAACCCGGTCATTTGAGCACTGAAGCGGGGTCGGAATAAACAACGCGAACGGATGATAATCGACAAACGGATTCTTGTTCGCACAGAATGCTACCAACGCTATGAATAGACGACGGCCACCCGGGCACTTACGCTTCTCGTGGTCGAGAACATATGATCAGTCGCAACTAAGAAACTAACACTTGTGGGAATCAAGAGACTCACATCTGTCGCGGTTGCAGGAACAGGACGAATATCTTTCCTTCCTGCGGTTCTTTCTTGAACTTGTACGGATCCATGACCTGCTCCGAAGCAACCCAAGGAGACACGGCAATCATTGAAAGGTCGATGCATTCAGCATAGGGACAAGAAAGGTAACAGAATCTCGAGCACGTCGAACGAACAAATATGTGCATAATAATTGAAGGTTAAATACCGAAAAATGGTGAAAAGGCTGCATGTGGAGAGAACTACCTGAGCCGGCCATGGCGGATAACCCTGAACCTTAGCGAGGACCAGCGAGCCCACCGGCCACGAGTCGGCTCCCGCGTCCATGGCTATCGCTGCTGCTCGGACCTAGATAATCAAATGCCAGGCTACAACCAGGCTTTGAGACGTGTCTTCAGACGTCTCGGAACTCGACTCTTTAGCTCGGACTTGAGTACCAGGTTCCAGATCGGAGCTATTTAGTCTATTGCCAGGTTACAAGCGGTTACGAGCGGTTAGGTACCTGGTGGGTTGTGTTACTAGAAAAAAAATACTACAGGTAAGGAGGAAAATTAGTGCGTAACCGTGGAAACGCGTGAAGAACGGGAATAGAATATGACATGAAACGGACAGCGCGGGAAGTATCGCAATTCTTCGGACACAAGGACACTCTCAACGCGAAAAGAGCCTCGTGGGCTCCCCCACCAGCAGCCATACAAGCAACCTGCTAACAACTGGAATGAAAGGCTTTTATCGGTGTGAGTGGTGCGGGGATGACTGGAAACAATTGAAGAGAGCGTTGCTTCAAAACACGTAGTGGGAGGCAAGGCAAACAACGGAGTCGTGCAGGTGAAGAATGCTGCAGAAGAGGGAGGTGCCTAAATTTGGCGGGAAGCCATTTTCGAAACATTGAAATTGCCACGAGCCTTTTACGAGCATCTTAGGTGTAGCGAATTACACGCAGTGATGCTTAATCGTTTCAAACACTCAAATTAACAGTTAGTAATCAGACATGCATTTCACATGCTTCAAAATGTGCTCACTTCCTAAACGCTGGCCGAAGAATAGCAGGCTTTACTCTAATGAGCAGCACTTCAAAATAATGCTGAGCCTTTTTACTATCCACAAGCTCAGCAACTCTACTGTCCCACCACTAAATCATTGATCTAAGGTCTACGCCAGAACCGTGTGCATTCTGGCAAACCTTTCTTCCCAAACCCCTGTCAGTGAACACAGCCACCCTAGAATCCCCATCAGCATTCCCTATCGGTCCACACCTCCACTTCCCCCACCTGTCGACATAGCACCCGCCCCAGAACCATTTTCAGCAGGCAGGGGTGGGCCCCACTTGCCATCAGGATCAGAAGGCTCTAGCACATGCACTGAACCGTCACTCAGACCCAAAGCGAACTGGTTAGGATCTTGCGGGTGAGCTGCGACCACCATTGGCACCACAAGACCCGGTCTGCAAACACGGAAAAGTGATGAGCGCATCGAACACAAGGGATTGACGATGGGTCAGGGAAAGGAAGAAGAGAAGCTTCAGACAGCCCTGCGTTGAGACAACTGAAGGCAAGGAGAGTGAGGTAGGAGCAGAATGCAAGAAGGAACATGTAAGGGGCATGGATACTCCGCGAAGGGAAAGGGAGCACGTGGCAAGAAAAGAACGTGCATAACCATTGCGAGAAGGTAAGGGAGAAGAGTGAGCGCGACGTGCGTACCCGACAGACGGCGCATACGCCGAAGGAGCAACGCGGCACCGCGGCCGAAGACTATCCCCGTCAAACACACACACAGTCGCATCCGCGAATGCAGCAAGCACGAGCGAGGAGTCACACGAATACGCAGCGGCAGTGATGGGCGCGGAGAGCGGGCCGAGGTCGCGGGGCAGCCACTGGCGCAGGCGGTCGAGCTTGGCGGCGTCGTAGATGGCGAGCTGCGACTCGTGCACCACCAGCAGGCGCTGCTGGTCGTTGTGGAACTGCACCCTCGTGTCCGCCTGCTGTGTCGGGGATGAGCGCGACGGGAGAGCCAGCGGGCGGGATTTCCGCTTCTCCCACCCGTCCGTGCTCCAGAGGAACAACTGGGGAGGGGAGAGTTGAGGGGGGAAAGAGGGAGGGGGTTGGGGAGGGAGTGGAGAGGGGTGGAAAGCTAAGAATGGGAAAAGGGAGAGCTGCGACTCGTGCACCACCAGCAGGCGCTGCTGGTCGTTGTGGAACTGCACCCGCGTGTCCGCCTGCTGCGTCGGCGACGAGCGCGACGGGAGAGCCAGCGGGCGCGATTTCCGCTTTTCCCACCCGTCTGTGCTCCAGAGGAACAGCTGGGGAAGGGGAAGAGGGGGGAAGAAGAGGAGGGAGCCCAGGGGAAAAAGGGTAGAGGGGGGAGAAGAGAAGGAAAGTGGGATGGCAGGAGATAAGAGCAGGTGCTAATTGAAGAGTGTGTGGGGGAAAGATAAAAGGGTAAGAAAAGGGGACCAGGTATGAGGTCACTAGGGATCAGTTCATAAGCACCATGGCACGAATAGGAATAGGAACCAGTGGTAGCGAAGCGAGGAGGGAAGCTCAATAAGTTAACCCTCCTCCTCCCCTCACCTGTAAATCACACTCTCCTCTCCTCACCTGCGAGTCAGCCCCAGAGGACACGAGGCTGTTGAGGGCGTTGGAGAAGGCAAGCCCTGTGATGCGCTTGCTGTGCCCCTTCAGCTTGCTCTTCACCTGTTACCATGAGATGGGGGGAGAGGGGGAAGAGGAGGGAGGCCCAGAGGGGGGGGAGAAGGTATGGCACTTCAGAAAGACGCCCTGTGATGCGCTTGCTGTGCCCCTTCAGCTTGCTCTTCACCTGTTACCATGAATGACGGGGGTTGAGGGGGGAGTGGGGTGGATGGAAAGGGAGGAAGTGGGGCGGGTGCAGGGGCCAGAGGGGAGGAAAAATGTGAGTCTAATGCACATTGTTCGGACGGCGATGGCCCAGGTGGAGGGAACGTCAGCTGCTGGAACAGTACCACACCTTTACCCACTACAGCCCTAGAGCAATCCCATGGCTACATCATGGTGCTTTCCATCAAACAGGAGAGGGAAGAAAAAAAATGCAAGTTGAAGAAGTTTTGAAGAAAACCAGCAGCGCTCATGCCCGTGCCTTGCTTGACCTGCCGGTGGAGTGGAACGCTGCTACTGGGAGAGGTGGCTGCTGCGGAACTGGTAATATCGCTTTCATGACCCCATCAAGGGCCAAGGAAGTGCTCACCTCGTCGAGGCGCACATTGTAGATCTGGATGGTTGCATCGTCCATGCCGATGGCGATGATGTTGTTGTCCTGCGGGTGGAACGCTCCTGCCTCGGGGAAGTGGCTACCGCAGAGGCAGTGCTTTCCCACCCGGGCCCCTGCCCTGCTACAGCACCACCACTCGCCCAATTAGAGTCCTCACCTCGTCAAGCCGGACGTTGTAGATCTGGATGGTGGCATCGTCCATGCCGATGGCGATTATGTTGTTGTCCTGTGGGTGGAACGCCAGGAAGGTGGCTGCTGGGGGCGGCGCCATGAACGTCGTCATCACCTGGTCAACAAGGTCAACACAATATAAGAGAGGTCAACGCAGGACAACGAGGGGCAATGGGGAGTGATATGCATGCCACAGGGTGCGCCCTCACACACACACGCGCGCGCGCACGTAGGAGTCGTTGTTGGCCAGCGCAATGCACGCCATCAAATGGGCTCCCTCACTCACTCACTCCCTCACACACACCCGCACACACCTTGAAGGTGAGCATGTTGAAGAGCGAGACCTTGCCCCCCGAGGCGGACATAACATACGAGTCGTTCTTGGACAGCGCTATGCACGCCACCGGGTGCGCTCCCTCCCGGTCATCCGAGCTCACATCGCCCATGTCGTTCGTCATCATGATGCCGCTCGCCGGCTGCCACAGCTGCGGGACAGAGCTCGCAGTGGCCTGCACGTGTGATGGGTACGAAAGGGAGGACCGTTACAGGTACTCAAAGTTACAGAAGCATCAAACAACTAACACTTCCGCCTCTTGAAAAGTGTCTCGTCGGACGGTGCCTACTACATTATATCGAATTAAAAGAATTACAATGATATAGAATAATTCTCTAAATGCATATGCTTGTGTTCCCATAGTACTGACCGGTCCTTTGGTGTTGCGGCCGGAGCACTGCCACTTCCACAGCTCGTGCACAGCATTGGCAGAAAGCGCTTACTACAGTAAACCCAATACATTGAGCTATAAAGGTATGATATATGCATATCACGATGTAAATATATGTATAATTTGTGTAACACTCACCAGTCCTTTGGTGTTGCGGTCGGAGCGCTGCCACTTCCACAGCTTGTGCACGGCATTGGCAGAGAGCGCCAGCAGTGCCACACCTGAATTGGTGTAGATCAAACGCAGCACCTTGCTAGGCGGCAGACTGTCCGGCAGGCGGGCGGCCCGGACCTGCGAGGTTCGGAGTGACGGAGGGAAAAGACAGGTTGGGATGGCGGAGGGAAGGGAGGGAAGCACCGGCACAAGAGGGAAATGCAGGCAAGTAGTGGTTAAGGGCATGGAGAGAGACAGAGAGAGCAGTGAAAGCAGATCGTGATGAGGGGCAGGAGAGGGGACTCACAGGCCAAATGTGAAGACAAAAGCAAGGTTGGAGACAGGAGAGGGGAGGTGGAGAAGGTGGAGTGGGACAGACGGGGAGAAGGTTAGAGGGAGAAGGGAGAGGGGGAGCGGGAGAGAGAGGGGGAGCCGGAGAGAGAGGCTACCTGTGAGGGCTCCGAGAACTCAGTAAGCTTCCATCCCTTCTTGTCTGGCCCGTCCTCCTGCAGCCTCTGATGTGAGCAGAGCAGGGGCGTGGAGGGGGGGTTGGCGGAGAGGGGGGTTGGGGGAGAGGGAGGATGGGGGAGGAGAAGGGGGATTTTTTTTTTAAGCAACTACAGATACATCTTCCCGCAGCCTCTGCTGTGAGCAGAGCAGGGGCGTGGAGGGAGGGTTGGGGGAGGGAAAGGGTTCGGGAATGGGAACGGGGCCCCAATAAGTGGGGAAGGGAACTGAGGGAAAAGGGGGCAGCAGGACGGGTGGAGAGGTGGAAGGAGAGAGAGGGGATGCACTGGAGGGGTGACGTGAGAAGGTGAGAAGAAAGAATGCTTGAAGGACAAGAGTCTGTGAACGTCTGAGCTGAAGCACACCCTAAGCCACACACAAGAGACCAGCAATGCACTAGGAGAAAAGTCGTGTAAGAACCGCACCGAAGCAGTAAGAGCAGAAGCAGGGGACGAGCGATCCAACTGCTGTTGCTGCTGCTGCTGCTGCTGCTGCTGCTGTTGTTGCTGCTGCTGCTGTTGTTGCTGCTGCTGTTGCTGTTGCTGTTGCTGTTGCTGCTGCTGTTGCTGTTGCTGCTGCAGCTGCTGCTGCTGTTGTTGAAGCTGCTGCTGCTGTTGCTGAGATGGCGCCTGGGAAGGGGGAGGTTGCTGAGACGCCTGAGCAGCAGCGGCGGCGGCAGCGGCGGCGGCTGCAGCTGCTGCTGCCTGCACTGCCTGCTGCTGCTGCTGCTGTGATGGAGGCTGGGGCAGGGCGGGTGGTGGCGGCTGTAGCGCACAAATGGAGGGGGGGAGGAGAGCAAGCATGAGACAGAGAGACGCATCAATTAACGCAAAGGGCCAATCAGGGAAGCAGAGGAATGCACGAAGCAGGAGGGCTGGGGAGCGGGATCTCACATATCCACAAATCTGAGCAGGACTGACTAGCCCACCAATGCACCCACCTTGGTGTCCACAGGTCTCTGGGCAGCTGCTGCAGCCGACTTTTGGGACGTCTCACAAGTCGTCTCTTTTGGGACGTCTCAAAAGTCGTCTATTTTGAGACGTCTCAAAAGTCGTCTATTTTGAGACATCTCAAAAGTCAAGCAAGACTGACTAGCCCACAGACGACCCACCTTGGTGTCCACAGGCCTCTGGGCGGCTGCAGCAGCTGCGGCGGCAGCAGCAGCGGCTGCAGCGGTAGCAGCAGCGGCTTCGAGGTTGCGCAGGAGGCGCAGGCCCATGTCGTTGGCAAGGATCTTCACCGAGTTGTCCGCTGCCGTCACCGCCAAGAGAGAACCCTCCCTGTTGAACCTCACTCTCGGACTTGCCTGGTGGGGAGGAGGGAGGGGGAGGAAGTATGAAGAGAGGCGTGTCAGGGACTGCTGCTATGCCATCAGTAGAATCGCATTTGAACCACAACCATGGAATCGCCTGGCTGTGAAGCGGCCGGCGTCGGCAATGAGCGTGTGAAGCAGGGTGCAGAACCTGATGGGCTACTCGTTCCCAGCACGTAAACCTATCCTAAACCCTGGGCAAGCAGAGTGGCTTCGAGATGGAGGAGAAGCGCTCACTGGCAGGCCACCATCGGCATCTAGTGTGCAGAGCATGGCAGTGTTGTCCATGTCCCAGAACTTGATCAGATACTCGTCGCCAGAGAGGCAGACACAGGGAGGCAGACTCACAAAGAAAGGAGCATCTCTCACAAGAGAGGCACACTCACTGGTGGAGTGGAAGCGCGCAGCACTCACTGGCAGGCCACCATCGGCATCTAGTGTGCAGAGCACGGCAGTGTTGTCCATGTCCCAGAACTTGATCAGGTACTCGTCGCCAGAGAGGCAGACACAGGGAGGCAGACTCACAAAGAAAGGAGCATCACTCACAAGAGAGGCCCACTCACTGGTGGAGTGGAAGCGCGCAGCACTCACTGGCAGGCCACCATCGGCATCGAGTGTGCAGAGCACGGCAGTGTTGTCCATGTCCCAGAACTTGATCAGGTACTCGTCACCGGCAACAAGCAGTTGCAAGGAGCATGACAGAAGAAAGAAGGGAGAATCACTCACCGGCAGGCCACCGTCAGCATCGAGTGTGCAGAGCACGGCAGTGTTGTCCATGTCCCAGAACTTGATCAGGTACTCGTCACCGGCGACAAGGAAGCGGTTGCGCGTGGTGTCAAACTGCACGACGCCCAGCGAGCGCTTGCGGAAACCCAGGTAGCTGCGCTTGATGGCACCCTCGCTCTCGTTCCACTCCACCAGTGACGTCTCGCCCTCCTTGCTCGTGCCACAGGAGAAGAGGCTGCGGAGGAGGCCGGGGGAGAGGGAGGGGGGTGGGTGGGTGGTGGGGAAGGTGAGGTGCAGCAACAGGTGGTGCACCACTCACTGTGTGCCAACAGCAGAAAGGGTCCCATTTTGATGCCATGGTCCAAGCCTGGTGACAGCTTCTTGTACATGCATGCAAGCCAAAAAACTGGTGGCTCGAATTGGAGGCACTGGTGACTCACCGCGTGCCATCAGCTGGGTACCCCATGGGGCATCATACTCCACTCTCTACGCCTGGTGACAGCTTGTTGCTCATGTATGGAAGGCGACATCTGAGAGTAAGCCAATGAATATGTGGCTCAAGTCTATTTGTGACTCACCGCGTGCCATCAGCTGGGTACCCCATGGGGCATCATACTCCACTCTCTACGCCTGGTGACAGCTTGTTGCTCATGTATGGAAGGCGACATCTGAGAGTAAGCCAATGAATATGTGGCTCAAGTCTATTTGTGACTCACCGCGTGCCATCAGCTGGGTACCCCATGGGGCATCATACTCCACTCTCTACGCCTGGTGACAGCTTGTTGCTCATGTATGGAAGGCGACATCTGAGAGTAAGCCAATGAATATGTGGCTCAAGTCTATTTGTGACTCACCGCGTGCCATCAGCTGGGTACCCCATGGGGCATCATACTCCACTCTCTACGCCTGGTGACAGCTTGTTGCTCATGTATGGAAGGCGACATCTGAGAGTAAGCCAATGAATATGTGGCTCAAGTCTATTTGTGACTCACCGCGTGCCATCAGCCGAGTACCCCATGGTGCTGCACCACTTGCCCGGGGCATCATAGTCCACTCTCGACCCCAGGTGGTCGTACAGCCACGCCTTGATCTTGCCGTCTATGGCCGTCGAGAATATGAACTACAGGGGAAGGAGCGGTAAGGGAAGGGGTGGGGCGGAAGATGGAGAAGGGGGAGGGGAGAGGGAAGAAGGAAGATATAGCAAAGAATGGGAACAGAATCGGCATAACTGAAAAGGAAAAACAATGGTATTGGTGGCTGGACGTGGGAATATTCTCCGTACCTGAATGTTCTCCTTGTGGTGCGGGCACACGGAGTAGACGGGCGCCTCATGTCCCTCGAATGTGTACAGCTTGCGCCCACTGCTCGCCTCCCACACCTGGCGGTGTGCAGCATGGTGGATACGGGGAGGGAATGGGGCATGAGGCATGCGACATGCAACATGGGGCAACGGGGTATGGGGCATATGGCATGGGGAATGGGGCATGGGGCCATGTGGTCTGGGTGGGTCGATTGACATGGGACGGATGCATGCATATGCATCCCCACGCATATGCGCAAGCACATGCACATACGCGCACATCCATGTGCACACGCACATGCACGGGTTAACTCACCTTGATGGTCTTATCATCGCCGCATGTGATGATGCAGAGCTGCTTGTTGGGGTGAGAGAAGGCCAGGTCGTTCACTCCACCCACATGCGCGTCGATCTGCACACGCCGACAGGCAAGACCACACGGCAACAACACATGTGCTAGTGACAACCGTGTCGAGGTGACCTCGGGATTTGAAGCGAGCATGCATGGTGAGCATGGGCAAGCAGGATAATCATCAGCATGCAGCGAAAGCATCAACCCCGGCCTTCCTACATGTGTCACTGAGCTCAACAACCTCACGCACCTTGAGGTGCAGATAATCCGGTTCTGGTATGTGTAGATGTGCACCATGTGCTTTGAAAAGTTATCTATTCACTCAAAACGGTCCTTAACATTGCTTCAAGTGTCACTATGGCACGCGAACATACACACCTCGAGGTGCTGTCCCATGCTGCTTGGGTTCTGGTATGTGTAGATGTGCACCATGTGCTTTGAGAACGCCGCTCCTGCCATGCACCACCACCACGAGCAAGACAAGCAGCATACCACGCAAAGATGAGATGCCAACACTTGTAACGTCTCAAGCCAGAAGGGGCAAGGATAGAGTGAGGGAATCGCAAAGGTGCAAGGATAAAAAGAGAGGGAGGATTAGAGGGGCGAGAAACGGAAGCAAAGGGGGGGCGCAGAGGGGCGAGGACTCACCAAAGAGTTGCCCGTTAGGCTCCCAGATGACGCGATTCACAGCGATGGTCTGATCCTTCATCCATAGCGTCTGCAGGGCCGGGAAGAGGGAGGGAATGCAAAAGCTGTTCATTCATTGCCCCTTAACAACCTGAAGTGGAGGTCAATCAAGCTGTGGATGGAACCTGGGATTGCAGCAAGCACCTGACAGCTCACGTCAGCACCTGGGAGTACTGAAGACACCTGAGAGTGTTGCGCGCACCTGGAACTGCGGCGAGCACTGCTGGGGGTCCCAGAGCTTGAACGGGCGGTCCACCACCTTCTCTCGTGACCCCGCCTCCCATATCGCCACGTCCCCCGTGTTGCTGCCCACTGCACAGACACACATGCAAGCACGAGTGCACACAGACATGCACACACATCCGCATACACACGCATGCACGCATGCGAGCACACACACACTCACACACATGCAGAGAGATGCATACAGACATGCACGCACAACAACCATGCACACGCAACAAGCACAGGTGAACAGGGATGGTTGGGGCGGGCAGGATAGGGACAAGCAGGGACGCACAAGGACAGCAGCACATGGCAGCAGATGTCACTCACATGCGACGAACTGGCAAAGACGAAGGTTTAAAAGGTTAAAAAGTAGGAACACCAGGGAAGATGGTGGGGGTGACTGGGAAGCAGGAGGAGACGAAAGAAAACAGACATGGAAAAACGTGGCAGGTGGGAAGGGGCTGGAGGGGAAAGTGTACCGAGCAGCAGTGTGGGCTGGTACGGGTGGAAGTCCATGGTCATCACACACGAGCCCTGGTTCAGGTTCCTCGCAATTGTCTTGGGCAGATCCTCCACTGCATACCCGCCTCCTGAACCAACCCCTGCTCCTAGCGCCACTGGCCCCTGTCCCCCTGCTGCTGCTGCTGCCGCTGCAGCAGCTGCTGCTGCGGCGGCGGCAGTTACGGCACTCCCTAGGCCTGCCCCTGCTACGTTGCCTCCTATTGCTGGTACTGGCGGGCCTGGGATTGCTCCTGGGACAGGTGGCGGCTGCTGATTGGGCGGGACTTGGCCGTAGACCTGGTGGGGAGTGGGTGGAGGTGGAAGGGGGTGGGGCATTGGATAGGAATGGAAATTAAGAAAAGGAAGGCTGCCCTGTGCTCTGTGCTCTGTGCTCTGTGCCCTGTGCCATGCCTGTTGAACACAATCAGAACACCTCACCTCGTCCATGCCGCCCCTGGGCAATTTAAGCACCATGTAGGAGTCCCCTGTGCCTGGATACTCCACCGCCACCGGTTGTCTGGCGGCGCAGCGCCTGAGTTGACTCACAAGCAACCTCTCTCACACCCCTCAAAGAGCACCTCACCTAAATCCTGCACTTAAGAGCACCTCATCTCAATCACGCACTTAAGAGCACCTCACCTCTATCACGCACTTAAGAGCACCTCATCTCGCCCACACCCTCAAGAGCCTCTCACCTCGTCCATGCCGCCCCGGGGCCGCTTGAGCACCATATCGGAGTCCCCTGTGCCCGGATACTCCACTGCCACTGGGTTGCCTGGCGGCGTGCGCGGCCGCTTCAACATAGCTGCAGTGGGGCCGACAGCAGGCACGCAGCATGGACGGAGGACGGTCAGACCAGCAGCATGGACGGAGGGAACGGTCAGACACGCAGCATGGACGGAGGGAACGATCCAGGCCACCGGGCGAAGGAAGGGAACAGTAGAAACAGGATGCACAAGCACACAAAGGGGTCGCGTCGCGAGCTCCAGGGCATCAAACAACAGGACTAACAGCCACGCACCTGGGTTGGGGCCTGGGGGCAGGTTGGCAGGGGGGGGCGGCACCACGGCGTGGGGGGGAGGCGCAGCTGCAGGCTGCTGTCCGCCCATCCACCCCGCCAGGGCGGAGGCGGATGGTCCCCCAGGCTGGAAGGGCTGCAGTGGCTGCTGCAGGCGGGGGAACAACGGACGTGGTGAGGGGGCGGGGGCGGGGAGACAAAGGTTGGAGAGGAGGGGAAGGGAGTGACAAGAACATTGGATGTCTGTGAGCAGTGGGCACAAGTTTGCAGGGACGGGATGCCAGGCACCCCAACATTCACCATGCCACACACCACTGCACCCCCCGGTACCACCACACCTGACCTCCAAACTCCTATTTGTGAGGCTGAACCTCCCCCGGGCTCCTATCCCTAGACTCACCGCATGCCCGCCCACGCCCACGCCCACGCCAACCGGTCCCAGGGGAAACGGATGGGCCTTAGGCGGCTGCTGCTGCTGCTGCTGCTGTTGCTGCTGCTGTTGCTGTTGCTGCTGCTGCTGTTGAACGGCGGAGAGAAGCGAGTTGGGCGGAGCAGGCTGCTGCGGCTGTGTGCGCCCGCCGTTGGGCGCGGGGCCACAGGTGTGGTCCACAAAGAGGGTCTTGATGTCGGGGTTGGGGCGCGGGTTCTTGCACAGCTGGTGCTGCCAGTTGAGACTGGTGGGGATGGGGATGGGGATACAGGGCGGGGGGGGGAGGGTGGGGGGAGAGGAGGTAGAGAGAGAGGTTTCTTCGCACAGCGATGAGGAGGCAGAGGCTGTAGGTAACTTCATGAGGAAGCGCCGTCATTGTCTCGTCACCAAGGAGTCGATTCTCTGAACTAGCTACCATCAGCGACTTGAGCACATTATGGACTGAACGCATCAAGACAGAGAGGCAAGCAACCCCACCTCTGGTTGATGAGCGTGCGCAGGCGCGAGTTCTGAGGTTGGGGGGGACTGCAGCTTGTGCCTTTCGGGTCTGCTTTCGAGTCGACTCAAAAGAATCGACTCAAAGGAATCGACTCAGAACGCAACGCACCTCTGGTTGATGAGCGTGCGCAGGCGCGAGTTCTTGAGGTTGGGGAACTGCAGCTTGTCGCGGAAGAGCGGGTTGGCCTCGATGAGCTTCTTCAGCTCCAGCAGCATGATGTTGCGCGCCGACTTGGTGTCTCCGTACTTGCTCAGCTGCTCGTTCTCGCTGCACAATGCGAGCAATGCAGGATATGGGACGAGTGGAGAAGGTGGGGGGGGTGGGGGGTGGGGGGGGAAAGGGGGTGGGAGGGGAGGGAGGGGTAGGGGAGGGGGGAGGGGGGGAAAGGGGAATAGTTCAGCAGCATGATGTTGTGCACCGACTCGGCGTCCCCATACTCGATCAGCTGTTCGTTCTCGCTGCAGCTACGAGCAATGCAGAAAGGGCTGTGCGGAACCGAAAGGAGAGACGAGGGGGGGGAAATCGACGTGGCGAACGAGGCGGGACGAGAAAGCGTTTGTCGCGAGCACTCATACGAATGCTGGAAAAGGCGATGGTCGTTGAGTCAAGACTTGGCTGCACCATGGGCAGAGTCAAGTACGCGAAGAACTGCTGGTGACCAGCGTTGAAATTGATAAAGGGAATCAATCATGGTTGTTGACAGTTGACTAATGGCTGGAGGCGCAGTCCAAAAAACCGCGTTACAGAACCGAACAGACTTAGACCAATGCGCAGTAAAAAGAAACGTGTTACAGAACGGAACAGACGTTGACCAACCCGAGACGCGGAAACGCACCGGAAATTGTCCAGGGTCAGTAGTTGAGTGATCTCCTTATAGAGCTCCTCGTTAAACGATGCGAACACCTTGAGGTCCTTCACCAGGATCTCCACAGCCTTGGCTCGATCTTGCCTGAGAACCGACGAGCGAGCAGGGGAGGATACAATAATGTCGTAACAAGTTGAATGCAATAATAGCGGAGTCACAGGAGGGACAAACGGCCAGAAACGGCCACTGGTCCACGCGCAAAATGAATCGGAGAATGGAAATAGCCAAAACAATAAATTTGGAACACGAAGAGACGACCGCGAAGATCTGAAATGACGGACGAGCCCGTTGTGACCCGAAATCACAGTCAAGGTCTTAACGGTTACACGCTTAGCTCGACATGATGACGTCACCGCTGACGTCAGACATGTCGTCCCCGCTCCATCGCGACTTATTTCGGAAGCTGCCCGTCCATTATTCCAAAATACCCATCACGACTCATACAACCCAAACGACCATCTGAAACGGGGGTGACTAAATAAGGTGGAAATCAACGCGGGGAGCGACAAATCGATGCACCGAGGACGGCAAACCACGCACTTGTCCAGCGCTTCGAGGTATTTCTGCTTCCTGATCTCAAAAAAGATCTTCATGGAGTAGCGGTTGTCGTCGACCTTGGTGAAGCCCGCGAGGTAGCGCTCCACCTCCTCCCACTCGCCAGCCACTACCTGGTCTTCGAAATACTTCATGTTGAAGAAAAAGCCCGATTCCTGCTCGAGCCTGCGTCGGTTCGCGGATGGGAGAGTAAAAAAGTTGGAAAACACATGATTTTCTTACATGCTATATCGCGAACTGAAATGGAATATGATTTCTTCATATATGCTTTTATTGGCTGCAAAAAGCGTAAGTACTGGGCGTTTTCTTGTGTGAAGAAGGTAAAATCTTAAAACAGGTCTCTAAGAGTTCTTACTTGTGAACGGTTTCTTTAAACTTTTCTTCATCGAGGAATTGTAGTATTAGGAACACGAGCTCTCGACTTAACGACGACATGGTTCAAGCTCGAAGCGCCAAAACGGCGTACAGCTCGCAAAATATTGTCGATCTACGTTGTCGAGATAGTCTCAAGTGCTAGAAATAGCACCAAGACCAGAAACTTCCGAAGCCTAGAGAGTCAGCCAGCACAAACTAATTATCCATCGGTGTAATCAACTAGTTAGTTGAGAGGTGAACGTATGGTCGCTTCAAATGGAGCGGAAGTTCATGAAAGGGGTGCATGAGGTGAGATCCGAAAATGGTCAGCTTCCCGTTCTGTGCCTGGCTCTGATTCAGTCCAGGGGAGAGGTGGGTCAGCCACAGGACCGCCTGTTATTAAAGTTGAGGTTGTTTGCGATCTTATGGGTTTTACTTGGTTCAAGTGCGGTGAAGCGCGGCAATCTCGTAGTTCCTTGACTTTCTGGTGACTTCAAAATGGGGGAGGGAGGGAGGGAGGGAATGGAACGGAGGGATGCACTGTAGGAAGGGAGGCAAGGGTGCAAGGCCAATTGTGCGAGGTGGGAGCGAGTGTGACACGGGAAGATTGTCATGTCAACCAACAAGGACAACCTGCAACACATTCCGGAAAAAATATCGAGGTCGCTGCTGGTCCCGAAGAACACTGTTAGTACTCAAGTCAAAACTTCCAGCTTTGATGGTGCTGTACAGTATGACCCGCAACGCATTTGCTGCCAGATGTGGGCACTTCAGCAAGGTACAGTACTAATCACTTACCGCTGTACTTGCTTTTGTTTCGGGCACTTCACAGACCAAAGGTCTTTTCATGGGCAGTTGCCCTACTCTCAACTCAACTGCACGCACCCTAACAACTCTCTGTACAGTGTCCAGCCGAGTTATTGCAATGATGCGCCGTACCCTCGCCTCCGACTTGAGGAGGCCCATCCAACATCAACGTTCTGCCGGAACAGCCAGCACAGCACAGCTGAAGCTCATCCGAGCATGTCCCTCTGTCCGTTCGATAGAACCGTGATTTGCGTTCATCCGCCGGAAAGGTTCCACCAATTTCAAGCGTCAACTGGTTCTCTCTGTCGGGCGTGGGTTCAGCACTCTGGTTTTCTGGCTCGGCCTTCAGATTTTGATCGAAAACCGCATGCTGCAGCAAGTTACCCCCGATTACTGTTGATGATAAGCCGAACAGCTGTACAAATTATCCCGCAGCAACAGCTTCAACTCGGTACAGCGCATTATTACATACACGTCGTTACAGTAGAGTCTTCCGATCACTTCCCATCTCCATGCAAAATTACAACGGTTTCCAATCGGGCCTTTCCAATATTAAAAAGAAGGCCGAGTCAACTGATTTGAGATACCAGATTGATCCTTTCTCTCATTCCCCAATATCCTCCAAGAAGTCTACCAATAGTCATTCATATGCGAAGGTTCTTTCCATATTTATACTAATCATTTTCATATCAGCATCTTGTCATCATGTTAAAATTGTGAGATCCGAGAATCGTGCTTACAAAAAACAAATTGCAGAACAATTTATAGTCTATGGAGCAAACAAACTCTACAAAATATATAAGAAATTCTACATGTTTTTTTGTATTCCTACATATGAATAATATAAATATCTCTACAAATCAAATCCCATATTGCACGCTTAGGGGACCCTTTATATTTTTTTAATAAATAAAAGTTTACTTTTGGTCAAAAAACATGCCAATATTTTGACACAACTTTCATAATCTTATACTTTTGGTATTTAATTTTGATTTCCGCCACTCTTAGCACACTTGCAAATCCAGTCTGCATGTGGTGTCATCTTGCAGATGTGTGCTGGCAACGAATCAATACCTGCAAAGTTACGCGAGTTCCCGATTCGCGACCCATGTGATTTCAACTTGATTCAAATCATCATAACCACGGGATTTATGGTATGTACATATGAAACATCGTCGGTTTCATGCGCAATTGTTATTTTTGTTTGGTTCATGAGATAGAGTTGTCAACTATGTTAATCAAACAAAATCTGGTATGTAATATATAATCATTTAAGTACAAATAGTTTAATTTTTTTCAGATGCATTGGAGCAAATACTCGAAATACGCTTTTAACGATCAGACGAATTTCATATACTATCAAGGGCTTCAGACCCCCTCCAACCAGGGACGTCCCTAGGATCTAAGGGTGCCTGATGGAGCATACGGGCCCGAAGGGCCCGACTGCTTCATTAGTAGGATGAGTGATTCCCTATCTGTTTGATACGGAATTTTCGGAATCGATGTCTTTTGTGTCAGACCACAGTGCACTTGCATTTCTGTTTGCCTTTCTTTTTTGGAAACACACTGTCATTAGCTGAAATCACTCACTTGTACAAGTTCAGTAGAACTATCACATGAGTGTATTATTAAACTTCAAACTGGTTGGTACAACTACTCTACTCAGTATCAGACTCTAGCGCCACTGTGGCATGGACATCAAGCCCATTATTTATTCCCCTCATCGTCGCCATCATCACTGTCCGAGACGGCTACACCTGCACGTGCCTTGCTCTTCTTTGATGTCCTCCGCCTTACCACATCTTCCTCATCTTCGTCTTCATTGGAGACACCAGCTGTCATTCCTCTCACGGCCTTCCTCTTAGGGGCTCTATGTGGAGTGCACTTCATCGTCACTTCCTTAGCGGGGCGCCTCTCCTTTGCCACCCTCCAATCAGCCACCACCTCGTCCCAATTCGGCTCGTACTCCAGGAGCGATACGTGTCAAAGAGAAAAGGCCTCGCCCTTGCTTGGTCGAAGTCGACCAGGCATTTCGGAACAAGACGGTGTTCGTTTCGTGGTCATCGGCGACTTTGGGGACTTTTATCTGTGTGCGACGAGTCGTTTGTCGACGATATTAATTGGTCAAGGTAGAAGTGTTTCCTCTGCTCGATCAAAGTTCTCGTCTAGGAGGAGCTCGTCGACGGGAGTAAAACGGCGTCAAAGACGAGCCTTTCTGATAGACGGAATTGGCAGAATTGGTGTTTCGACGGATTGCTGGTCCACTGAATTTAGTTTGACGAGTGTTTCGACGAGCAGAGCGATTCTGGTCGACGGGAATTACTTAGCTCCAAAAATGTGCAATGTGTGCGAATTTCACCCAATTACGGAACAGTAAATTTCGACCAATCAGGTAATTTCGGAAATTGTACTCCACAGGAGAATTCGATTCAGTAAGGAAACTGAACCTGAAACACGTTTTTGCCAACAGTAAAAACGTGCTAACTATGAACGTTGTAAACCCGAGCAACTACCAACTCAGGTGAAATATGCATGTGTTTGTCGTTTCACCTGCCGTTGCTGACTCGACAGATTCAGGTGCTTGTCGAGGAATGTTTCTACATGGTTCATTGTCTTTGCTATTTGGTTCTCCTTGCTTGTACCATATTCTTGTTCTATCAATTTTTGCTAGTGGAACTAGGTTTGAATTCTACCAAGTTCACTTCTGAGAATCACTGCCAGAACTCTGACCGTGTGTCCCACACTAGTCAAGCTCTCCCGTAGAATAGTATTCTCCGCATGGTGCGGTGAGCGTGGACGGCCCCGCGTTAGAAGATTTACATAGCCGACTTCTGAGTTCGTTACCTAAGTTGTTGCTAGGCCGGCAGCCGTCTTAGTCACCATGGTCGACCCCGTCGTTGAAACGGGCGTAGAAGATACCCTGGAGGCGAGAGAGGCTGGTGTTCGGGCACGCCACGAGGCTGGCGGGTACGGCGAGGCGGACTTGGAGATTCTGCTCCTTGGAACTCATGCGCAGTGGGCGCGTGAGCATCCCCCTCTCCGTGCAGAAGCGGATGGCGCGTCCGCCTCTCCCAGACCCGTGCACAACGAAGGCGATGGCGGAAATGTTGTCGGCGGTGGAAGCACGAGGGTTCGTGGAGTGATTTGGCCCGCCGATGTCAGAGTTGGCGGAGTGCAGGCGCAAGTGCTGCGATCATCTACGACTGGAGGCAGCTCGAACGGCAACGTCGGTCCTCTGCGGAGTGGAGCTAGGCCGTCTTCTGCGTCAGCTGGTCGAGACGGAGGCATCGCACTGGCGTACGGATATTTTCGCCGAACAAGATCGCTGTGCTGAAGCTACTGGAAGGACGACACGACTTGATCACGTGGATTGAATCCATTGAGCCTCAGCTGGAAATCGTCGGATTGAAGAAGTTCGTCGACGGAACTGTTCTGGCGCCGGGCGAGGAGGATGTGGAGCTCTTGTCGAAATTTCGCGCAGCTCATCTTCTGACATTTATGGTCATTTCGAGGTGCTGCTCGACTCTGGTGCAGGTCGCATTGAAGTCGTGCAGACTTCGGGTGGATGCTGGCTTCCAAGCGTGGCAGTACATCATGCGCACCTACAAGGCGACCGACGACCTCTACATCAGTCAGCTGGAGAAGAAGTTGACCAACATTCGGATGGGGGAGCAGGAATCGGCGACCGAGTACTGCAATCGAGCGCGGCGAGTCTTGGCCGATCTGCGGATGGCCGGCGTCAACTACTCGGTGGCGTCGTATGTCACTCATGTCATCAGTGGCCTCCCCTCGGGCTACAATCTGATGCGCCGGATGCTGACAATTCCCGGCACGCGCGAGACTCTGAACAAGGATTCGCTTTCGAGCCACATCATCCAGGGCGAATTCATGCAGGAGTCTGAGCGACCTGCAGAACTGCTTCCGCAGGCCAACTATGTCGCCTCGGCGAAGCAGGGACGCCAACAGGGGCAGC